GGTTTCAGAAGCCCATGAACAATCGGTACATAGCCTTCCTTCGGGCGCCGTATTTTGACCGTGAGCTACAAGAGTTTGTAGGCGGATACTTTTGTCGTGCCTGCATCGGTTGCAAGAGATTTTCTGACGAGACTCGTTCTGCTCGTCGCTTGAAGTTCCCCGAGTCTATTTGGCACGAACCTTGGTGTCGATATACTAGGGATGGCTTCTGGGAACACGTCCAGAAGTATGGGCCAATACTGAAAAGAGAGATTGACGGAATCTTTGTGCATGATTCGCCGCAGCGAGAAACACAGACCCCAGATGATGTACAATGGGAAATGTACAGGCATGAAGATGAAATATTGGCCGAGGAATTGGACGTCCCTGACGACCATCCAATTCCATTTTTGTACAATGGCACACCAGTACCCCATAATTGCCAGTAGCGAAAGATGGACGAAAGAGAAGAAGCGTTAGGGACTGGGTTGATGGTCAGTAAGACCTCAAAGCCAGAGATATCGTGGAACATACTTGCATGCATTGGGTCAATTTTGACGGGTGGTCGGAAATGCTTGCACATCAACTGGCAACGTGAACAACATCTTTGCTGTGAAGGCGGAAGATGACACAAATTAGCGGCGGCTGACGCCTCCAGATCAAAGATTCCGTGATGGTGTTCAGCAAACGTAGCGGGGTCATTGTAACTAAGAAAGTCCCACTCATCGGGACTGAGCTGTTTGTAGCGCGGAAAGACGCTCAGGAATTTGTCGCAGAACTTAGAAGAGTGCGCCCCTCTTTAGGGCACGATCAACTAGGGAGAACCAGGCTTGTTTCCGATGAATATGTTGGTCTTCGGGTCTTGAGACATTGTTGGGTATGTGAATGAATTGTCTGTGGCGGTTGGTATGGTTTGCAGTTCAGCAATGTTGGTGATGGAAGGTGAGGTTCAGGTGTCAGGTGAGGAAGCAATGAGGCTGAGTTCACCCATGCATGGCATTAGGGGTTCGCATTGGACGAAATTTGAGCTGGCATGTGCAACCAAATAGCTGTGTTATTTTATAATCTTACATTTTCGTTCTAATCTCTGTTTGTACTTGCAACTCTTTTCATTTGCCATGCAAAGGTCGGCGAGTCTGAAGCAAAGGGTGGCTGAGTGACATTGATGGGCTGGTGTGCTCAGCTACATTACATAATGAAACTACGAAAATCAAGGGGATATTTGCCATTCTAGTCTTAATCGTCGGCTAACGAGAGACTGAAACTGTCCGAACCCGAACTACTTCCCCCGCCGGCCCTCGCTGCCGAGACGAGCCTGTATATTGCTTGAAAGACTATAATCAGGACAACCAGCAAAACGATGACAATCGTGATTGCAGCTCGAATGCCAGGGGCAACAGGCCTAGTCCAAATTATAGCAAGTGGCACCACGGCAATAGCGAGAGCGCAAAGAATTACGAAAAGGACAGCGAGCTTCGAGAGATGGAAGTGCTTGAACCTCTTCTTAAATAGCCTCGGAAGTGCACTACGGGACTCGGGGTCCGCATGCCTCCAATACGGGACTACAAATAAACCAATGACACAAACGAGAGAACGACAATCGTAATCATTATCTTGATTCCGTGGTCTATTTTTCGCGTCCAAAGCACCGCAATTGGAGCACCGGCAAGAACAGATATGATGAGTAGCATGTTGATGACAAACTCCGTCGAGTCCCAAAATTCTGCTAGCATCTTTGGGATAGTCTTCGTGAGCCATGCCCAAGCATGACTGATGCCTACTCGGGCTGCACTGTTGACTTCATAGCTTGCCCAACCGAGGAATACGGAGGCAGGAACGTTGCCTCTTTGTACCGGTCGTCGTTTGCTGTCAGCGTAGACTCTAATACTCGCTTGGTAGGCTTGTATCAGGTTACGTAGCCACGTGCTCCGGATGACGAGTCTAACGAGGTAGGCTGCTGCAACGAATCCGAGACCAATAACAACGAATATCCAGAGAGGCGCACGGTTTTCGAACTGCTCGATCTGCATGCCAAATAATGTAGCGGCAAAACTTAGTGGGATGAAGAAGAATGCAAGTTCAGTTAGCTTTGTTACGGCTTGGGCTTCGGCGATAGATCGCCGACTATCAAGCAAGGCCATATTTGAGGTCAATGATGATGAAGCTGTTTGGAGCCTTCGCATCATATTATCAATTTGTTCGCAGAGGTTTTCCAGTTCCATCGGGATTGTATTCCCTTCGGTATGCTCCAAGACTGTTTTAGGATTATCTGCTATCGGATTGGGATCTGGAGGATCTAGAATTTGAAGAAAAGAGAGGAATTGAGTAACAGATCGTTTGAGTTCAGGTAGTTCAAGTTGCGCTCGGGTTATCAATTGGCGCCATATAGCGAGCCTGTCTTCTATCTTTATGTCGTCCAAAATCTCAACGTTGATTCCGTCGAGGGCATTGTGTAATAGCTTTAGGAGATTGGTTGAATCTCGCTGAACTATTTGGAACAGTGGGCTCACAACGCCTGAAAATCCAATACCGTCGTTTGGATTTCCCGTATAGGTAAGCCGTTGCCAAAAGTCCACCGTAGTGGATCTTGTGTCAGATAATTGTTGTCTTAGAATATCCATGCCGTCCGGAGAGCGAAAAGCATCGTCATAATCGACACTCACGTGGGCTCTATGGGCAGTCTGCTCGAATATTGTTCGTGACCTGATTGCTTTGAATTCTGTGGTCCGGGTATATTCGTACCTCCCCGCTAACTCATCTTCGGAGGCGTCTTCTTCGGGTTCTTCCCTGCCTGTAATGAGCTGAAATATGCGTTGTACCCAGGTAACTTGTGGCTTACGTATGAGCTCATGCTTCTGCATATGATCAGCTAACCTATCCAGTGCTTCCACATCAGCCATATTATGTAGACGCTGCCTGTTGGCATAGCTGCCGGCATCCCAATCATCCGACAAGCTGCGGCTCCCACTGCTTTCGGAAGGAAGACGTCTTGCTGCTACAACGTCCCGCTCGATTCCTTGACCTAGTGTTGGCAAAGGATCTAGAACTAGGACCACTGCATAGGTGAGTAAAAATGACAACTGGGAAGTTGTTGAACATACCAATTCGACAGTCTCTATCCGGGAGCTTTTGACTCCAGATAGATGCCCTTTCTTCCCACCCGCAGACCCTCTTCATACGCGGCGTTATCCTCGAGTCCGTCCAGAATTCCCACTCGGACCGAAATATGTTAGTCTCCGTTTGGTAAATGCTCATGTGTCTCGACGTATCCGAAGTATACTCCAAACGGCTAATAGATGGATCTAAAAGCTCTCTTAAATCATTCTCCGAAATGGAACAATGGGAAGCCGGAATACGGGCCGGTGCCATCGCATCGAAACATAAGACTTCTTCAAGCCGAAGGTGGTCCATGCATGAGCAGGCTGATCGTTGTAATGTAGGCCCTCGTACCCGGAGTTAATCAAGTGCTCTTCAAAGAACTCGGGACTAACTCCAAACCGCCTTCCTAAGCAGCTGATGGTGCGTGGAGAGAGATTTTCCACAACAATTAGGCGTTGTCTAACATTATCTGGAATGTTGCCAAGAATTCTCAGAACGTGGTTTTCGTCCTGCGTGTCCGGGCGGTTGACAATGACTGGTGATCCGGGTGTCCGCCAATAATCCAGGTAGCTGATATTCAGAGTGTCGTGACGAGAAATCGCATTGATGTGTCCGTCTTTTAAATGCTTTAGGAAACTAGAAGCCCTCGTAACCATATGCTCATATTCATATAAAGGCAAAGGTGGCTTCGGAGGTAGTGCATGCGTAACTTGTTGTTGCCGAGGTTGGTGTTGCTCCTTCAGTGGTTCCTGTCGCTGCGTATCTCTGGTCTTTTCTAACGATTGAGGTCTTGATTCGGGAAGTGCGATAGAGGAAGGCAAGGCCTCTGAGGGTATAGGAGGAATGCCTTTTTCGGTAATGATTTCAAGGGATGACTTGGCCTTGGCACCAACAGAAATCTGTGGTGTTGGCTCAACACGAATACTAGACGGAGATTCCGGTCTCGATTCCGGAAGCGGAATTTGAGCCTCCTGCCCACCAGCAAGAGGCCCGTTGACCGCATGCCGTAGTATTGCATCGAGCGAGGATTCTCTCGGGCGTTTTTTGCGGCGTTTCTTCCCTTTGCCAATCTCAAACGTGCTGGTCCTTTGGGCAGGCTTGATAGAGATTGTTTCGGGAGGGGCAGCATTGCCGCCAGCGTCAGCGTCAGCATCAGCATCCCGCCTACGGTTGGAGATGACAAAGAAGGATTGTCGTCTTTGCGGAGCTGGAGCCCGAAATTCATCTTCCTCTGGCCCGATTCCACTTTCCTCTTGTCGGACACGGTCATTAGATGGCTGGCCATCCGGTCTTTGGCCTGATTGAGAAAGGGTGCTATGGTCTGGCAAAGCCCCAGACATCTCATGACGCTCTGCGCTCGAACTTTGCATCTTGAATTACGTGGCCAAAGCTCACTTCCCCTGGCATTGTTATCCTTAGCTACCGATATCTTCATGTCAGAAGTCAAAGAGTCAAGTACGTACCAATTCCTGAGCCACAAAGTAAATGCCTCAGCGCTTTTGAAAGACAGATTTGGTGTTGAACGCTCCCATGTATGCGGTAGAGGCCTGCGGTATTCTGGTATCGTAGGTTGTACTTCTTAGCATTGTGCTACTTAATTTTGAGTCCAATCCAATCTCCTGGATCGCGTAAATAGAATTAGAAAGCTGAAGATCTTGTGGGGACATGTTGACAGTGCTCAACCAACGAATGAGCCACCAGAGCCGCGCTGTGATAATGTGCAGGGTTTGTACAGGCGTCGCCCCACTGAGCGGGGGACGGACGGCGTTGTGTCCTCAGCCGCAGACTCGACTTCAATCCTTCCAACATTCTCAATCGCTTGAGTGTTTTTCTGTCCATGAGTGTTGCCTTGCTTTCTTGATGAGCAGTGAATATTTATGCTAGAAGTGTAAAGGTAGTCACAATTCTGCGACGCGTCAATCATGGCGGCCCACTTTCAAGTAGGCTGGATGAGTAAGCGTCTTTCCTCCGATTTTGCGGTACGATGCTAACCTAGCTGTTTTGCGCAGGATTAATACCATTTATTGGATACCATCATGTTCTTATGATATTTCTTGCTATAACAATTATTGTTTTGTGTAAGCAATACAATGTGGCACGAGGGAAGGAACCACCAGTTAACTTGTCATAGCCATATTGCTTGCCGGCTGCACTTCCTCCAACAGTCTCACTAATGTGTACCTACTCTCCGTCTCCTACCTAAATACGACTACCTTGACCGCCGACCCTGCGCAAGTCAATTCGAATATTTCAAACACATTTTCCGGTCTTACCGGTGCCGGTATGCGAAACAATACTTCCCTAGAAGTTAGAGCTGGATATATGGGATTGTGCAAAATACAGGAATATGGCTCTGCTCTAGCAGCGCGACTACCCTGGCGAATCTATTGAAGTCTCAAACTGTGGGTGCTAGTCTGTTTGAAGGTAGTGTTGGGGATCCCTTAAATTTAATTTGGATCGCTGGGAAGTTCAAGGAGGAGATAGTTTTTGACGGTTTGGTGTAAGTCGGATCCGGGTCATCTTATGGCGTGTGTCCTACTCCAGGCACTGATCTAAAACCTAGATTTACTGCCGTTCCTCTGGTATTCATAACAATACTTCTCCTAGCAACTTTCCCCGGTTGGCACGAAGAAGGGGATGCTGAGGGCAGCGAGCGAGAAGCCAAACCCTTCCCATCGCGGCCAGTATCACAGCTTGCGTTGGGACTAATTACCTTGGCTTCACTGTTTGCGTTTGTGTCATCATTATGGCAACACATTGTGTTGGTATCGCAGGTTTGATACGTGATCACTTCTCTACTACGTAGTATAGACTTGATTCTATATTTGGTTATTAATGCTTAGCATTCATAATAGTATTGCAAACGCGAAGAGGTTATGCCTCTTCTGCTGACTAAGCTAGATCACATGATGTCACATGACTGTAAAGGTCGGAATTCAACCCATATTCCAACACATTGCAACATCGGCCGCCGCCAGTATGATCCGAAGTCTATCGTACGGAACAGTGAGGGGACATGTTGGCCCAGCGGCTATGGCACTGGGCTGGGTTGGCGTATTCTTCTCAATAGTGGTCACAATTGGGCTGCTGATCATGGTCTTGTCCATCAGAGTCCTAGCTGAGACCTTTGCCGAAGGGAGTTAAAATAGGACAACATCAAATCATGGGCGGGGTGGGCACAAAGTGTCAAGACCTAACCTTTCCACACCTTGAGATATTCTTATCTAAAGTCGTATCGCATTATCGTTACTATACATTCTTTGTCTCGTTCTAATCCGTCTTGTTCATGAATCACTCTAATAAGGATTCCTCTTTCTACTTAGCATAGCCTGCGCACTAGGATAACTCTTGCCATAGTCGATGATGGACTTTCTAGGAGGGAGGTTAGGGCAGTCACAAACCCCCCTCAACGCTGGTACCAAAGTGGTGTCACAATATTTCAAGGTAGTCCCTCTTTCATCGTCATTAAGGTTCTTGCAGTCTGGACATCGAATATGATTTTAGCCGTTTTCTCCGTGATCTGCGCAAAACAAGCCACAGCAGCGTAGGATTTGACCCTCTCGCCAATATTGCTCCCTCGGCTCAATTACATTTGAAGAGCGTTGACATACGTGGCACTCCCAGAGGCGGGGTGTTGGTAGCGATGAGGATTAAATGAGTGGATTGGGGCTTGCAGTGAGCTTGTAATTAGAAGTTTGATAGTGGACAGTATATATACAAGAAAGCTGGCATGACTAGATGCATCATACTAGCGGGATAAGTGACTCGCCATGATGTGGTGCTACATTTTGCCCCGCCCATTCACACAGTATGCTATGCCGGTTGCCATATTACTACCCCTCTTATTCCAGTATCGTGAATTCAACGGCCTGGCGATTGGGTAGAATCCTTCAACCTCGCCGCTTCTCCATATAAGTCTATGGATCCTAGATCCTTTGCTCCCAAGCCGCTAAATAATCTATATTAAAACGTGGTATATATTCCTAAATAAAAATAATTTTGCCACATACGACCATAGACTGAGTAGAATTGGGCTATCTCGACGTTCTACTCTAGCATAAGCCTTGGCTCGGAGTTGTTCTTAGGATTATATACACCGGATTCGAAATAAGGTTACTAGCCTCAGGCATATTTTATGTATTTCGATCCTTATTTAACTCTCATTTAATAGTATTTTTAAAAAAGTAAATAGTATTTGCTAGAATATTAATTAATCTAGAAAGCAAAATACATTTCTACTTCTAGCAGGAAGTAAGAAAGGGAAATTAGGGATATTATTAAGGCTTAGAAAATAAAACTGGCGGGAACTGGTATTTAGGTACAGGCGCGCGCCCCTAAAGTCAGTTACAGTACTCTAACCAAGTTCTGCAATTTTTTTGTCTACCGGCTTCTCTCCTTTAAGTGACTTGACGACCCGAGAAGGCTGATATTGCTTTTTCTAATTTAGAGCTAGGGAATCGGAAATCGGGGCAATATTAATTCTATAGGTAGTTACCGGTCCAAGTATTATGAGAACTTGAAGTTTTCTGCTACACAGAAATGTCGCAATGACACTACATTTGTGCGCCAGAGATGACAAGAAGCATACTAGTAGTCATTCCATAGGGTAAATGTAACATATCGTCAACACCATAAGACTATGCCTTAAAATAGACAACCAGTTACGGCAATGTCCCTAGAGAAGCAAAAGCAGAAGTGTCAACTAGAAAAATGGCTAACATAAACATGCCCTCTACGAATGTGAATTTGCTTTGAATTCCTTGAATCTTGATGGGTTAGTAGTTTGGAAGAGTTCATTCCGAGCTCGACGTCTAAAAAGGTTACAAATAATAAAATAGAGTGGAGGAATAGAATTAGGAAAGCCGGGAATTTAGAAGTCGTTGTTATTCCGGGTTCCTGTTTCCTGTTTTGGGTATTATATAATTAAGAGAATTGGGCTATCTCCTCGGTCTAGGCGTACATTTGCCTCAGATCGACATGCCAAATCCAGTTTCCTCAATACCAAATTCGGAATCTGGTTTCAAATTTCTATTTTTTATCCAAAAGCCAAAGTTCGGATTCGAAATATAACTGGCGACTAGCAGGGGATTCTTTAAAAATATCAAAAATCATAAGATCTAGAACAAAGTGAATTTGCTAGGAATGTACAATTTTTGCTTATTGGTGGATGAGCACCTGGACCTCTACTGGTGACGGTCCTAACCAGTCTTAGGAAGCGGCGGCAAGGTATACATGTAGCGGCCGGTGATACGAAGCCCCTATATAAAAAGAAATCCCCTATTTCATATTTCGAATACTATAATTTTATTTAGAAGACTTTGGATTTACGCTACTGATTCGTTAAATACAAGTAAACGGATCCCCTTGCTATGATAGTAGATCCTGGGTACAAACCAATGACAACTATTTCCTATCCTTATTTAGAGAATAAGAGAGTGGACATCGGCATTCCTGCATAGATTAAGACTACACTGTAGACAAGAATTTCTACGCATGACTGATGAACCTTGGCAAGCAATTGCAAAGCACCGAAGATCATCGGCGCCATCTACAGGAACAACGCTGACTTGGGAGGCTGCATCCGAAGCTTCTTCGTCTTGATACCAAGGAGAAGTATACGAAGAAAATCGATCCGCATCTGTAAGTTGAGCTTGAAGATTGTGAGGACATCTTTCAAGCAAAAGCGTATCCCTCAAATACAGTAGTATTAACAACGGGTCAGTTTCAACTCTAAAAGAGGTATCAGAGCTGGAACACATCATTAGCTTGATGCAAAGCTCCTTATTTTCTTTAATACTTATCTTCCAAGACAACATGAACTCTTTAAAGAGATTCAATGGTCGGAAAACTTTCGGGTAAGCGGGTAGATTGGAGTGAGGATATTCAGCATTTTCACCATCAACTGATGACACGACGCTGTAGATTTCGTTTTGATATCTCAGTAATCCTGGCAAACAGTAAAGCTTCAAGTACCCCTGTTTTTCAACGTAGAATGTGTCGAGTACGACAGGGTATATCACCTGACCCTTCCCTGAGGTCAGTAGCAAGCCCGGAGCCTCGTCGTCAAACACATGTCCAACCATACTTCTAGCCCAATCGATAAGGTCCATATCGTCAAATTTTTGGGAATTGCCAGACTTGATGACTTGAGCAAAGTTGTTGTCCAGCGCAGGAAGGCCTTGCTGTCTGTCCAGTGAGAGTCTGACTAGTACCGGTGTCGAAGACTCGAAAAGCGATAGGACAAATATTTCCGCGATTATAAATCCTATCGACCGAAAGAAGCTTTTTTTGTAACAAAAGCCCTTGTTTGACACTGGTTCAGCGTATCTTTGTGTAGACTCGCAACATTCTTCACAATAACACTTCTCCATCAATGACTCAAGATGACGAGAAACCAGTGGCAGGTCGGCGATAAGCATGCCCTGTTGCAGGGTGATGAAGTGTACTGGTCCATCCAAAGCTAAAGCTTTTGCATATACTTGGGCTATAATGTTCATATTTGGAAGTGGACTAAGGTAGCAGGTGTTCACAGAGTTGTCGATGGAGCCGAGCAGATGTTCGGAAGTCGTAGTTTGGCCAAGACGTGTGAACCTCCCACACCTCATTGCTGACAGGACTTGAGGAATGGCGTGCTCAAGGGTCTGGCGAAGCAGTCTGAACATTGTATCTCCCGTGAAACCAAGTTGTTGGAATAGCCACGGGTAGTATGTATCAACGGTAACCATTCCGCTCATTGGGTGCCGAGAAGCCGGTCCGAGGAGTTTGGTTATATCCTCAAGTTGGTGATGGACGACAAGTTCGAGTGGCTTGCTTAAATCATTCGAGACAATAAACCTAATCCGAGACTGTGGTTGTTCAAGGACCGCACCTGCTATTCCATCCATGTACACGGATGGGGGAACATCTAGACACCACTGTGCAAAGGCCAAGATCCAGGGTGCGGATTCACGGACTTTTATCGTCGCCCCAATTACCGTCGAGGATCCCATTCGTGCAACTTGACGAAAAGCGCCAACGAGGTCAGCTATTGTCTCTGGAGAAGGCACTAACAGGGCATTTTCCGTCAGATTTTTTCGAACTGCTTCTGAAGAAATGGAAGGCAAAATCTCCCTTTGGAGTATGATTTGCCAACCCACGACGGAGTCAGTAAAGCCACAACGGTAACATCTGGTCTCGAGGCTCCCTAGCAGATCGTTCAACTGCCTTACTGTCGGCAATAATGTCAAGTCAGTTGCCGAACTTCTCAGCATGATATCGAGAGCCTTTGCGCTGTTGAAGGAGCCGACCGTTGTAACAATAGCAGCCGTTAATCCTAGAAAGCGGATTCCTGCCAAACTATTGCTAAGTTGCGTTGCGCAATCGCCCGTGGAAAAGCCTACGAGTCCTTTCAAGAATCTAACTGGAGCTGGATCCGGTGTTGGAACGAGGGTGTATACGACCTTGGAATTTGTTTCGTTACTCATAGCGATGGTGTTACCAAATCGCTCACAAGAAAGCAGAGCGAGGACTTGGACGTTTTCACTTGTCGCCGCAGCCATGACGCCTCTCAAGACGGAAAATACCGATTGCGAGGTGTCATTAAGGCTCCATTGGACTTGAACAGGCGGTGTTGACATTTCGGGCTTTTTGCTCTGGTCTCGATGATAGCTAAGGGGCCTGTGTGATGAGTTCACAGAAGCGTGGAAAGGAGATAAGACTTGTAAGTAGACGAGGAGCACCGGAAAAGGTTGCCTAAAGTTCACATGCCACTTTCTGCGCACTTGCTCTGGATGCCCAACTGTTGGTATCACAGGGTGATACTGCATGCAGTAGTGGCTGCGGTAACTTGGTAAGTGGTGTAGGAGTCCAATTACGCTAGACCGAATTGGGATATTCACATTGCTCCCAACTGAAGCTTGAATGCCGCCGAATCTAGCTTAGCGCCCGGGAAACCTCTTTAACTTTAATTTTATACGAATAATATTTCAAATAACATAATTACAATCACATACGACCATAGACTGAGGAGAATTGGGCATCCCGTCCGCTCTGCCATACACAAGCCTCAGATCGGCAGATTAGTAGTTGGGTGGGTGACCACCAGCGAATACCTGCTGTTGTATGTTTTTTGCTTTATTTTTATCGGTTGGGTACTAGGTAGTTTTCAATTTTTTGATAGAGGATTTGAAAGACTTGTAATCAGCTCTAAAAGTTATCTTTTGCACCTTAAGCTTGATTAGTTGTAAACTGCAGTAGCTTTTGAAGTAAGTGCATGTCGCTCAAGTTATACGTCTGCTTCATCTGGTGAGTTGATTATAGCTGCACAAGTCTAGAGATGGAAATCATTCCCGACCAGTCTAGTTTTCCTGATGGTGAGGGTCTGACATTCTCCTCAATTAATGCAGTAGTCCTAAGTTCAATGGCTAATAGTTCATCTATCTTCGTTTGCTGCCCACGTTCTATTGTTTGTGACATTGAAAATCATCTAATATGTATAACATCAAGATCCACTATTAATAAAGTTTGTCCAGGCTGAACTTCACTCAGATTGCTTTTGGTTTAGAGCTTGGTTTAGGACAGAGCTACTATGCATAAGTCAATTCCGCCTCTTATTTTCGTTCGCCTCTATCAAGCTTCAGTAAATCAGGATTTGGCAATTGCCTGGGTTTGGTCTACTTTGGTTTGTGACAAACCTCATCTAAATTTATCTCCTGGACCAATGATATCGGGGTAACAGAAACTCCGCGGTTACACGTTGTGCAGGAGGCGTTGGACTTAGCTGGGAAAGACGACCCTGAACTCCAGGACTACGTCAACGACATCAAATCTGTCTTGTGTGGCTCGGGCTATATGAAACCCAGGGAGAATAAACTTGTCACAAAATCAACAGAATCAGAACCTCACGAGCAAATTCAGCCTGATGTGGAAGATCCCATTGCTGGAATGATCGAAAACAGCAAAAGGCCGGCAAAAATTGCCAGAAACAAGGTTGAAAGGTTTAGTCCGGAGAATTGGACGCATATGGACTACACAAGAGAGTTTGCCCCGTACACTGACCAGGTCCCCGGGAAGTTGTCTTGGAAGCCCTTGAAAGAGCTTAAAGGATGGACATGTTGCGCGGAAGAAAGATTGTCTTGAACACTACATTGCATGAAGGATCAGGGAAATAATAGGTGAGGAAAGGTTTGGGGTTTCATAAGTACTCGAATAGCCAAAGTAGGATATGTACGAACCAGTGAAACGATTTCAGTACACATCATGGCCTCCTTCGATATGTGTCCAACAAAGCGCTGCTACTATGTAGTTGTAATGCATATGTTCGTTGGCGGATTCGTCCGCGAAGTGAGTTTGATTGAAGTGGAAAGTGAGTGCTTTCAGACTTAGCTCCTATGAACTTTCCTTGGGCTTCTTTAACTATCGCCGAAGAGGGATTGAATGGGACTTGGGAACTTGCATCTCTCAATGTGGTTCCATTGTTCGCAGCCTGTAACAAGTCAGTGATACTTGATCAAGAGAGCAGGGGAGGGCAAGGAACGGTGGCATTGCTTCTCTCCCTCCCAACATTCCCCAAAATGAAACCGCAAGCAATTGGTGCATGCGATAGGCATCTGAAGGCATCAGGATTAGTTCTGTTCTCTCGCGTCGTGTTTGTCTGTTGCGGTTTTTACGTGGTGCATCCTCACCTTTGCGGTAACCTTTACGGTTTCGACCCGTCGACGCCGACTTAACGGTCGTGAGGAAGTTCAAAGTTTGGGCTGATGGTAACTCAATGAGCGCAAGATGAAGCCGCAGAGAGTCCTCAGCTTTAATTCTGTTGGTGACTGCGCTGTTAGTACAAGCTACCGCCAAATCTCTGGTGCATTCGTGAAGAGCTAAAGACAGTGATGGAAGTCAGAAGGCTGACGCAACGAAGATGTCTCCGAAGACACCTCCACGCTGATTTGCTTTGTTCACTGTAGCAAGAAGATGATGATGATGATGATGTGTTGTGTGTTGTTAAGGAAGAAGAAGAAAGGAATCCATCTGAGGAAAGGTTGTTGACGTCTTGTCTGGCGGGGAGTGGTGGCAGTTCCCATCTAGGAAGGCACGTGAGCTTTGCCCCTTTCCATGATCCAAGTCAACCTAATTTCACCCAACCACCATCCGAAGTAGGTATCTACCTGTGCATCTATCTTATTCCAACTGCACTACGACACTCTTACTCAATAGAGCACATACAATTCTTCTGTGTAAACATTCTGTGCGCGGTTTTGCACTCGATGAAATACGTTTTACGAGATCTGAGATACAACGAAGAGCATTGCTCCATGACTACTCAGGGCTTCTGAGACATTCATTCCTATATCCCGAAAAAGACGAAAACTGACCTCCCGTCCACACAGACTGCCCCCAAAGGCGCCAAATCAAATGCGTGCGAAATTTCCCCCGAGAGTTGTGCTACTTACTGCCGAGCTCCATCAACCTTCTCTCTCTCGGAATTTGCTGACTCCGCGGATATGTAGACTCCAGGAGAACCTCCACCAGGAACTCGTGATTGGTGTGATATGCATGGATTGGTGAGTTAATTTCTATCTATTACTTCGCAAGCAATGGAAACTACGTGCTCTAGCCATGTCTTGAAATTATCTTGCTTTGTCTCGTTCTGTCATCCTCTAAGGCAATACTAACTTACTCAAAAGCATGCGGACCCGCCATTGAAAGCGAAGATCCTCAATGCGCTCAAGGTTGCTCCTGGAAGCGCGATTTGGGTCAATGGCATATGCATATATCGTGGCTATGAGGCGCACTTCGAACGAGAGGAGGATCCGAGAGTAAGGCCATTCGAACAGCCTCTAGCAAGAAGACGTTCACGATCTCCAGCTCGAGACTTCCAACCACGTGAGAGAGAGAGAGATTTCGTTCACCGCTTCGAAGACGATCATACTCCCCGCGTTCTCCGCATCGACGACTCGATTCCCTAATGCCAGGGCTCCGGAGATATGAGCGGTCCCCAGTCCGATATCGAACGCCCAGCCCACAACGCTATCGATCACCTCCACGTCGGCAGCCAGAAGCTCGGGCCCAACTACCAATTCGCATAACAGGTAGTAACGCTATCACCATCAAGCCTCGAATTGAAAGACAAGAAACCAAAGACCACCCCTAGCCGATCCTTTTAATTTCAAACTACCCCCAAAGCCGGCAGTCTCCAAATATATGCTCCTCGACGGTGTCAACGCGAAGTCCGACAACGCTACAGCTCGACAACCACTTGGACAAATAGCGAATGGTAATTCCACCAACTCTGTCAAGCCATCAAGCAACGGTCCTAACAATGCCATTGGAGACGTCACCAACCGCAAGGTCGCACCCCCAGCGAATCAATCAGATGCCACCGCCAGCCAACAACGCCCTTCTACCTCCGACCCCCAGTCTATCAAGCCAATCACATTGTCTTCACAAGCTGAGCCCAAGGTCGAGGATCCTTGTTTCGTACTTGGTGTTGGTAAAGGTAAGCGATCCCATTCCGTTTCGTTTCTTTGGTTGTGTGGTGTAGTGCCTCTAAGTAGTTGTTTATACCGTTCAATATAAAACATTGTACTAATTGATCGTAGGTGCCCTAAGCACAGAGTATGCTCCCATTGCTTCACATGCTACCAGCAACGATAACGCTTACATACTCTAGGATCAACGATGCATATCAGCAGCGGATGTTTGAGATCGAGCTCGGTAAGTCATCTCGCTTATGTATATGAGCTCTTGACACATCCCACGAGCTCCAGCTTTCTTCTCCTAGAAAACCCAAAAGACATCATACTAATTCATTAAATAGAGAAAATGTCGGATGGACTGTTTGAGCCTGGACAACTTGAAACGGACAGCGTCTGGGATGATAGCATTCGTATCCTGAAGGCGGCGAAGAAGCAGCTGATTGGGTATTGAATACCAGGGCCGATGAACCCTTGAAACCATACGGAACTACATACTGGCTAAGTCGGAGATGAAGGGAGGCGCGGAAGGGAGATATGACATTGCTTTTGTAAGATGATATGGCTTATAACGACGAGTACAGAGATGGGGCAAAGGAACAGAAGACTGTACAGGCAGAGGAAAGGCATTTGGAATGAGATGTCATGGCAAGATTACTGGATTTATACGAAAAGAAGGTCAGGCTGGCTTCGGTTGCTCAGAGAACGGTAAAATAGAAAACGCTTCACTGATCTTCCAGATGCTGCGTCGTGGTTTGTTTTAGTAAAGAATGGTGCCGGGGTGATTGATATTTAGATGCAAGCATTGCCCGTATGCCATTCAATTCTCCATCTTCGGTCACCTTTTTCCATGACCTGCAGACAAGGCACAGCGCCGTATCATACTGGGGCTGTAAAAAGTGGAAAATCAGCTTCATTTCTTCCAGAAGGCTTCAAGAGTCGGGAGATGTTCTTCTCGTCAAACCTCCCCACATTTAGCTAGAGGAGAGAGCCAAAGAGAAGATAAGCACCCACTAAAGTGACGAATACAGCAAATCAATAGATAGTATCCAAGGCCTTGCGCATGGGATAACCTACCTACATAAATACTTGCTTGCATCCACACTCCCATTACACGTACGTCTCTCAATCAATCCCCAACAACACTCCAAACCCCCGTCTTCAACCCCTTCGGATCCTCCATCTCCCGATCCCCAAGCACCTCCTCCAAATCCCTGACATCAGCCCTCAGCTCCTCCGTCGCGTTCCACGCCAACCGCGCACTAACCCTCACACTCCTCAGATCCGGCATGCGGCCCTCCTCAACAGCTTCATACACAGCCGCAGGCTCGACGCCCACATCTGGAGACGCAGTGGGCGAGCAATCCAGGTCCAGGATTTGTAGCTTGGGCGCTGGGTGCAGGAATAGCGAGGAGGTGATGTAGTCGGCGGATATGCGCAAGGCGATGAGGTGCGGGCAGCATTCGAGGAGGGGGTTGAGGGCGCCGATGTGCAGTTGGGACATGGGGTGGCGGATAGTGAGGTGCAGGAGTTGGGGGCCTAGGACGATGAGGGTGCAGAGGAGAGCATCGAGGTGGATTTGCGAACAGTGTTGTATGCTTAAATGTTCCAGACTCTTTCCAATAGTCACTAGATGCGTTGCCAGGAAATGATCGTCTATTCCGCCAGCCAAGTGCAGTGCTTTTAGCTTAGGCGGCCATTCATACGGCACTTCGTCTCGTCCTGAGTCTCCGCGCAGGTCACGGCTGGAAGATCGCGGGAAGAAGAGCGTTTCTAGTTGTTGCAGGTTTTTGAGCGTTTGGAAGAGCAGTTTGTTGGATATTGAGGCTGAGATTAGAGATAGGTCTAGGTGCCGGAGCTGGGAGCATTTGCTGAGGGCTGCGAAGGAGTTAATTCCGAAACTGGCTTGCGGAGCAATGAATTGTTCAATGTTGCCTTTCAGTCGCCCCAGTAGTCGCGCTGTGAGGCTTTTGCTGGCATTGTGTACTAACTGCGCAATGAGTAAGTATGATCTTTTGACATGCTTTGCGAAAAAAATATTCTTGAAACTTGGTAAGAGCTTGCAATTTTATGGAAAGCGACATACCTCTCCCATATCCAGCCTTCTGACCAAAGGCGCAAGAGCAGATTGTCGGATATGGGCGTTCTTGGACGGACAGACCGTCTGGACGAAGGTGTGGAAATTCCCGCCATGCAGATGGGGATGAGAATAGAGAGAGGTTATGCTGGCGGAGTACCAAGAGCGAGATACGAGCGTGCAAGCCCAGAATGTAGACTGTGTCGAGGCATTCATGGGAATGTAGGAAAGGATCTGGGAGAGTATTTCGGTGGGGAGGAGGACCTCGTCGGAGGGTTTGTATCGGACCGCTTGAATCGTGGGAAGTGACCGGGGCGTAGAAGCACTATAATCTCTGGCTTGCTCATTTTGAAGACGTATTGGTATCTTGAGAGGTTGCGACATCTCTACTTCCCAGTTGCTTTGGGCGTCGAGCGCCATGGTGGCGAGGGTGGGGTTGATGCGATTGGTGTTGTATTATATTGGGAGGCTCGAAAGCCGATTCCTCTTCAAGGTACTGAATTCATACTTGCAATAGAAACCTTCTATATCAAGAGACTTGTGAAAATAAATCTGAGTTGTGGATTGTGGTGGAATTAAGGACGAGGCTAACAATTGAAGTTGGAAAAAGTCCGAGGTGATGTCAAAAAGGCCTGACTAAGCACGAGGCTGAGAGAACCATCAAAGTTTATATTTAGTCCAAATTATGGTGAATCTCAACCTCAAGATAAATCATACAAAGTCCACCATACTTACAACAGCCCAAGCTATGTCGGGTACGAAACGAAAACATAGTGGTGACTCTCCAAGTGAAGTGTATAACTTTAAATCATCCCGCTCTCGCCCAACTGTCGAAGCCCGCGTCGATCCAACATATGGCCAGCGAAGTGCACTGCCTGGCCTGGATGATTCTTCGAGAAACAATGGAGACAACAATGAGCTAGACAACAGCGAGGACATGGATGCATTAAGCTATTTGCGAGCTGTCAGGTAAGCCCGCCCTATGTTCCGAATAAGAGACTCCGCTGAGATATATTCCCTTGTCAGAGAAATGCTGACTCCAGTGTGATGGTAGAGAGGAAGCTATCGGCATACCAAACCTACTGGTTGCACCTAAGGAAGAAACGAACGATCGAGCGATCTATGAGAATGGTGTGGGAGATTATCGCGGATCGTACGGAGATGGCGCATACTATGCTGCGGACTCGAACTCAGAAGTGAGCGAAGAACAGGCTGCGAACGATAGGAATATAGCATACTTCGACTCCATCATGACGAAATTCGAAGCACTTCGCGACCGATTACAGAACTCCACACCACCGTCTTCAGCTGTCGAGAAGCTTGACGCTGACCACCCGACACATGTTGGGCCGTTAAATACAGCTGTCGCAAGATGGTGGAGGTGGAAAATGCGACAAGTGGATCCGCTTCCGGCACAGATTGCGAGTATGGACAAAAGCACAATCTTGAGGCTGCTTGGTTTGTTGACGGGCGGGACCCTGTTGCAAAGAGGCAGTGAGGTGAACGTTGGTGTTAGTCGATGGGCTTGGAGTCTTTTGGCAAGGCTGCCGGAGCGGGGAGAACTGACGAGTGAAGAAATCGGAATAGTGAGGGAGTTGGGGAAGAAAGCTGTATTGGTGGGGATGGGGTTGAAAGAAGATGCAGACCTGGATGAAGGGCTGAATGCCGTAGATCCTCAGGCTAACGATGATGTGGATGATGGTGAGGTTTTGGATAGTGCGGATGATGCAGAAGTTGACTTGGATGTTGGCAAGGATTTGGATACATTGTGTGGTGAAGGAGCCACCAACCCGTCAATTCCTGTCATGCCGAATGCAATTGATGGGGATGCCTACAGCGCGGATGATTCATCCGCACCTCAATCCTTAATATCATCGACTCAAACTGTCAACCTGGAGACTTCTCTCGACACTCCAAGCCTTAAAAAAACGTCTCAACCTGAGGAGGCTTCCGATTTCAGCGAGGAATTGGCTGCTGCAAAAGCACGATTGTTGGGAAACTTAAAGACCGCGGAGGAAAGCTCGACTGAGAAATCGGAAGGAGCCTCTGCTGGCAAATCAAAATGGAACACAAGAGCCACCGTCGATATGATTATTACGGTGGCTGGCGAAGCCTACGGACAGAGGGATCTTCTCGAATTCAGGGGAGCGTGGGACCAAATTATGTAGGAACTTGTGGAACTAATCGATATGCATGTAAGATCCAGATAGGAGACCGTGTTAATATGAAATGATACCCAAGGCCTCAGTGGGTGATTCAGATGCTCGTGTTCAAGATATATGTATGATCTCTAGAGAATAAGTGTTTTCTGACCGACGGTTTTTCGGGGCCCCTGGTTGTGCCAGCGGTGCAATGTACAATGTAAGCGCTTGTTACAGCGAGACCAGGCACGAGGAATGCAAATTGAGGTTCAGCACACCTATTATTGTTTGTAATATTGTAAAAGCCTTATGTATGGTCCTCACCTATTGGTTCGCTCGAGATGCGACACTGGTCACTCTAGGCGATACAATAGCGTCGTTTCTAGATGCACCGGATCAAACCACCAAGAATTTTTGTCTCGCATCAAGGAATGATATAGAAATTTGGACAGGTTTTCGGCATCCCATTAGGTGGAAATGAGATGGATTAGCTACTGACTCTACTCATCTGTGGGCTATTGATTCTGCACATATATGGAGATGGTAGACTGTGAATGTCTCGTCAGTACCTACATTCTTTAATTCATATCCTTGTACTACGGTTTTACTAACTGTGCTGAAGGAGAAAAACAGCCTGCTTGACCTTCTTGCCAGTGTAAAAGTCCCCTATTGGGCCCCTTCTTGAAAATTTCAAGTGTTCCTCTTGGAATCCATGTGGAAGACCCCCTTTTACTCGGTTGCACTACCTACACCTACCGACAGACTAGTGAGTCTGATTAGTGCGGTCCAGCGTATGAAATAATTTGAGATCCATAACATTGAACCTTATACCCCGCTTACCTCTGGCGTGTTATTGACTTGATAACGTAAAAGAAAATATTATAATTTAAATTGAAGTTTTTGACAAGGATAATTTTCTCAAGGACTCTTGTATTACATCTAAAGATCGCAGGTTTATCATACATCCATCACAGAGCCAGAGCGGTGCAAACCTCCACTGCAATTTGGTGTGGAGGCAAAGAAGCATAACATGATACTATCCTTGCAACTGCTGGATCCCGCTATCTCAAGACACTCCCTAGCTTGACTGAGAAAATTGTTGCGCATTCTGCGCCAATCCTGTTCATTCGAGTCCTGCCGTCAAGTGGTTCAACTCAGATAGTCGAATTACTATTGATAGTGTTGGACTTTGACTCGGAGCCCTCCGCGGTGCGTTCATCGCGCCTCCTCTTGCTGCTAGTACTAACATTGGGAGGGGTGATTTTGTTCACTGGAGAGTTCGTGATGTCCATAGCTGACTTGGTCCTCATTCTCCGCACAGGCTCCTCATCAACGAAATACTTTGTCAGCTCTGCCTCGGAAAGACTACCTCCTTGTTTGAGGTCTCTCGACCCGATCGAGTTTACAATGTCGAGGAGTAGCTCTTGAGGGTAATCATCTATATCGTTGATCTTTCTGTTGTCCCAGGTATCCACGAGATATTGGCGCAGCGGACTGCCTTTTGCAGTGTTTTCGTAGGCGAATCCGTACGCCCAGGGAAAATACTAGCGGAAACCGTAGTATTCAGCTCGGAACGAATCTAGCTCTCTCAAGGCCTGGTTTTGGAGCATTGGGATGATTCGCATCTCTGCAAGGTCCATAGAGCAACATATGACCAAAACATGAAGCGTGGGTTTCCCTCGCTGAGGATAAGTGTCTGTGTATACATCCGCTTAACGAATACGCCAAAGCATCCGATTCTTTTGTATCCTCCAAGTATATTTCCTGGCTTTCTCCTGATTTGACATTCGAATACAAGGCCGCGTCGAAGTAGCCAGAGTAGTAGCATATGAAGTTTTTGTGTATGATGTACTTTTGGAAGGACAGGTTTTCTCTTTCGCGCACGTATATAGTGACCGTGTCTTGTGGTTCTCTATTGACATGTTACTTTTAGATTGAAGAAGCTATCGCTGAAGCTGTCTTCATGTACTCACCTCAAGGTCGGGAGCTTCTTGTACTCAACTTGGGTCTGGTGAGAGGCCGCCATAGATTCTAATTGCTCGGACTGGTGGATGAGGACGTTATGCAGAAAGAAATCTCGAGGTATTGATCTTGGGAGGCCTTTTTTTCTGGTTGGCGCTGGTGTTGGCCGTCCGGAGGTTGGTATTCAAAGGAATCAGTTTAGCGTCATGGTGTCTGATGGGCCCGTCTGGGAGGTTGGTGGAAGAGAATCAGTAGGTGAATATTCGAGATTTTATTTGTGGTTGTTTTGGGGGAGGCGTGGAGACGTGGAGTTGGAGAAACGCGTCAGAAACTTGCAGATGTTGTACTGTAGCCGCGTCGTTTGCACCGAGCTTGATTTGTTCGATATAGCAACACCTATACCCGCAATTGAATCTAAATCCCCACCAGAATAGAGCACGAAACATGAATACATATCCTCCTTTACTTGCTACTTTAAAGGGGGTTTTGGAATGAAACGAAGGAACTCATCAGATTCAACTTTAACATAGCGTACATCAAGCTTTCTGCTGCTCAAGGGTATCTGGCACAAGTGCAAAAACTCTTACAAAGATCACAAATTCAAGGTTCCTGATAGAATCTACCCCAAGGTGTCATTGTCCCACTCTCGGTTTCTTATTCGAATGAAACAGATGACTAAACAGACACTCCCGATGGCCACCGAGGTTGGGTTTTAGAGCTTTGAAAAGAGGCCCATTCACTACTTGGGCCAATGGATTTGTCGAGGGGGGCTCTTCCGAATAAAGCGCCTTTCTTTTCTTTATCAAACTCTCAATATCACGTTCCACTTTCTCGTTAGCTAAGTTCAAATCTGTCTCGGGAATTTCGCGTGCGTTGTTTGGTGAAAGAGTAGAATTTCCATGTGTGGACTTGGTGGGCTTCTCCTCCGATAAGTCATCCTCGGACTCTCCAGAACCTGCCATAAAACCATCCCTAGATTCTCCAGATCCAAATACACTGTCTTCACAATCTTCGCTGCCAAAGTACTTCTCCAGCTGCTCTTCAGACAACAGCTTCCTATTCGTTCGACGCCTCACTTTGATTGTGCTGACGAGTTCGAATAGTAACTCTCTTGGGTAGTTGTCTTATGCACCAAGGGGCCGATTGTGCCATGTATCGATTATGTAGCGGCGTAACAGACTGGACTTTTTGGTGTGCTGGTAAACATGTTGGACCTCGTGGGATGGGAATCCTCCTTCCTCGAGACGTGTAACGTCTAATTTTCGCAGCGTAGAGTTCTTCAGGACCGGTATTTGGAACTGCGCCGCGTGGATCCAGAAATCGAAAAGGTACCAACAAGCTGGGCGTTTCCCATCTCTGCCAACAATATTATTCATATAAAGCCACTGAACGACACTGCCAAAGATATCGGGTTGTGCCTAGATAACCAGCCTCCCTAGCCTAGGGTCTGATTTGGATAATCGGTCGCGGAAGTATGGCGAGTAGTATTCCAAGAAATGGTTGTAAACTACCTACATTTTTCCAGTATCGCGAGGTCAGAGCCGTACGAACACGGGGACCAGAGATTGTGGGTCCCTGATATTCATTAGCTAGGTCGATAGAGAAATAATTCATTCCTACCTACAGAAAGTTTGGAGGTATGCTCATACTTGCTCTGGGGTCAATCAATGTCGTGTCAGAGTCTGGTTCGGCGTAGCTTCACATGCTTTTATCCTTTACAACGCGTCTTGGGTCACTTTGCCGATTAGAAGCCCAATAGGGTTATATATAATACGTGATGTAATAATTGAACTGGCGGATAGCGTTCAAGGCTTCATTTTCGATTCGGGCTTGGAGTGAGAAAGGTTGAATGAAGAATGTTGCGAGACGGCTGGACGCGTCGAACACGCGCCAGATTTAAGAGTCACGTGTGTAATAGAGCTATTTTTTAAATCGCAACAAACCAGGAGAATAGGTGACTAGGCACTAGCAGAGGCGACAGATACTACTATTATCATCATGGTATCAGGTGTGGTGTGACTTTAATGGTGGAGTATGATAGACGATCTATAATTTTGACCATCTTGATTATTATCTTTTAAACGGAACATCAATAATTGAGTAATAAAATATACAATTAATACAGTACAAATACACTATAATTTCACAATCTCTGTTTCTGGGACCTTCCAGTCCAGGAGCAGTGTGCTCTGCAGGGTGAGTTGAGCTGACCCCAAGCCGGCTCTTGCATCATGGTGAGAGCTGTCACCGTTTCAAGCACTTGACCCACCTCAGTGCCAAATCAAATAAAGATAGGATTATCCATCTGTAATCTAGCCGTTCTCAGCAGGAGGCTTGAGCCCTCATTCTCTTCACAAGTCGACCTGGTGAGCTCCATTGCTCGTCGGCTGTGGTATCCCTATCATCCATCATCTTCCTCTTATTTGAATGCCCGATACAGGTCCCGCCCATGTTGATATCAGCCGACATCTCGGAGCTTCGATGCATGTCTGTCAATCTCGTCCCAGCAAGACCGAAGAGAGATTGGTGCGAATTCCTCTCTGGGATTTTCGTGTTGTTCTTGGAATTCCGTGTGTCCAGAACATATCGAAGGGGAGAACCATTTTCGAGGATATTCCGTTTCTCGGGTAGTTGCTTGCGTGCCCGATCTAGATAGATAAAAGCCAGGTTGTGAAGCTTGGGAGCCCGTATTCTATCTGCAAATAACCACAAATCTATAAGAGTGGAGTGGCTTGGCCAGCAACTTGTGTCGCTGACAAGAACTTGTGTGTATAGCCAGTTGGCAAATAAGCTAAACACTTCAGTGCTTACGCCTTCTAGCACCATTTCTTGTGTCTCGATTTCTCTAGAACCGGCATTGAGGGCCGCTTCGAAATAGCCGGAGTAATAGCAGAGGAAGCTTCGGGGTATTTGGAACGTGTTCAACTCCCCTTGAGGCGGGCGGATGTGGACGGCAATTAGAGGATGATGGTCACTGGCCTGATTAGCACAAGGTCTCATTGTTTTAGGTCTGAACTTACGATAAGTTCGGGGCTTTTGTAGGTTTCCTTATCTGCTCTACAAGCATTGCTTCGGGACCCTTTGCGGCGGATGGTTGATACAACATTTCGCAATTCGGAGAATTCTTGTAGAGCTATATCGAAGGTTTGGTATCAATTGAAAAGCCTTGGCCTTGGACTATATTCTCAATATTTGCGGATCAATGCTTTTTGAGTCCAAGGCGGTTGGTGTATCTGGCAAAGGCTTGGGGCACTTCTCAGTGGCGCATAGGGGCATATGGTATGTAAATCCGTCGATATTAGTCGGCAATCTTGAAATTGGTTATATAGTAATAGAAGAATATAGCTTTTGTTATAGTATACCAATTGGCTGGCTGACTGTTGCGGCGGGAGAATGTATGGGGAGACGCGTTGTCGAGTGAACGAACGGGATCTCGGTAATTTCGCAAGGCTGTGCAGCCTCGCCCTCGTCTTTAGGCTTTTATCCCCGGATCTTACGTTTGAACCTTTTCAGTCAAAACCTATTTCTACAGGGAAGATAGACCTGTCAGACGAAATATTGGTTTGAAAAAAGCCTTTTTTCTTATCACAAGTCGTAGCTAAGGGCAGAATAATTCTAGCTAGCAACCATTGCATGCCAAACCTACCCCAGCCAGCCAGGTGAGCGAGATCGATTGTGCAAATTCGAGGGTCTAATTTCAAGGCTTCTTAATTCGTAAACCATAATAGTATGAGTAACTAATTGAACTTATGTTAATTTTGTAAATCTACAAGTGACGAGGTTGCGAAGACCACATCCTCTAGAACGTTCCGTAAAACCAGAGACAACACCAACGCTAAAAAGCCTTTATCGTCCACGCCCCCTGGAAAACATATGATCAAGTCGGCGGAATCCGACAGTTGAGTCCTATAAAAGCAATATATAATCCAACATAATTTATCCTCCAAATCTAGGCCACTGCTGCTGAACCTGTAGATTCTAGTTCATACGACCCATGAGAGCCAACCGCACGAAAAACAGACGCACTGCCCTACATGCCGCATGTTAGCTTCATATAAGCCACCATGGAAGAATCTCATACCGGATCACTCTCCACCAGAAACCCTTTCATGATATGGGGTTCAAGTGGAACCCACGGACTCGAAGTGATGCTTCTCGAAGTTCTCGCGTAATTGAAAAGGTCAATAAGGAAGTCCTTGGGATACTCGGTGTCTTTCTCGAGTTCCGGAAGGCTAGCACCACATGTGGCGATAACATAGTGCCGCAATGCACATTCCTCCGTGCTGTTGTCGTAGAGTTATTGGATTACATCAGGCGCTGGATTTTGTTGGAGCCTGAATCGTTCCTGATTCATCAACTCAAGTGTCTGATTCTGCAGCTCTGGGACGAGGAAATTCTCCGCTGCTAATCACAAAGGCACCATCCAACAGATGTCGAGAGTCTTTCCTCGATTGTCGCAGAGGGTTTGCGTATAAATCCAGTTGATGAACAGTTCGAAGACGCGCGGCCAGAACTCGTCAAGGTCAAGAGTTTGTGTATGAGCTTCGATGAAGTCTCCATTAAATGCGGCATCGAAGTATGGCGAGTAGTGGCAGATGAAATCCCGGTGCACGATGAACTTTCTTGGTTCTTTTTGGCCAGCGTGGGTGATGTTGATTGTGACCATGGCGTGATAATCTCTGGCATGATATGATTAGCATGGAGCTTCAAGAGCTTGATATATTACGCACCGGAAGTTTGGTCGTTTCTTCCTGGTCCTCCTGGTGATTTTCTTGGCGATTACGAGAGCGGACGCGCTCTGGGACGCGTCAGCACCTTGACTTGAGTTCATGGCAGTCTCCGCTTGCGAAGGCTCGAGATGAGGAGGGGCAATTGGTGCTGGGAATCGCGACGGGAAATATTGCACGAAACGACGCATTGTGACGGGAAACGCATTAGTTGAATGAGAAGATCATATAACAAGTCTCGGTGTTGTGCAGGTTCCCTGAAAGCTCATCTGCTAAAAGTATACGGTGAGAGAAGGCAGTTCTTACAGCGAAGTTGTGAATTTCAACCACCACCAATTCATTATGAAATGGTGCATATATAAGTTAACGCAGACTCAAGAAGAACTGATCTGGCCAAATTGAATGTAGCATTGCAACTTCCTTGACACTGTATACTCAGGGTAACCTATATCTGATGGGAGGTTATAGCCCGCCCACTGTAGTAAATTCGCCAGATTCAAAGAGGGTAAGTAAACTATAATAGAACAACGCCCCAAATCGCCAGGACCATTCCTCCTAACTCAACAGCACACTGAATTTTCTCGCTCCCTGACTCGTGTTCGTCCAGCACTGCTGGACATAAAAGGCGGCACTCATTATGATCGACTTTTCAAGTCCCATTTCGCCTCTTACATCATCAGCAGGCTTTTCTGTCCACAATAAGACCCTATATCAATAAAGATTGCAGCAATAAAAGTAGGACAGAACCGTTCCAAGCAAGTATTCAAGGACCAGCTTTAACAGGAGGTAACGGAGGCTCTTGCGGAGACTTCACGTTCCCAAGGAGATGCCAAAGAGAACGCGTGCCTTCCAGCTTTCAGAAGTCGCCGCAAGCACAAAAATTGTAGAAAATGGCAGAGCTACTGCTATTAATTTATTGGTCCCTTACTTAAGCTCAAATCAGCTGAAGTAACAAGAGCAGTGATATTTTAAGAGAGAGATGATAAAGCAAACGCGTCGAAGTTACAAGGCCAAAGCGTTATCACGTGGTGCTTCATCATGCTAAAGCGGCTAAGTGCGCGGTTCTTACATCGCCGCGTCAAGCTGTCAACCTAAGCAGCTTCCGTAGCTTTTCAACCCATACCACGTCCATCGCCGCATTTTGTCTCTACTTCCTCTCTTACCCCGCGACTTTTTCTCAACCCATACTTCAAGATCTCAACGATCATCATGTCCGACGGACAAATCATGAAGCCCGACAAGGACTTCTCCAAAGAGGTTGACAAACAGCTTCCCGAAGCAGAGAAGCTTGCAAAGGTACGCCGTTAATGGATCTTCCACAATCGGCTGGGCCCTAACTTACCTTCCTAGACAAATGTGCAGGCAGCTATCGAAAAGCTCACGGCGTTGGAGAAGCAAACTAGACAGGTGAGGCTCTTCCCCTTCAATAAACATCCCCAGCTAACATCAACAAAAGGCATCGGATCTTGCATCAACATCTCGAATCCTCGTCGCAATAGTCACAATTAGCAAGGAGTCGGGGGACTGGAGTCTGCTGAATGAGCAGGTTCTGCTACTTTCCAAGAAGCATGGCCAACTTAAGCAAGCTACGACGAAGATGGTGCAGGTGGTGATGGGATTCCTAGATGAGACACCGGACCTGGAGACAAAGTTGACTGTCATTGAAACACTACGAACCGTCACCGAAGGCAAGATTTTTGTCGAAGTCGAGCGCGCTCGTGTTACAAAGATCCTCTCGGACATCAAGAAGGAGCAGGGTGAGCTCAAGGCGGCTGCGGATATTCTATGTGAGCTGCAGGTGGAGACTTTTGGTTCTATGGAGCGAAGGGAGAAAACGGAGTTCATTTTGGCACAAGTTGCGTTATGCATAGAGAATGATGACTGGACACAAGCCGGAATTCTAAGCCGGAAGATCAGTACGAAGTACCTGTCAAGAAAACCAAAGAAATCACCGGAGCAACTGGAGAAGGAGAAGAAGGATCGCGAGAAGAAGCGGGAGAAGGGAGAAGATATTCCAGAGCCAGTGGAGGATGATGTAACGGACTTAAAGCTACGATATTATGAGCAACAAATCACCCTGGCCAGACACGACGACAAGTATCTTGCTGCTTGCAAGGACTATAGACAAGTTCTTGACACCGAGGCTGTGGAGGAAGATCCCGCGAAGCTTCATTCCGTAAGTATTCTAACTCGAAGAATTTTACATCTGCTAACATTCTCAGGTACTGCAAAGAATCATCTACTATGTCATCCTCGCCCCCTACGACAACGAACAATCTGACCTTCTCCACCGAGTTCACAAAGATTCCCGAAACTCCCAAGTTCCCCTTGATGCCCAACTCCTGAAGCTTTTCACCGTCCACGAACTCATGAGATGGCCCGAAGTTTCCAAGTTGTTTGGTCCCCACCTCTGCAGCACCGATGTCTTTGATGCGGCTCCTGGTCAATCAGCAGACAAGAAGGCAAACCAACGATGGGAAGATCTCCGCAAGCGTGTCATTGAGCACAATGTCCGTGTCATTGCGAAATACTACACCCGCATCCAGATGCCCCGCCTAACCCAGCTCCTCGACCTGACGGAAGACGAGACGGAGAAGTACATCAGCGAGTTGGTCACGGCAAAGACCGTCTACGCCAAGATTGACCGACCAGCCCGGATCGTTAACTTCGCCAAGCCTAGAGATGCCGATGATGTCCTCAATGAATGGAGTGGCAACATGAAGAGTCTGTTGGGGCTTTTGGAGAGAATCGACCATTTGATTACCAAGGAAGAAATGATGGCCAGAATCCAACCGACGACGGGATCCAAAAGTGCAAAGGTGCATTAGATAATGTGTGTTCTAGTAATTTCTTTCTATTCACGATACCGCTTGTACATTAGTCTAGAACTCTAGGTATCTAAAATGCTATGGGCCTCTGATGAATCTATCCCAAACTCCTCGCTATGCAAGAAAATCCCGTCTACCCGCTATGTATATCTTCTCCTGCCCCTTCAAAACGGAACATCCATATCCTCCGCACTTTCCTCCTCTTTCTTCTCCCCTTCCAAACAACCCCTGATAAACCCGACCACCACCCCTGCCATCTCCTTCCCAACCGGCACAAAATGCCCCCCCGGATGCATAACAACACTCTCCTCACCCCCCAACACACCTCTCAACCAACCCCCTACTCATATCTTCCCCAACCACACTATCCAAACTCCCAATAACACTCAACACCTTAGTGCTAATCTTTGGCTCATAAAACGCCGCATACCTATCCCCGGGTGCATAAAACCCCGAATACGACACCGCGAACTTCAACGGCCCAAACTCCTTCTGCGACTCCGCCCAGCCCGGTGGATAAGCCAGCGCGTTTGCATCGGGATGGGAGGCTGAATGGGCTGCGAAGGCCGTAGGGCGGTTGGGCTCCAGGAGAGAGGCGACGAGCGCCGCGGCTGCGCCGCCTTGGGAGAACCCGATCACGCCGTCTATGCCATTGGCATTCTGGATCGCGTCGCGGATCGTCGTGAGACCTTTTTCTAGGCCCGTGTACTCGCCTGTGCTGTGGTTTTTGATCCACCACCCGTATGCGTCGCGCGCTTCGTCGGAGCTGGAGGGGTCGAAGCCGGGGATGTCGGCGGGGTGGAGGAGGATGGGGGCGGTGGGGTAGATGAGTGTTATTCCTGGGGTGGTGTGAGTTTTTTCGTTTTTGTTTTCTTTGCGTGGTGGTTAAGAGCTGAGAGGATGGAGTGAGGGAAAGGGATTTCAGAGAGGGAGATAGAGAAAGAGGGGTGGGGTACCGGAGAACGCGGAAGAAGGCAGCTTTTTGTTATGTGGTGGTGGTGGAGGGGGAGGGAAGGCTTTAATGAGGATCTTCTCGAGGGAGCGGGTTTTGCCGTGGAAGAGGGATCCAGACTGTGTGTATCCTGGACGAAATGTGAGTAATAAAGTGGTGAAGAGGCACGAGGAGGAGGGGGTGGAGGGGTAACGGACCATGAAGCATTAATACCTTCAACTTCCTCGGTACCGGCACACCATTTTCTTTTTCCGGCATCTTGCTAACGGTGACGAAAGGAGCAATTTGTTGTTTGTAGCAGTTGGGGCGTGTGTTTCGCAAAATGAGGCTCTGGACTAGTCGACAAGGTGAGGCTATGGTGTTATTATTGGGCATTGTTGAAGTGAAGATTCTGGAGGGGTGAGGTGATGTGACTCGGCTAGCCGGGATTCTTCGTCAGCCTTGCACTAATCAACGTCGTGTCATGGCACGGCATGGTGACAACAGCAAAACGACGTTGGGATGCTAGACCGGGGCGTAGTTGTGAGAGAGCCTTTGGGTCTGAGGTGCAGTGCGCATGAACGGGCGTTGCGGCGTAGTGAGGGAATATAGAGGTGGGTGCACTCTGAAAGAGTTGCCTGCTTCTTTGTTATATTTTCAATTTCGACAGATGTTTTTGTCTCTATCTTCGAACCGGAACTTTCAAGTCTGAGGTTTTTCGCCTGGTGTTTCTTACTACCTAAGTACAGTATGGCCAACCAGACTTTTCATCTTCTTCCACCTGCTGCTGCCTCTACAAATATATACCACGCTCCTCGTTCTCATCCTCACGCTCTCGTCTGGTGGATTTCAACACCGGCCACGAAAGTTACCTTGTCAAAAGAAACAGCTGGGCCATCTCCCCGAAAGCCATCCCTCCACCCCTTCTCTAGGCTTCCACTTGAGCTTCGACTTATGATCTGGCAATATGCCATTCCAAACGATCGAGTTATAGAGATACGATCTTGGGGAAACCCGGCCATACGAAGATACGCACCCATCAAATATAGCGTAGCTCCCCACCGACCGCCAGCAATCCTCCACGTGAATCAAGAATCCCGGCGCGAAGCCCTCCGCAACTATCGTCTCATCGAGGTCGGAGTTTCAACATGGCTAGATTACGATTCTTTAACCACTTATATCCCCTGGACGTACCACCCTGCAAACCCATCTTCAGATCGCAAATACACAGTGCGAGACATCGTCACCCGCCTACCCGCAGACGGCAGTCTCCCTCTTGATCCCACAATGCCTTACTCACCGCAAAAGATTTACATCGACTACTCCCGAGACACAATCTATCTCGGTCCGGACTTCAACTACGAACGCCTCAAGGACTTCCTCGCCACCACGGGCTCCTATCAAGAATTACCTGGCTTGCAGTATCTTGCGCTCGACCGTAAATTATGGCTTTATGGCCGCTGGGATTATTTACGGTCGTCGCTTTATTCACTATGCAACCGTCCCATCAAGGAAATATATATCGTGCCTGATGATCAGAAGCACGCCCTCGAAGACAAGTTTTATTACCGCAAACATGAAATTCAATTGAAGGATCCGGAATTTAAGTATATCTTTAGGACGTTTGGGCAGTCGGAGCTGACGAAGACTTGTGTGGAGAATTTGGGAGAGTGGTTCGGGAGGCTGTGGAAAGGGGAGGGAAGGGAGGTACCGAAAGTGAGCTGGAAGAGTATTAGGAGGGCGGGATGCAGGGTAGGAGAGTATAGGAAGGGGGCTTGGGAGGTGCAGAGGGTGTTGGAGGATATGAGCGGGTGGAAGACGTGGATGCCTGATGAAGGCGCTTGATGTGTATGCAGGAGTTTTGTTGACGGAAGTTTTAGCGATGACTGTCGTGAAGCTTTCTTGGCTGAAATTTGCTATAGGGCGCAAGTTTCTTTGGTTTGTTGTATGAATCTTCTCATGTTTCCTGTTTCTGTTTCCCGTTTCAAACAAGTCATTCGGTTTTCCCGGATTGCATATTATCACTTCTCATTTTTGAACAATAAATCTCCAATCAAAAGAGCATGTTCAAAAACCTTAAAACCCCACTCCTCAGCTGATTTGCGAGATAACGTTTGGGTTGTTTCTTCTCTGAATGAATAGTTATTTGGTGGTGGCTTAAGGGCCGATGTCAGCAAATTATTCAAGATGTTATATTCTTGGCTGAATTCTTTAGTGGTGCCTCCTACTCTTCCGCACAGCCTTGTTCGAAGAGCAGCAGAGAAAAAATTTGAGCCAGAGCAAATTTCAAGCAAAAGTCAAGTATTCCACCACCTGAACGGGTAGCACCTTGCTAATTCCGATAGCTCTTCTATAGCTAGATAATTCTTTTCAAATAGTTACCCCCATAGCAATCCATAAAATCCCTAATTATACCCTATTCATAAGCAAACGCTCGCGGCTTTGATCTAGTACTACCATCTGCTTTTATGTTTCAATAAAGACGGATACCTCAACCTTGCAATGGGTTATTCTTCTAGTAATCAATACAACGTATTTTCTTGGCTGTAGGGTGGTAATAAAAACTGCCTAATTAATTATGTTTAAGGATTAAGGTCTACCGTCTACCAGTAGAGAGAGAGTACCTAGTAAGAGAGGTGCATTCCCTGCCTTGCCCAGGTCATAAAATCACTCAACACGTCTTCAACCCCCCTGAAAATACTACCCTGCCAACGCATTACCTTTGGGTGTGCGATTTGGATCAGAAGACGGCAGAGAAAAAGAAAAAAGTTGACAGGGGACTTTAGATTGACGTTTCAGTCCAGAATTATTAATGGCAAGATCGAATAGTGATAGGCTGCTCATTCGGAGTAAGGCAATTGGTTCTCATGTTGTACTACTCACTGCCGGCATCTTGCATATGCACTCGCTGAGGTTATTATCCTGAAAAATATCCCTCATTATTTTACGTGAATTGAACACTGTAAGTTGTCTTTGCGACTGATGCTGTTTCTGACGGTAGCTTCTGTGGCACCGACTCTTGAAGCTCCTTCATGAATAGCACTCTTTTTTCAAAACAATTGAGCAGCAAAAAAGATATGGATGCTTAGGAATTAGCACATGTTGGCCGACTCCCCACAAAAGCAATACTTTGGGACCGTTACACTTTATAGTAAGCTTAACCTGAATCCGAGCAGACTGCCATCCGGCTGAACACCGAAAGCGGCTGCCCGGATGCGCAGACATACCCGACACCAACAGCCCTAACCAACCGCCAAAAACCAACACGGCCCATTTGACCTAATATCGGTTGATAAATTACTTACCCTGATCTGCGCGTAAGGTTTGTTCTCGGGAGTGCATGTTTGCATCCGAAATGCAACATTATCTACGTTTGATTATATAGCTTGCATACTTGCCGCCTTTTTCCAGAGCTCTCTTGGGCTATATACCTCTGAGAATCCTATCCAAATACAAGTTTCTACCCCTCTTTCCTCATGATCATTTTTACTGTGATGAGTTTCGCCTTCGATCATTCTGTTAGCTACAATGACGTTTAACCCCAAGAATGGGAAAATCGGCCCCATGTGCGCTTATTTGGGCTATACAGATAACCAGGGCACTCGATCCGAAAGAACTCTCAGTGTTGCTACGAAACGCCACCGTTTCGATTTTATAGCAAAGACGCAAGGTCTCAATCATCAGTTCCCAATCGATGAGAACGCCTATGAAGCTCGTGCGTGTGCTCGTACCTTTCTAGAAGCGAACCCAGGCCTCTTCAAATACTCTGAAGAAGCTGTTTCTTCTGGGTTTCCGATATATCCTCAAGATCAGAACAAGTATGAAAGTCCTCGTATAGCAGCCTTTTCCTTTGATACACGCCTGACTCCTTGTACAGAATAGTCGGCGCCTTGACAAGGCTTATGTGTCAACAGGAATATATTTTTCGGAGAAACAACAGAGTGAAGACCAGCAGGCATCTTCATCAGGAGCAGTTGGAAGAGGTAATATTCCATTGTCTTGTCGGATGTGACAATTTTTTGACTGGATAATAATAAAAAGCAGTTCCAGTCGACCAATGCCTCCAAATACACCCTCAAAGCTAATAGTGATGAATCGACTCTTTACATTCGAAATCCGAGGCTCGTTGAGAAAGACCTAGACACCTATCATCCCTCTAGGTCTTGTCTGAAAAACCCGGCGGTACGGATAGTTGAGGAACCAAAATACACTTTTCCAGCTCAGAGATACTATTCTTACATGCCAGTTGAAGAAGATACAGATAAATCGAGACTTGGGGATTATTTTTCCGAGTCACCAGCCAGTCGGGCATCGACACCTCCTGAAAAACGACAGAGAATTGAGGACTATGAGTTCTCAAGCCCGGTGATAATCACTGGCGCTCTGCAAAGAAAGTTTGACGTTCACGAATATCAACAAACTCCGGTATGGACTTGTCTTTCTTAACATCCAGCTGGCATCTGATCTCGTATTCACATTCAGCTTGAGTGTTGCTGATTTATAACTAACAGTATTTTCAGAGGCTCGCTTCCCCGGCGCCCATTACGAGAATACCTATCTCGACTCGACTCCAGGCACAGATGTTTGCTTCAGAAGATACAGTCATTGTTGACTCGGCTATGGAAGAAGAGCAACTGAAATCCTCCGTTAGGCGTTCGTTAGTAGTTAAACTGCGCGTTCCATCACTAACGATGACGAAAGGCACCGATATGATATGCCATGATGAACAGCAGAGTCTTGCAACGGGAGACGGTTGCGTTATTTCAATCGACAAAACGAGGGAAATATCAAACTCGGGCTGCTGGACACCTATCGAGCCTGGAGGTGCTTCGATGTCTCTCACCCGCACAAGCCAGGAACCTCGTCGTAACTCGCTAGAAACGAGATTTCGAACTCCTTTCTATAGCGACTTGGAGTTTCCCCCGGTCGGAGAGAACATAGACTGCACAGGTACCGTACCCACGGATCCTGATAGGGTTCTGGCGACGAAAAGAGAATCGGGTCTTACCATTACCACCGCAGCTAGCCAACTTCAGGAAATAAAAACGACGATACAGGCGTTTGATAGCCAAGACACCTGCAATGAAGACTCCATATTTTGCGCCGATACCGAGCTGATCAACAAGATCCCAGAGAAGCCGATGCTGCAATTCATGTTCCAGAACCCCAACGGGAGACCCGATCGAAAGAACATCATGCCTGGGAAAACACTGCTCGACATGAATCTTTCCGAACTATTTGCAACTGTTTCAAACAGGACCGAGAAGGCATACGAGTCGGTAACTTTCCGATACAGGGAATGGGGAGAAGGGGCCGCCATAGTAGTTCAGAAGACGGATAGCGAGGACGAATGGCAGGACATTAAGGATGAGTTTGTCATGGTTTTCAAAGATGCCATGCTGGAATATCCAAGCAGGAAGGAGTTTCTGGTATGGGTTAAGGGTGGCGATCGAACGAAGATGGAGAAGACGAACTCGGGCCGTGATGACTGAAATGCTTGCTGTCAGGAATGCCTCATTCTTGCTTTTGGGAAATATGTTAAAAGTGTGTAAAATAACAAGCTGGGAATAGGCTTTTGTATTATTCTAGATAACTAATATAAAATTAGTGGCTTTAAGTGAAAACGGAAAGCGACTCAGGAAGGGGAAGTACTGTATAATATAGCGGGCGTCAATCAGGTTCCCAAAAGACTGAGAGCGGTGGTACTTCTTCGCTATGCGACAGAAGCAAATTCTAACACTAAACTCTGAAGTAAAATCACCGTCGAATGGAAACCAGAATTAGAAATGTCGAAACATTACTGATGTCGTACAAGCTGTACATGTGAAACCACAAACGACCCCCACCCCCCTCTTCCCTGACGCCACAATCTAGAACTTCGCAACTCTAATAGCAAATGCCTTCAGATTCTCCCTCTTTGTAAAGTCGACACATCTCATCTCCTATAGTATTTTACGGCCATTTGCATAGAAAGAAGAAGCCTTACGCCGCAAGGGTTGCGGCACTAGTTTATAATGTGCTAGGTGAGGAGAAAACTGGCCCGTTCTTTAAAACAAATCTAACGAGTACATATTATAATATAAGAAATAGTTTTCAACAAATTACCAACACCCATCGGTCGCTTAGCTCAGTTGGTTAGAGCGTGGTGCTAATAACGCCAAGGTCGCGAGTTCGACCCTCGTAGTGATCAAAATAAATTTTTGCTTTTTTACCCCTCTCGAATTTTTGAAGCTTACCTCTTTTGTCATAGCATTCGCTTAACATCGAGATTTACTACACACACTGGCTTGAATTTGTATCCTCGCCCTCGCCTTATCTTTCTTCCGTTTCTGTCGCATGGCTCAACGCCATCTTCATCAAAGCCAATATTTTGCATTCGTGCAATGACTAGGATAAGATGAGCAGCTAGGACCTTTTGTTGTACTAAGATAATTTTTATTACTCAAGCAAGCATTCTTTCTTTGGGAATCTCAGCCCAGTGACTATCAAACTGTATAGGTATCTACCAACGGAGGGAGGTATCGTAGAATATGTTTCGCCGTGGAGAAAAGCGCATTCGAATTAGACAGCTACACGTACAGAGTATTTTCCTATGGCACAAAGTATGCCTAGGCTACTCATACTCACATCACATCCTCAGCCCATCCATTGTCCGTCTTTACACTTTTCCAATCTTAGCCAATCGCGATATTCAGCCTTTCAGCTGATGTCCCGAAGAGGCTAAGACTCTTGCCACATCTGCAAGTTGTCGGCTTGCCAAGCCTCTCAGTACCGTTTTTCGCTTCTTAATTCCTCATATTGCTTTCTGGTCTGGACTTCAAGACGGGGCCGTGCAGTCACCGGACGCTAAAAGGTGGTACCATAACTGAAAGATTATGGATTTCGAAGCTATTATAATAAAGCGAATAGATGAATTGTTGTATGCGGGTTTTCAATGCTTCTTACATATAAGATATAGTGTTGCGCCGAATAGTTTTGGACGCAGGTTGCCTCAAGAACTGATTAGAGTTGGAGTAAGAGGCGCACTTTATAAGCCGCATCAGTGTGCCTTACGGAGTACGAAGTCTAAATTTAAATGGTGGGGGTACCAGACAGGGCTGCCATCGGCGGCTGGATTTCCATCCCACACCTTCGCAGCATCTCATTCGCTACAAGTGTACTATTTATTAGTTTATCACCGGGTCTCGAATGCAGCATGCTTCAGCCTCCACAGGGATACCGCCGTAGTATTAAAGGCGCAATGTACACAAAGCAGACTTAGCCTTATAATGGGTAAGCCCTTTTATGACTGATGGATCTTAGTACGCCACATCCATTTTCTACTATGCATTCCTTGGAGACGCCCCACACAGTCGTGCTTCGCTGGCGTTTAAGTCAACGCTCATAAAGCCCCCCTTCCCCACCGAGGCTCGCGATTCTCTGAAGTTCTTTGATAAGTATCCAGCACATCTAAACTTCCCCCTTTAATTCAAGTACATCCACTCAAAATGGCAACCCAATACCAAGAAACAAAAAGTGCGTTCTTCCATCTTCAGCTCTACTTCAACACATCCACAAATACTGACATTGCACAGTCTTGCCTGAATACAGCGCCCAAGAAATGCAGCAGCCAATGCCACAACAACCCCAACAGTTCATCGCCCACCCTCAATCCCCTCCTCCGTGGGTCTTTGCTTTGGTCCCCCATTCCCCTCATATGCCCTCTAACAAACCTCCAGCGGCCAGCAACAATACTACCAACCACAACCCCCCCAGCAACCTGGCCAAGCTCAACCCCAAGTACTTTACGTGCAATCCCCACCAACGCCCGGGCCCGGTTTCCCTCCTCAATCACCACCCCCACCAGGATTCTCCCCACAACAGCAGCAAGCAGGGGTCCCACAACAACAATATTTCGATCCTAAAGGCTTCCAGCAACCCCAGACCCAGCAAATGCATCCTCAGCAAGTGCATCCTCAGCAACCTCAACATCCCCAAGCCCAAGGTCAGGCTCCGGGCCGTACATACCAAAATGCGACGCCTTTGCCTTCACTAGGCCGCACCCCAGCACCCGTCGATTGCCCAACATGTGGACAACGGGCTATGACCAGAATCACATATGTAGCGGGAGGGTATACGCAGTAAGTATCCTTGTTCTGCATATAGTTGTACTGTATGAGTGGAACAGATTTTGCTGATCAAACGAACAGTGCTTGGGCAGCGGGGTTGTGCGTGTTTACGTGGTTCTTCTGCTTCGTGCCGTATCTGATTGATGGCATGAAGAACGTGGATCACCATTGTGGAAATTGCGGCGTTATGCTTGCTACGTGGCATAAGAGCGGGAGTGTCGATGTGCATCAACATGCTTAAGGGGTCTATTTGCTTGTTGTGTGTCTTTTATGCTAGCTCTTATTTGGTCTGGGTTTCATTTGGTTTTTGTTCTTTGTATTTAAATAATGGCGTCCATACCTTTTACTCGGAACAATACCAAGCTTCATAATTGCTTCTTTTAAAACCTATCTTCAATCGCAATGACTAACTCGTATATCAATTTCATATTTCTAATCTAATCTTCTGATATCACTTATAGTTCAATATCATTCTTTTCAGACCCATGAACTGGGCGCCTGGTCATTGCCGAGAGCTCGAGCCTGTACCAGTGGAAATTCCACCTTTGATTTCCTAGAGAAATAGATAGCTAGGTAGATATCTAGGGAGAGTGCTTACTTTTCGATTCGCACACTCCTGCAAGAAACCAAACGCCAATCCCTGACTCGAGCCATCACCACTTTTACTCTGCAGCTCCAATGTCTGCACCGCCGCACCAGCTGTTTGAAATGCCGGCACCAAGCTAGTAAGATAATATATCATCGTGAGGACTCCAAACACGATGGTAATCTTTAGCGTACGGCGGGCGATGTTGTTGCTTATTACATCTCGAAGCGCTGCCCGTAGAAGCGGTTTCTCGACTCGTTGAAGAAATACTTCACGGGCCTTCAATATCTTTGGGGCATACCGGTTTGATGGTTCTTCTTCTAAGCCTTCCGGCGCTTTCAGAAATTGTTTTCTCAATGGTGATAAGGCTGGAAGTGGTATCGACACTCCCAGACTTGTCGTTTCTTGGACAGTCATGCTTGGCCTAATAGTCCGAGCATCCGTTCAGGGGACGTGAGTATATCTAAAGGTCTACTTTAGGGGAAAATGATAGTAAAAGGAGAAGGCCACCTTGGAAATTTCGAAAAGAAGGACGAGGTCGCGACAAAAGGTTGATGGGCAGGCTGCTTTAAGCTTGCGTTGAAAGCCTTGGGGTACGCCTTGGACAACGCAGATGTATAGTAGTTGGTAGGTCAACATTTTTCTCTTGTTTCGGTGTAAGCACACCCGAAAGGCACCCTTGGTATCAGCGATATTCTGCCAGGCCACATCACTTACTATGAATCTAGAGTCGCAAAACTTCACTTCCAAGACGTCTCTCTCGCTAACCAGTTTTAACAGCGCTCAAGTTAATCAAATGCAAGTCACACTCAAGAAGTTTACCCTGCGGTTTTTACTGCTCTCTCCACAAGAAGGCCCCACTCGAAGAAGCATAATGAAGAGCCTAAACAGCCTACGTACTACAGTTATCACAACTAGCACTTAATAGGTATATCTATATGCAGAACCTTCCTTGGCGAGTTTATCTGCCTTTTTGTTACTGATGATAGATCCAGTCTATTTTCATATAGATCATCAGAAACTATTTAGATTCAAGTCTTCTATGTCTAATTTTCGATGTGGACTCACATAATCCCTAATTCAGTAATGTGTTCCCTAAACCCAAATCTCAACCCACTCTTTGCCGAGATTAAATGATCGACGTTTAAGTAACACACCGAACCCAATGTATTGTGGAATCGTCATATAAAACTGTGGCGGTGCTACTAAGTATAGAAGTGACGATGTCTTGATCGGCGTGAAACTTCTTGCAGACCCCACCTTGTTTTGAGGCTATGTAGCCAACTCACAGAGCGCTGAATATCACAACCCGAAAAGACTAGGATTGGAAAGGCTGTGCTATAGATAAATATTTCACATGACATGGTTATGAGCATTATAAGCCCAAAAGCCGGCACAGCACACAATTGCCAAAAGAAAGGTCATTACTCGCAACAGCCACATCGAAACAAGATGGAAAACCACCCAGAAATCCCTCAGCAACCAGAAAGCATAAGCCAGAGTCGAACCCTCCAAGTCGACTTCACATGGAAGAAATGGAAAGCCCTGATTTCAGAAAAAGACGACCCTGCATCAAAACCAGTCTACATAATCGATTTCCCCTTCAAAACAGCACCTTCTCTAGTCGTCAAATCCGCCGCCGACGATTCAACAATCGGTACGGGGACTCTGCGCCCGATATCCATCAACGCCTCCTGCGAACTGCACGGGTCACCCATCGAACTAACCGCGCAGAAGCGGTTCAAAACCCAATACACGCATCTCTCACACTCATTCTCCGACACAGATGCGCCGGTCCCCATGCACTGGACCAGCAGCAGCGGCTTCACGACCTGGAATTTTATCTGCCTAGACCAGAACCAGTTGCCCGTGGCAAAGTTCTCGGCAAGTGTATGGGCGGTGAAGAAGATAGGGAATATTGAGTTTTTGGGAGAGAAAGCTATGAGCGATGCTGCGAGAGATGAGATTGTTGTCACGGGATTCACTTTGTATTGTTGTATGCTGCTGCGTTGTAATAGTGTTCTGTCCTTGTTTGGTGCTGTTTTCTCACGGCCGGGGCATGATGACAAGGGTAAATTGGGGTCATAATTAGGCGTTAGGATGTGAGCGACATTAGGCTTTGGAGTCTGAGACTTAGCAGCTTAGGTGCGCTATGGTAAAGTCTTGTATAGTATCAAACTGAAAGTCCAACTTCATCAAGGAAGGCAGCTTGCGAAAACCAAAATTTCATTGTCATGTCAATATGAAAGAGTGATACTGAATCATTGGAGGCAGCACAGCCAAAAGGATGATTGTGTCCTGAAAGACGTCTACTTGCATGAAGTACATTCAATAACGTCCTCATTTTGATCATATAAACCGGGATACGATCGATCCCAAGAACACCTACTAACACCAATTCAACGTCTTTCAAGTCTCCTTCACTCTCGTAGCATCCGCAGCCACCAGCCCTTTCTCAAAGTCTTTTATTAACAACTCAATATCCTCCAACCCAGGAGCGATCCGCATTTGCGTCTCCTTCAAACCATACGGCTTCACGGCCGCCAAATCCTGACCATAGATACCCTTCACGTACGACAAAGCTAGCGTCCAATGGGCCCCGAGATGCGGGCTAAAATGTACGTTTGCGTTATCATAGAAGGCTGCCATTGCATCCAAAGTATCGAATTCGAAACTGAATAGACAACCATAGCCTGGAGTGAAATCTGCTGTTGCGGGGCGCATTCGCTCCTTGTAGTATGGGAGAGACGGAGAGGTTGTGGTGTAGTATACTTTGGAAACGGTGCTCGTTGGGTCGGCTGCTTTCGTTTGGAGGTATTCTACAAGGCGGAGGGTGTTGCTGTTGAGGATCTTGGAACGGGCTAGATAGTCTCTACTGTTGTGTTCAAGGGCTACGGCGTCGGGGTTGGCCAGGTCATTGCGGTAAAATTCTTGGTACATGGATTTAAGTTCAGTATATCTTGATCCGGAAGGATTCAGGACTGCACTCGCGGCCATGACATCGGCATAGCCGCTGAACGATTTTGTCAAGGATGTTATAACGACATCAGCAACCCCAAGAACGTCTACGTTGCAAAAGCTTCCAATGGTATCGTCAACGATTAGCAATGATCCGTACTTGTTCGCCAGCTTCCGCAACCGACCCAGATTCGGCGTGACGAGTAAGGGATTTGCTGGAAACTCGGTCCATATGGCTTGGACCTTCCTGCCCTCTTCGATCTCAGATGTCAGATAATTTTCAAGTTCATTGAGTTGCTCATTGCCAAGCGCAAAGAGCCTGAAATTCGGACCAAAATCATCGAAGACGTGAAGTGTCGAATGGAACGCATATCCAAACAATACACTGCCGCCGTTTTGCTTCTTCAACAGATATCGGTGGAGGCCATAGATGGCTGCCATCCCGGTCTTGAACAGATAGACATCTTCTGGGGAGACCTTTGCCTCCCGTGATGGGCCAACAGGAGCACGTTCGAGAAGACCGGCAATACGTTCTTGAATCTGACCGTGGGCTGGGGACTGTTCCACTTTTGGTGGTGGCGTAGAATCACCGATGACCTGATGAAGCAAGTTGATCCTATCGAGGCATTCTTCCGCTAATCGGCTTGAAATACCAGTTCCAGCATTCTGCCAGAAACTATTGAGTGTTGGATATCTGGCGGCAGGAAATAAGACTGTGTGTAGTCGCACGTGAATGTCAAAGACCCGGATCGAAATCTCTTCTGGCGGTACGACGTTCTCGCCGCGTTTAGGATTGATTGCAAACTCTACGCATTCTGCAGCAGAACTTGAAGAAGCGAAAATGAAGAGGATTTGATTTTCTGCAGCTTCCATGTGCTTCAAGATTGCTGCGGCGAGCTGGTGGTTTCCTACATCAGCTGAATCAGTGAAATTTGGAGGATATGACATACATACATTCTTCACGTCTTTATTCATCATCATCCGTGGATATACACTTTTCAACTGCCCCAAGAGCTCTTGATCTCGAGCTACGAAACGGAGCAGATTGCTCCACAGAGGAAGATGAAAGGTGATTGCATGCCGAGGAGCCGGAGGAATGGCACGCCCAAACTCAGTTTCAATTTTGGCAGACATTTTGCTGCTCAAGGATCCGGCTGACGATCAATTCGATTTGATGTTGACGTTGATTTAATATTGTGGAAGAGGATGAAATGTAACGCCGATGGTGAATTGAATCCTACGGGATGATGCGGCCGCTACGAGTACTAGCTTGTAAGCCCTAAACTCGTATCGTACAACTGATAGGTTGGATTTCTCAGTACTTCTGACATGCGCGACCGTAGCTGTAGCTGTAGCTGTAGCTGTAGCTGGAACATTATTCTATATCAAACTGTTTGTAAATTTCACTAGAAAATGGGAAGCATTATTGAGACTCCTTGCGTATAGTGCTTCACTCAACCATGATAGATAGAGGCGTGCCACATGATGAATCACATGACGTCCTATACCTACTTGTAATGATCATCCTTAGCTTGCTTGACCCAAGCGAGAGATGCAATTGATTTTTATAGGATGTCTACCACACCGGGGCTGTGATCCGCTGAGTAAGACGGCAGATTCGGGCAGTGAGAGTAATACCTACCAGAGTAGTACGTACATCTGGAAAAAAGCCGAGTTAATAAAACTCTTTTGACAAGTCAATTTTGAAAATCGAAGAAGATGTGTCTTGCTGGCACCTAGCGTTTATCACTTGAAAGAAAATAAGTAAAGGAATGAAAAGGCTCATTGTCTACATGACGTTTAATGGAGAAATAGGCCTAGAGACAACGGTTGATTGGAGGACCCGCTTGGGTAATAATGCAAACATTCACAGTATACTGCTATGCAACGGTTCGTTCAAAATCCAAATGTTAGCAAGCTTTATGTTTTCAGTCTTGGCGTCTTTGCCAGCAGCCTTGCTTGCGCTACCTTTCCAAGAACGCAGGCCTGACCCAGCCCGTCAAAGTAAAGCCAACAATGTTACAGCCTTTGATCATTGCCCAGATACAGACCTGATATAAATAAATTGAGGTGAATTGACCTTGCCCGCATAGAACGGCGATAGGATACGAAACATCCATCTGACACATCGACAGACGTTGACGCAGCTTAGAATCTTCAAGCCAGATAATTTGACAAAGCTACATGAGCTTTTACAATTATCCAAGATATGCCTCCTGGTGCAGCGAGGCAACAAGAAGGGCATATTGCAATTTTATTGGCGAATATTTGGAGGCGCGGTAGCTTGTATTGATTAATGGTGTAGTTGAGTCAGAATAGTCCTCACCCAAAAGTGTTACTGTTGCCGAAAGCACCGCTAGGTGAATCTTGTCGCAGGTGGGAAACCATACCGCATTGTTCCTCAACTCGAAGGATTGCTTCCAAGAGAGGTTTCCCATCCACGTCTTCACTCGACTTGTCCATGTAAGCGGCTACCGAGTTCATGAGGGGAATCAAGACATCCCGAGGGACAGTCGTGCGTCCACCAATTGCAATAGATTCAACCAGTGAGCGAATATCGTTCTTGATGATTTTTGCATGCTCTTCCTGATCATCTACCTTCTTGCCAAGATTTTCAGGCCAAATTGTCCTCGGATCAATAGATATAATCTCCGCCAAGTGTGCAACTCTCTCCTCAGGGTGCGGCTGCTTCAATGAATATCGGACGTCAGTTACATGCTGCCTAGTCGAGAATTTGCCGCCAGCAGATGACATAGCGGATTGCTTAGCATTATTGGCGTGCATGCGGGTCATGAATCTCCCACCTGCAGCATCGAGAGCGTCGCCTACGAAAAGCGCATCATGACCAAACAGCTGGACGCTTCGCATATTCCTGTATATGTCCGCCGGCATGTGGCCCTTGGCCGCCTCTACGGCAGCTGCTGCTTTCAAGAAAGAGTTGATTTTGATGCCATCGGATTCATCGATCGTGTGCGAGTGAAGCCAATCGCACTCCTTTTGACTTGAGTGTTCAAAGCGGTAATGGTCAGGTATGTCTGGAAGTCCGTGGAAGAACTTCGCCTTCACCCTACATGTACAAGTTCCTCCTTCCCGGCGCTGCCTCTTGCTGACAGGATTAACGCCTCGGGAGGGTTCGTTTTCAAGCTTCCGCGCGAACCGACAGGCAAATCGTATGGAGTTGTACGGGATTTTGTCCTTGCCGACAACGTTGATCTCATCATATCTTGACCATATATTATCGACCATAGGCCAGTATCTTTCGAACACATCTGCGCGCATAGAGAATGGGACCGGCATTTCGAAAAGAAAATTGCGCATCTTCTCCGTGTCAAGAGGAATCTGGAGGCAGCTGGACGGCATGATACCGGAGAGCTGGCGGGCAACTACACACAGGCCTCTCCGTGACAGGTTTCAAGGAGGTCGTTCCAACCGCGTATACAGATACATTCGCAAATGTATTACATTGGGTTGCAAGGCGAGGAGCAGATATGAGTAGGAAAAACTTCCTGAAGCTTACGACGGTGAAGTGAGAGCTGGTGGAGTGAGCTGTGGCTTACCTAAGCTGAATACCCCTCACACGTGACTGTGCCCCTTTTCCCAATGACCTCGACCTCCTCTCTTTCATTCTTTTAGTCGTAATCACTCATGCTTTTTCTCGGTGGTCTCTAGCTGTAAGCTAGCATAGACCTTTTCATTGTTGAGCGCCGCAACAGGTCGATAAGCCTATACGAACTAGATAAGCCCTATCCCTAACAGGGTCAAACGTAGAGTGTACTTACAATGAAAGTTCGGAGTTCGTTTGCGAATCGGCTTCGGCAAAGTACACAGTAATATCGGAACCCGGTCCCTCCTTTGCCGTCTTTACGGGTTTTGATCCTGAATGTGAAGGATAACTGATAGAGAATTAGTAGCTTTCACATTGCTATTAGTGTAGATGCTTAGCATTCGTTGTGGTGTTGCGTATGCGAAGAGGTTATGCCCCTTCGCTGACTAGAGCATCAATCGGGCATAAGCATCTCCGTCTACTAGTGTAGTAAGGCGTATAAGTATGTAGAGTATATGACTCAGTGTCAGCATTTTGATAGAATCTCAAAGGCTTTTAAGGCACTTGGAGCGCACACTTTTCAGACATTGAATAATTTTGGGACCGTTATTTTACATTATCCAACACAAAATGGCAGACGCCTTCCACTCAGCAAGGCTCACTTACCGTGCCATTGAAGAAAACGAGGAAGACACGTCCTTCATCCACTCACTTCGTCTTGACTCTGCTCTTCGCGCAAACAGTGAGACTATGATATTCAAGCCAGTAAACAAAGCTTCGAGTGCAAAGGCTGCCGCACACTACCGCGATAAAAATCTTATTAGTGTCTTGATATGCCTCCAGGTTACATCCGCGAAGGAGGGAGCAGAAGTCTCAATACCAGCGACAAAACCAATCGGATTGATCAACTTGCATCCCGGGTTTGAACAAGGCCGGGAGCAGCACCGCAACGCTGATATAGGCGTCAAGATTGCGGCCGACTACCAGCGTAAGGGATACGGGGGTGAAGCTATCAAATGGATACTCGGTTGGGCTTTTAAATATGGGGGCTTGCACCGTGTGGGAATCAGCTGCGCTTCCCATAATCCTGGTGCGCGACGATTATATGAAAGCTTAGGTTTTGAGTACGAGGGTGCGAAGAGGGAGTCTTTTTGGTATGATGGCGCGTGGCGTGATGAGCTTATTTTGTCGATGCTGGAGAATGAATGGCGTAAGATAGTTCAAGAGGAAAAGTCTTGAAGATTGCTATTCTCCTTGCGACAGACGCAAATTAATAAGTAATCAAAGGAGCAAACTAGATTGAAAGTATAGATAGGTTGCGATTCGGAAAAGATTGCTACAGTATTACACAATTATCATCCACTAGGATATCTTGATCCAAAGAAACGTATGGAGCCTAGACATCGAGAGTTCTTTCATCGACGTACCCGTCCACTGGGGTTAGGGAAAATTGCATACATTTCACCCTATAATAATAGATTTGGTATCCTGACCCCAACGCCGTGCTAAGAGTCAAACACAAATATCCAACAAATACATCCCTCACTCAATAATCTTCTTCCCCACCAGCGTCACCATCATCGCCGTCGTCCCCGTTGTCAAAGTACTGCTCGGCATTATAGTCATCGCCCAACTCGTCGTCGTCGAAGTCATCGTCTACAGGTTCCTCTTCCTGCTCATCTTCGTCCAATTCCTCCAGGTCCTCCTCGCCAGCAGTCATAGCATCAATTCGTGCTAGAATGTCGGTCTTTTTCGAGGCAGGGTCCTTAAGCTTCTGGCGACTTCTTGCGCCGTTTAGGGTAAGTGTTTTCTGCCGTTTGACGTTTTCTTCTTCGCCATTGAGTGTAGACCAGAGTTCTTCTGGAAAGAGTCGGTTGTCTAATAGCTGTTAGAGGTGGCTCATGAGGGGAGTCGGTGACGCTTACTGAAAGGACGGCCGGAAAGCTTTGGGACCAGATTCTTCGGAGGCGCATATCTATCGGAATACGTCTCTACACCTTCAGTGAAAGGATCCATAGTCGCCTTCTTGTCGCTCCCATACTGCGCATTGAATTGATCTTCGCCAAAGATCTTGATTGGATTATCGACATTTCGTTTGGTAGGTTGGCTGTAGAGAGGTCCGCGATGGATTTGCTCTTGGAGAGTCTTCAGATGCCGTATCTGGCATTTCTCTCTCGCGGTAAGGGGTTTGGGCTTCTTGACATTGGCGCCGGTAGGATGCTCCTACATAATCATTAGAATTACGAGTCTAGTGAAGGAGGGGGCGGGATGCGCACTGGGAACAAGCCAATCTTGACGCCTTTGTTCTGTCGTATCTTGCGCGCCTCAGCTTCGAGGCCTTCATCCTGCTCCCATGTGGCACCCTTTAACCCTCCTCTACCACCGAATCCTCCGCGGCCCCCACGGAAGGACATTTGTGTTGCAGTGGTGGTGTGGTATCGTGCGTATCTTGCGATCTTCGAAGCTTTAGAAGGCTGTGAGTAAATTTTTGATGGGCGCAAAGTTATGGCGGGGTACAGTACAGGCACAGGCATACTCGTACCTAGATGCCGGTATATTTAGCGCCGGAGTGAGGGTTGCTGCGGCTCCGGGCTATCTTTTTGGGCGGAGTAAACTTCTGGAGCCTTGTCTTGTGTTGTTGTGCCCCAACACAGCTACGACAGCTACAACAACTACAATAGTTTCACCAACATGGAGGAAACACAGATACCCATTACGGGTCTCGAGGAGCTTGAGAGCCATTTGAAGCACATTATTGATGAGCCAGATACGCCTCTCAACGCCGATTTGTTTGATGAGGTAGAGTTGCAACTTACTGGTATGTACACGCTCTCTCAAGGCTCCGCTCGTATTTTAATCAAGAGCTATATCCTCTCTACTGGGCAGGTCATCAGAACTTGTGGCTCCGTCCCTCCCATCTCTAGTGGCAACGAAAACTTCACTCAACATATAGCGTCGCTGCCGTTATAATGCAAATGAAGAATACTGCTAACAGTTTCTAGACAGCAACATACCCCCTTTGATACCCCGCCTTCTCCCGAACGTCACTCAAATTCTGCTCACCTACGACAAGGATCCTGCAATTCTTGCAAGTCTCTCCATAAAACTTCTACGGCCCGTCCAATTCACCCAAGCTCTCACTCTGGCATCTGAAGATGCTCTTATTCAAGCTTTGCGATCCCACGCACCCTCTGCCAACATTCTTGGAATCGCCGTACTCGAAAAGGCATCTAGATCCCCTGGTGATACAGCGATATTGTCCATTATGAAAGGCGTGGTACAAAGCTTTGTACGGATATGGCTTAGCACACCACATGTTGAAGTGGGCGAGAAGGCGACTAAAGCACTTGGTGATTTGCTGGAGGTGGATTGCGATAAGAGATCTTCTGCTGGGATCGATACAAGAATGAGCGGAATACAATTAGCAGGTACCCCACCTGGCCAAGGATTGCTGTGGAGACGAATCTTCCAGGATCGAGACATCTATGGCTTGATCTTCTCGCTCTGCAGCTTCAAGACAGTCGGTACAGAGGAAGACCAGCTGGATGAAAGGCAAAAGTCATTGGCACAGGGTCGGCTGCTGAGGATTCTCCCAAGACTAGCGGCACTTGATTTCCATACCGTAACCCACACGCAGTTCCGTGAGATGGAAGCGCAATATGGCTTACAGGACGGAGATCATGGTCTGTTGTTCTTCGCCATGGTGGACATGGTGGACAAGCAAGACATCTTGATGCATCTCAACTTAATCGACATCTTCATTGAATTATTGGGAAATATGAGCATCACAGAGGTTACACAAACAACTTTGGACTATCTGGCTACCCTGACAAAAAAAGTCGCTGGATCAGATGGAGCACTTTATCAGTCCCTAGAGGCAATTTCCGTATCGCCAGACGCATCACCAGATCTCGTAGAGCTTTTGGTCAAATTGAGTCGATATCAATGAAGACCCCCACTTTCCTCAAGACACAATACTGTATGTATCCCTTGAGCAAATACCTAATTAGTAAATCCTTGCCTTGGGCCATGGGATCTACAGGACTGGTGGACTCCTCTTATGAGGCCCAGCCTCATCTACCCCGGAATACCTCGTTGTATCAAGCACTCGGCTCTTGCGGAAAAGAAACCGACTCGCTAAGAACTAAGTCACTAGGAAATTATCCTGAATCAATGTGCACGAGTAGTCACTTATATGGAGCCCTACCAGCTGTCTGGAACCTGTAATGCATGAATGAATAGGCATTGTTTCAATGTGGGGCTTTGTGATTGAATTGACGCCACAGAGTATGGCCCGAACTTACGATTTGTCTCAGTTGACGAACTTCGGATATGCAAAACTCTTCCACTTCCTACTGGTTCTTGTCATTCTACTTTGCCCAGTGACGGCATTGAATTTTCTTCTTAAATGTTGCAAGTTCAAAGCCTCGTAAAGCCTTTTTTCTTTTCTTTTACAAAACACGCAAGGGATTGAATCAATACTTCTGGTCTTGAATCACCCCTCGCAGGAGATCATTAGACCGGGAGATAGTAGAGCGAATCTTATGATTTTGGCCTATCTCCTCGGTAAGGGGGGTATGTCCTTCGGCCACCACCCTCAACAGAATCTACAGAGCACCTCCAGTACCCATGTGGAGCGGGGACACAATCAAGACATGCTCAGAAATTTCTTCTTGCCGTCTGAAGGGGACCGGACTGTTACATTGTCTCCCTTTATTCGAATACCTTCACCAGTAACATGGCCAACACGCCACCATGACCCCTAACCTTTTCCCTCTATATATATTTATTCCCCATGATATCGATGTACTTTCTATTCAACCGTCTCTTCAAGCATCTCTCTTTCTGCTTGACTTCTCATCGTCCTTTACTTCCTAGGTTTCGTTCCTTCTGCCTCGGGCTTTCCACAATGGGCGGACTTTCTCTAATTAAGGTCTTGTTGATCGGTGCTTTCTCCGTCGGTGCTGCCAATGCCCAGACAACGACTGTCGTTACTACTACCATTACCAGGCCGGTTACCATAGCTACCTTCACGTCATATGTTACTCTCAGAGGTACAGAGTGCTCCCCAAGCTCGCCTACCGGACCATACAACCACTCCTCGGTAGCCCCATCGACCAGCAGAGTGAGCAATTTCACAACCTCTACATTCGCCTTGACGAGTAGCATTTTCACCTATCCCACTCCAGTCTCCAGTCTCTCAATTATTAACGCTACTACGTCAATTCCGAGCAGCGGAGTGCCTCCATTCAGTAACGCCACAACATCTTCCAGTGCGAGCTCGAGCGGGGTCTTTTCAAGCTCCATTGTGTCAAATACGAGCTCGACTGCACTTTCCTCCAGTACTGCCGAAGCAAGCTCTCCGAGCTACAGCGTGTTCAAACCATCAAGCACGAGCGTTGGCATCTATCCAAATTCTTCCACCTTCATGACTAGCACCACGAGCTCGAGTTCTGCATCTGCAACATGTTTGTACTCATTTTCCCTTTTCAATGACTGCAACTAATGCATGTAGGCACGCCGCCTGTTCTTAGAAACGGCGGGTTTGAAGATGGTGTTGTCAGTCCTTGGGCACAAGTACCCGGAGTTGACGATTCCGTAAAACCACTAGTCGTCGGAGATAGCCGCGATACAGGAATTTCTACTTATGGAGAGCGTTACCTGTGAGTTACTTCACCCCACATCAAATAACTTGCTAAGTCTATTCTAGCGAAACATTTCTCTACGATAGCGGAATCACCTTAATACACCAAAATGTCACCGTCTGTCCCAGAACCCGATACACATTGTCTGTCTCCGGTCAAGTAGCCATCGATCCTGCTGCCGATCACAGCAAGCAGGTTCAAGTGCCCATCTGCTCGATCTTGATCTGCGACAACGTGAGCGGCGTCTGCAGCGAATCGGAGGAGGTCAATACTCAAGATTTCATTACAGTTACCAAGAGGTTCAGGACTAGCACTAACCAGCAGACCGCGGATATCTACGTTTATGCCGCTTGCGTTGGGACGAATTCAACGCACATCAATACCGTGTATTTGGACCAGATCAAGATCGAAGGAACTCTTTATTGAATGGGCAGACTAGGATTTATTCACTCCTTGACTTTGATCTGCGGGGTTATTGTTTCTTTTGTCTTGGTGTTTCAGCACCAGAGACAAGTGGTGTTACTATTTTTATTATCTTTAAAGGCTTCAGCAGAGTGTAACAGTATTTATACGCTATGTAATGCATGGCATAGGTTGGTTTAATAATAGCAAAATATACGATGAATACACACAAATCAATGCTTTATCTCATCTCCCAACTTGTGGCTTTTCGATCTGACATCTTATGCAAGACATGAAAATTCTTTGTTACACTCACCTGGTTCTCAGAAATCGATATATCATGTTCATAATCTTGGCGCATGTATTATGCGAGATTGATTGATGCATCAACTGCGCTCCTTGCATGAAGGTTTCTTGAAGATGCAGGAACTACCATGTATCAGATATCTTCATGAAGATCTATATCTCTGGAGAACTGATCCATAGAACGGTTCCCCCCTTTATAAGCCTAGCGCAGCCCCGTTCAGGAAGCGAGATAAAATCACGTGGTTCCACCATCAGTACTTGCATCGACGTTTCTCCTTTTGCCCACCGAGCATTTAAACTTGTAGGAAATAATCCACGAACTTCTCGGCAAGTGTAGAAACCTCATCCAAATCAACAGCTTTGAACTACATACTACTTCACTTCAACTCGAGTATTGCTTTTACCAACCCCACCTGTACGAAGGAAGCCAGCCAGCTCTACACCTCTAGATCCCTACCAGCACCACCACCAAAAGCGAAATAACAATCCTAACAGTAAGTACAAGTACCGCCACAGCACTACCCACCCTCACTCCACCCTATACCATCCGTCCGTCCGTCCTCACTATTCATCTTGAACAGGAAACCCGTCCTCCGTCCCTCTACTAACGCCAGAGCTTCCGTCCCGCATCTCATAGACCCCAAATCCTCCACTATGAAAACAAGCATCCCAAATGATATGCTACCCCGCCCTCGACCAACCCAGCGCTCAAACCAGCTACTAAGAATACAAAAAACTACCTACTCGCAACCTTGGCGAGATGCTTTGCAGATACATGTAGTATCCGCCGTTTTAGTTATAGGGAAAGATTCGCCGGAATTACACACTGTATAGTTGCTACTCTTATACATAAATCTACCCCTGTTCGAGTAAAGTGGCTTGGGATACGAGGAATATTCACAGTTTGCACATGTTAGACTCGTACTTTTAAAAAAAAGAGGTGACTGAGTTGGGGTGTCGAAATATTATGCAACAGGTAGCGAAGCAAAGGAGTCAGCAAGCTAGTGGTATGTTTATTTGGATATGGAAATGAGAAGCCGTTCGTGAAAAGGGAACAAGAAAGAAAGTAGGATATTTTTCCTAATATTCAGATACTGTTGGGATATATATGTCACGTGTACCACGTGACTTAGTGTAGCTTAGTAAGCGAAGAGGCATAACCTCTTCGTGTCCACAACACCACTAGAATACAAGACGGAGCAACCCAAAGATGACCATATAGACTAGACGACGAGCTAGTACGTGATCACGAAGTGATGCAACACCTGTGTTACCAACAGATACCAAAAGCACCACGCTATGATTGATATGCCGAACCAACTAAAGACCATGCGCAGATCGCTGAAACAATATGCAATGTTCATCTGATTCCGACTTAAACGATGATGGAATGTAGTTCCCTTCCGTAATAAACAACGCCATGCTCGCTCTTCCAACCGACCGACTGCGGCCCCCATATTTCAATTCAAAGCACTTTACCTACACCTGGCTATGTACGCCAGCCAAACTCTAATTACTCTCCGCCCTCCCCAGCCGATACAGTCTCGGCAGGATTAGGATAGTAGTAAGCCGCTACGGCAATAATGCAGTAAATAATCAAACACATCGCGCCCTCTAAATAATTCGATTTCTGATCTCTCAAGAAATTGCCCACGACGAGGATGGCAAGGATGAGTACGACGATCATGAAGACCTCAAAATTCAAATCCATGTCTTTGTCCAGGCCCCAGCCGACGATGACCACGAGAGGGGCGTTGAATAAGGCAGTTTGAATCGTGGCGCCAAGGACGTGTGATAGGGCGAAATTCATCTGGTTGTCCCACGCTTCATCTACAGCCGTCAAATGCTCTGCTGCCTTCTCGACGAGCGGGACTAGGATAAGACCCACAAAGGCATCCGAAACACCTTTCTCGACGATATTGGGGATGTGTTCGACCAGACCGATTGCGAGGAGTGTTACCAGGGCAATGGAGACGGCGAGGGCCACGACACACTCGGTGAAGGTCAGCTTGGGTTTGCGCAGATCTTTATGTCGGTCGTCGTCGTTTTCTTCGTCCAAGAGCAGGATGGCGTCGTAGATGCTGTGGTGTGTGCGTACTTGGAACCAGATGTAGATAGCATATGCCACAATGAGGAATATGGAGGCGATACGCGAGACATGCTTGGCTCTACTTTCTAGGTCTTCAGTGGTTTCGTTGCTGTCGCTTGCTTGAAGAGCTGCGAAGAATGCGGTAGGTACGGTAAGGCCGAGTCCTCTGTTGACTTTCGTTAGTTTACTGGTTGGGCTTGAGGATGACTACGGTTATAGTTATAACTTACGCTGTTAGCAGCAGACCGCTGCCCACTTCACTGATAGTGTCATCAAACTTTTGCTCTGCCCGCTTCAATCCACCAACGAAGAAACACATCCCAAGACACAGGAGAAGGGTAGCCAGAATGGAGCCAAGGATTGCTGCTTGAATGACTGAAAACTTATCCTCTGAGAGAAGAACCATAAAGAGAACAATCTCAACAATAGATCCTAGAGTAAAGTCCGAGTGTTAGTATTACTTCTCCCAGAACAGTCAGGAGTAATAGAGAAATCCCAACCCCAGAAACAAGGTTTCCTGATGAGTGTCCTTACCTAAAGTTGTTTCAACCAGAATACCAAATACTCTAGGCATTTTCCTGGCCAGCTCTTGCCCAGCAAACCCAATCAAATTGGCACAAGGAACCATAGCAATATAACAGAGCGCAAAAATGGTCACACCAAGATCTCTGCGCGAATACCGCACAGCCAAAGCCGCAGGTACGAAAGGCCAGAGCAGATTGACTGCGCGAGAAGCATCACTCGTCGACGACCAGCAGATTTTGAAGAAGTGTAGTGGGTGTATGCCTTTCCTGCCACTCTCGCCCTCGGGTGCAATGTGCTTGGTGATCTTATGGCCATTGTGGTTTACTTGGTGTCTGGGGAGGAAATCGTGTTTCTTAGCCGTCGTCGTCGTGTGGGCTTGCGGGGGTATTTCTGGATGTGCGGAATTCTTCAGTTCGATGGCTGGGTCTGCAGACGGGAAACTCGTAGGCTGGTGGTTTCGGTGGAAGAGGTTCGCCATGATGGCGGCGGCCGATGTGTGTCAAAGGGGGATATCGTTGTTGCTCGACGATGGTTGGTTTCGTTACTCGTTGGGTTGAATAGGTTGAAAGATCTAGAATTATGACTGTAGGACAAATAGATTCACACCATCTCCCTCCTGCTGATCGATCTTGAATCTAGAGTGACACACAGAGGAGCAGATCTCCCAAAAGAAAAAGAGAGTTGCGAAAGAAATCTTGGAAATCTTGATACCAAACATGCCAAGAGCGTTTAACATCATCAAGCGACTTGGCAGCGCCATAAGCAAAAGCCATGCGCTGGCGAATCAATATTTACCAAGAGCGTAGTAGTGAAGACCTACCTGTAAGAGGCCTAATTACTTTGGCTTCAGCTTACCGTTTTCATTGAGGGCTTGTGGTTGACCTCAATACAGTACTGTATGGGCAGTGTGGTGAGTGTATCATGAGGTTGAACTGGATTTACAATCAACCGCGTCTTTATTTCTCACTAGGCTTAGCGCATATCAAGGCTTCGCCCCTGCTCTCAAGAATTTGCACCAACCTTCTCTCATAAATGTCCAGAACTATGCAAGATCTTATTCTATAATATCGTCCGGTATTAGATTGATCAATGCTGTATATAAGATCCTGAATTGATTCTTTTATTGATCGCCACATTTCTAATTCAATCTCACTACAGCTGACACGGGCAGGCATGCGCCGTCATCAAGCCAACAACTCCCTATCAATCGAATTGATAAAGTCAATCCCCTCTTTCCTGAATGTATCATCCTCTACATAAGTCACATTACTATTAAGCACCATATTCTTCGGCGCGCCCAAGTCATACTTCGGCCAGTATGGCAAAGTGCTATTGCCACGACTAGTGTTCGGATTCTGATCGTTGACGAACGAGATGTAAGCTTTCCCGATATTACGGGACAAGTTTGTGTAGTTCTGATATTTTGGCAGGGGACCAAGAGCACCTGAGATGTTCTCTTCTACCATATTAGACATGGAGGACATGAGAAGAGGGGGTAGAGCAGGGCTTACGGAAGCTAAATACCACATTGGTAAAGTGTTGAGCGCCCGCTGTGACTGCTGCGTTCCACTTATTACAGGAAATCAGTATCGCTGGACTTCTGTCTCGAGATACCTGCCACTTACCAACGGCGTATCGAATCTATAACTGAATACGTTCATTCCGCCCTTCGTATACTCCTCGCACACCTTCCTCCTCCCACTAATCATCACAATGTCACCAGAAATCGCAGCGTCACGTCTCCATTGCAGCCCTTTACTCGGGAAGATCGTCGCGTTGGTGATGTAGTATGGTGGCTGGTTAGCTGGATCATTCGGGTAAAGCTCCAGTAGTTTCCTTGCTGTCGGGGGTGAAATAGCGTAGCTTCGATAGATGAGAAGATTGTTGAAGATTGCAGTCTCGTTGTCAAGGCCACTGACTCCAAAAGATGTCCCTTCGTCACTGTTGGCACCAATGAGAAGCGGTACATGAATGAACTTCCCCTCAACTGAGAGAGTGCTTGGATATGCTGTCAGGAAATCGCCATCTGGTTGAAGTTAGCCAGTTCTCTCCTGGGCCAAGTCCCATATGAACCAGGAATTTACTTTCCTACAATGGGATTCCACACCTGACTAACTTGAGCCTTGAATAGCTCATCCTGCGACAACCCCCTCAAGCATGCCAACCGGTTACCCGCCGTCCAACACCCCGTCGTCCTCGTAAGATTTTCGACCGGACTCGTATAATACGCCAGGGATTCCAGCGCCGCCCCAACCTGGCTCCCAGACTCCATGATCGCAGCATGAAACAGCCCATCATCCCTCCCACCATAAGAATGCAGCTGCAGAGCAATACTTTGCGCACCAGCTGATTCTCCCCAGATGGTGATTCGGTCCGCATCGCCCCCAAAAGCTGCAATGTTCTCTTTGATCCAGCGTAGCGCGAGGCGCTGATCGAGGAGCCCGGCGTTGGAACTGCCTTCTGCTAGGATCTGGGGGGATTGGAGGAAGCCCCATACCCCTAGCCTGTAATTTATGCTAACTTGAGAATAGTCAATTAGCTTTTTATATTACAATTAGAGAGGGGGGGGGACGCATACCGACAATGACGGGCTTCCCGATCTCTTGCCCAACATGAGTCATTCCCGAGACGTTATACTGAGGGTCTGCACTTGAGCCCGCATATAAACCACCACCGTAGATCCACACAAGAACCGGAAGCTTGTCGTCAGAGGCCGTCCCAGAAGGGCGAATCACTATTGACTTGATCAGTATATGCACTTCTCGATGAAAAGCCTGCCAAGGGTTCTTTACCATTAAGAGTGAGGCAATCCTCCGAAAGCGAGAAGTTCGAGCCATACTGCATGCAGCTATATCCATACTGTGTAGCATTTCTCCCGCCCGCGAACGAAGAATTCAAAGACATTGGCCATGCAAACCGCAGGGGTCCTAATGGCGGGATGGCAAAAGGGATGCCGAGGAATTGATCTTGCTGCCATTCTGGCGCGTACTTTCCAATATACGTACCATTCTTCACCGTGGCAGAGGGAGCAGTTGAGTTAAAGGTAATGACGCCTTGCACAAGATGAATGAATAAGACAAGGGAGCGCAGAACAGCGGCTAGAGAGAACTTCATCTCGCCTCCCCGTCTGGTTTTATCACTACGTGCTGGTTGCAATTGCGCGAGTTGAGAATTGCAAACATTCAAAGTAGCTGAAGGGAATATCACTTACTATGAAGTCATTTTGTCTCAATATAAAGACTTCGGCACTCTATGGACGGAAAATAAGATGTATGCTTCCCTACCTAGGTAGGTACAAGTACCAGGCCCGGAACAATTATGGCTGTACTTGTACATTAGAGAAAGTGGGGACGATAACACCCCGCACCCCGCACCCGCAGTGAGATCAGCCTTTAGCAGGTGGTGGGGTGGGGTATCACTCTCAGAATAGAGCATGGGGAAAAATTATATCTACCACCGCAATTCTACTTGAATGCAGCTGGACTTAAGAGGCGAGGATTCCAGGAAAGGCGTGGTGCCTATTTTATCAGTGGTCTATCAACAACACAAGAACAACTTGCCACATACCACCATAGATCAATGAAAATTGTACTATAGCACTACCCAATACTTTAACAACACTTGAGCATCAAGAATTCGAAACACATCCGCCCGCTCACGAAACCAAAATCAATAGTCTCAATCTTTAAGTATTATTTCTAAGCATGTTTCCCATCTCATCTTAACCCTAAACTAGCTTGACATGCGCTCGCGGGGATAAACAATACGCGCAAATACACCAATCATCGGGTAACCGTTGGGTCCTTCCTCCGAATATCCACCAAACCAGTATGCAATCCATGACGCCTCTTTGATCCCTTCGCCGGGCGCTTCGAGGCCAACTCGGGGGGCTCCTCTTGCGCCTTGCGCTTATTAGAAGTAGGCTCCGCAACCTCCTCGAGGACATTATCCTCAGCGCCTTCCGGAATAGAACGGAGCCATACAATAACATCATGCTTCTTCGAAGGGCCCTCATATCCCAACGCCTTGGCCTTGTTCACAAGATCAATCCCGTCGCCCAGCCACCACTTCTTCTCCCTGGGGCTCTTGAGAACGTCCCAGCCGGCGTTCCAGGTCGCCATGGCTTTGATCGATTTTGATGGGAGCTTGTTGTCGCTGTCTTTGAGAAGCTGGTATGATCGCTGCATGGAGAGGTTGAGTAAATCAGCGGAGGGCCATTGCAGGTATGTCTGTTCTGCTTCGCTGATCAAGCGTTGGAGTTCAGGGTCGGATGTGCGAAGGATAGCCTCAGGGTGGGATATAGCTCCAGCTTTTGTGGTATGACGAGACGTGGGAGCGGTGACAGGCGCGTCGGATGTGGCTGCAATGAAAGGTGTGATGCCATCTTTCTCGCATAGCCATCTGATAATGCGAACGCGGCCTGACTTTCTACTCTCCTTTCCATTCTTCCCAAAGTTTTTTCTCCTTGCCTCCCGGTATAGTTCTTCGAATCCCATACCCCACCAGGTCTTTTCTTGCAGTGTCATGGAAGGTTGGTCTATCGCCAGTGGTAGGACATCATTTTGCTGGTCCTCGTTCGCCATCGAACCGTGCTGGGTTTGCCGCTCTGACGCAACACCACGTTGAACCCTTCGACTGGTCTGTCCCTCTTGCTCCGTATCCATATTTCGTGGCATAATTTATTAATTCGCATTCACTTTGGTCCCCTGTCGATTCAAGGGGGATTGTTGAGAGTTGTGAGCCTGGCGAACGCTGATAAAAGGGGGTAGAACTAGCGTTTAGTATGCTGGCGAGGGGTCATTTATCGTCGTCGATGTGAGGCACGCGAGTGGGCGCGGACGATAATCAGATTGGGCTATAGCTTAGCCATAGCTTATAAGAAAAAAACTTTTCATCTTGAAGAGTGATTATTGAAGTACTGAATAGTGCTGACGTAACTGGCTCATAATAAGTCCAGGTCTGACCACATTGATGACTAATCTCCTATTCCAAGACAACAGCCCTTAGGACTTCCATGTCTACCATCTCTCGAAAAAAAAAAAATTACCACGTGTCAATCACATAGCCAATGCTGCCACCCAACATCCTAGCTGAGATCATGACCTCGCTAGGGGAAAGTTTGACGTTAATGTCCCTAATTATCTGCGTGTGCTAATCATGTTTGTAGGAGATAGTTGCGTTCCCAGAGACAAAGCAACGAGAGGGGGTTCCACATCGAGGTTTCGGAGGCAAGATGGATTATTAGATCCAGAAGTTACCGTCATGTATTAGCTTCTCTATGAAACAGTCATGGGACCTCAGTATACTACATCCCACATAACATCAGCGGGTAGAGGACAAAGAAAAAACAGGGTTCCTATCCCGCATGCAACGGCAGACACATAAAAAGAAAGTGGAGAGAAATGTCTCCTAACGAGTGTGCGCCATCGCTGTGCTCCCCCCAAATATTCCATTCCAATCCTGTAATCCTTCCATACCCCATACACCATACAAAAGGTGGGGAAATATACCCAGTCACGAGAAGCTAAAAACAAAGGACATTAACGGTTGCGGTCTTCTTGTGGAGGCCGAGGACTTCGGGATGTGGAGCCGAAGCTGGTGGATAATATGCTCCGCCAGCTTGCGGTTCGGCCTGTTCTCCGCGGCCGTGTTGGTGTTGGGGAGACGATGCCTTGCTCCAAGTCCTCGTTGTCTGTTAGAGTGGCGCCGATTGGTAAAGCGGATGATGATGAAGTGTTGATTGTTTCTGCGGCTTCGACCTGGATGGTATCATCGTCACTATCGTCGTGGTATGGTGCATATCGAGGGTTCGATGGCGAGCCTCGAGCGAGAGATCGAACGACATCGCCTTTGCATATTGGACATGTTCGCCGTCGAGTCGTTAACCATGGTGTTCTAGAACTCGGGTTAGATAAGCCCATCAGATATTAAAGGACTATACTTACATGCAATCCACGTGGAATTCATGGCCACAAGGTAGACTCATCACGCGACTGACCCCATCAACATATTCCTCAAGACACACTACACACTCCACTTGCTTCCCCATATACTTCCTCCACTCACTCGATTCACCACCGTAGGGCTTTTCGTGTTCTGGGGTTCGTGGCCCGACTATAGGCACCTGCAATGGGTTTGAATTGACTCGAATTAAGTCCCCCGGCTCTGGTATCCCTGTTGTAGTTCTTGATCGAGGTCGTGCTCTTGTTGGAGGCGAAGGTTGAAGGAGCGGGGTAGTTGCTGACGAACTGGTCGGTGAAGGCTGTCTAGGAGTCTGGGGACTAGGCGTGGCAATGGTCTGATATGTCCTTACCGGCAACCTCTCGACCACAGATTTTGGTGCTCGCCAGCGCCGACGGCGTATCCTAGATCTCACAAGGAGAAGAGCGTAGACAACAGTCAAAGTCACCAGAGGACTGACAACCAAGACTAGTAATGTGTCAAGGAAAGGACTGGCCCCACTCGTCGGAGTCAAGGTAACCCATAACCCCTCAATGCCATCGTCTCCATCCTCGTCTCCATCAGATATATCATCTCCTACGGCGTTTGTCGAACTGTGCGAGCCCGGCATTGAGAATTCAACATCTTCTTCGTCGTCGCCAAATATGGTTGTCAAAAGACCCTTAGGCTTGCTTCCAGGTTCTTCAGGTGCCACTTTCTCCTTGGGTTTCTCCTCGGGAGATTTCTTGGTGTCGTACTCACCACTTCCAGGAGTGATGCTGCCTCCTCTAAGAGGCCCCCCGATCTGGGTTTTGCCACTCTGCTTAGTTGGCTGAGGAGTTTCATTCTTGGGTTTGGTTGCATCTAATTTCCCACCAGCCTTGGCGGGAGGGGCTTTTACTCCGTTCTCCGCGTCTTTAGAACTCGAGGATCCGACCAAGTCTGGATCTCGCCAGTCTTGCACTCCAATGACAAAGTCGTCCCCAGAAGATAACTTAGAGCCAGGTTTAGTCTTCTGACTTGGCTTCTTTTCTACATCGACTTTCTGTGGTTTGGTTGAGATCTTCTTTGACCCCGCAGAATCGTCATCCTTCCAATCATCAACAAGGACCCAATCCAACTGACCACTACTTGGGGGGCGACTGCTCTCTGATTCCGAACTGCTTTTGCGAGTCCCAAAAAATAAAGACTTGAACCATCCTCTACTCTCGGAAGCCTTGACTGCCACTTTCTCTTCCGTTTTTGCTGCCGGCTTCTTATTTGTATTCTTGGAGGAACCCCGAGCTGTCAAGCCTGTCGGTTTGACCGAGTCTGTCGTTGCAGTAAAAGTTGGGCCTGATTCTGTCTTCTTCCCTGGCTTCTTGACTCGATCCGTGTGTTGTACCTTCAACGTAGGTTTTCCATTCTCGTCTATCGAATCCTCGAGGAAGCTCCCAGGTCCAATCAGGGAAGATAGGAGATGTGCGGTCGTCCGGGACGTGAAGATGGAGGGAATCGTAACGTTCGAGGTGTCACCTCTTGCATACATCTGTATTAAAGGCCCTCCTTTCCTATCGTCACCGACGATAAGGGCAATAGCTCCTCGTCGTTGTGCCCACTTGACCTTTTCCAAGAATCCGCAGCCACCACGGCTCAAGAGCACAACCTTTCCTGTGATCTCCGCCCCTTCTTGTATTGATTGTATGTCTGCATGATGCCCGTTTGAGTCAATATGCTGTTTATCGGTCGTTTTCGTTACGGTCGAGCCTTGGAGAGGATGGTGGAGGTAGTCGTCTGTTCCGTCGTTCACTGGAGGTTTGTTCCGGCTCTTTCCAATTTGAACTGAGCCTTCCGAATCTGCAGTCCGGCTATCTCTATTCTCTTCCTTTCCCCGCCTCTGGGCTTTCGATTTGGTGGTGACTGTCACAGACTCGCCGGCTGTCGACTTTCCACCATCGGGCGTCGCAGCACCAGACTTTTTAAAGCTCTCCGCCCAACCTGGAACATCGCTGCATCCTAGCTCTCCTTCTGCACCAGCTGCAACAGGGCCCTGTCTTATACTATCGTCTCCAAACCCACTGCCTATCCAAACCTGCCCTTTCAGGCCAGCCGTAGGCAGCGAAGGTCCAAATGTTGCAGGCCGCGCTAGAAAGGCTGTAGAATTCTCGTGTGTCAAGGTTATGATTGCATTGGGAGGAAAGAGAGAAAATGGTGCTCGGAAGGAAAATAGTGTCCGTATACCGGCTTTTGGCGTCACTGTAGAGGAATTCACGGTCTGCGGCTGATGAGAGGACCGTAGAGAGAGGAATGTTAGGAATACCGCTGTCGCGATAAAGGCGGCTCCTATGATGACTCTTGGAGGTCGCATGATGTAGATGTTCAGACTTGAAATTGCCGCGCCAGGCACCTAACCAGCTCTGCAGCTGCGAAGAGGAAGAAGGACTCGCATCCGCTGTCGAGATATAGACGCCTTCTGGAATTACGAGGCGTGCACGACGGTGGGCAGGCGATGATTGTTCGATAGGGAGAGGTCGAGAAGTTGAGAGATCAGGTCGTTGCGAAGCTGGGCTGGGATATTGCGGCGTGGTTCTGAAGCGGGACAAATGTCGAGTGATCAGCAGGGGGTCGTGGTGGTGGTGGATTCTTCAATGTGGCTGTGACAGCGCATCCACATCCAATCCAGCTTGATTTTGCGTTTGCGTGGGGTGTGACTGCAGGGCTATCAGGTCATTTTATTCTTTTCCAAAACCAAGACCAGAGCCAGGAGCAGCAGCAGCAGACAGACCAGAAGTCTCAAGTGTAGAAGTGTAGATATATAATCGTCTCGAGCGTATCGTTATCCGTGAATCATGCTGAGTGCCGCCCACCACCCGCACCCGCTCTGGTTTCGCGCTAAAAAGCTTGTTTTACTCACGTGATGTGACTGCTTCTATATTAGGGTGCGTTACCTCGTCATAATACGGAGTTCTTTCTTAGTTGCATTTACTCTTTTTGTTAAATTCCAGACGGGAAGTGACCTACCTATTTATGCTTTACTAAAAGAAACATCAGGTGTAAAGTTCTGTTCTGATTAATTAGTAGTCTACCCAACAGACCTATAAATTCGGAGGTTTTTGCTTGCTCAAGCGCGTCACCACTTTTTGTACTTCCTCTAGTTGCGAGCTAATCCTCAGCGCTGAAAATCGGCAGGATTAGAACAATGCCTAGTCCTGTGGTGTTTTTTTCTCGCTCATAGTCTTTCATATCATGATTCTGGATTTAAGGTCATCTAACTATCTCACCTTTGAGATTATTTGCTTCAACCTCCGCTTGATTTGTTTTCTCATATTGACGAACGTCTGTTTTTTGCCTCGCTTGACATATCAACAGCTAGGGCTGTGACCGGTTGCGGTCTTAAAGCAATGAACGCTCACGTTCAGCCTAAAGAAACCCCCTAAAACATTTCTTTCGTCATTCTTCTATGTCGCAAATCCCCATTACTTCCCGGCATTTATACAGTGCTTGCCTTTGCAAGTATGTCTGCCTCCTTGTTCTCCTCCCTGGATACGAGGTAATAAACGACCTGCACCCCGACCATGCTCAGCCTCTGGACTTCGTCCTCCAATCGCAAGAATCCCTTAGAATTCACCACGGCTTTTCCAGCCTTGTTGACAAGAACGCCTTCCTTATTCTCTTTCCATTCTGGGAAGTGGGAGCACATGCCTTCAACAATGTAACCTGGGTGTCAAGAAATCAGGATCAGATAGCCTAGGAATGATTAGAGTTGGAAAGTACATACTCGAATCAGTCACAACTATAAGTCTTAGCCGCAGGACATCCGACACGGCGCGAAGGTCGTGACCGCCTTCCGCGTTTGTGACCATAATATGACGGGCCTGCAGGACCTGGAACCGAATTGTCTGCAAAGCACGAGCTACGGCAGCTAATTCCGCTTTCTGGCTTGTATGGGCTCCGGATTCCGAAAGGCGCTCTGAGAAGTTGAACTTGGAGCCGGGACCGAAGAAAACACCTAAACCACCCCGGGCATCTGGAGCGCCGTTACCAGAGCAAGCACCGTCGGTAAAGACAAGAAGCGATCGATCTGTACCCTCATAAACGGAAGAGTACGCGTGATGTAGTGGGTAGGTGTGAGAGTAGGTGTGATGGGATGGATGACATCTGACTGCTATTCTTCCTCTCTTTCCAACCAGCCACGTAAGCTGGCAAGTTGGACAGTGGTATGTCGAGATGCTTGAAAGCGGTAATGGCTTTGGGGGGTTCTCGTAGTCCTTCTCAATTCTAGATGTATTTGCTGGGCCGAGAATTTGTTCGTCCCATTGCGGGATGAATCTCGCCATGCTCCCCGCCAGCACGAATACACAACCTTCATCATCATCCTCTTCTTCTTCGGATTCTTCTTCAGATTCTTCGTCAGATCCGCAACCCGTGAAATCGAGACAACAGATGCCGCATACTCTAAGATGATGATCGAAGCAGACCGTCTTGCCGTTTGGCAAGTAGGTGATCACCTCCTTTGGGGATTGCGGGAGAGACATTATGTCTTTACAAGTGGGTAGGCTTACTGAATCCAAGTTTCAATGACCGTGCAGATTAAAGCATGAATAGAAATGGATGTAGCAGCTATCAAGAAGGTACTAGCACCAGCTAGTATCCACACTTTCTTGGCATGTCACGTGGTGCGCCACGTAATAGGATGTCTCGAAAGTAACCAACTGCTGGAAATGTGTAAACGACGGGTGTGAATTCAACCGAAAGAAATAAGAAAGAACTTAGTAAGTATAGCAAAGGGATATGAAGATAGGAGTGCGGCGTTTATTATAGGCGAATATTACGGATCCACTGTAACCCCAACACCCTTCTTTCTCCTAGATCAGTTCGGCCTTTACATAGTCCTTATTGAATGATATTCTTAATTCAATAAACATATACAAAGGTATCCTAGCATTGAGACTTAGATGTGCGGATATAGTAGTGCAGCTCCCCTAGCTAGGTATTTTGGGTTATACTTGCACTACCTAAGAATGCGGAGTCATAGGCCATTTAGAGACGACCAGCATACCCATATTATGAGACAAGACTTGAAAATACTCTTGAAAATTACAACACTTTTAAAAATAGACATAGTAGGAAACAGGGAAAGTTCCACATCTTACTTTGAAGCAAGAGATATAAATAGAGCAATCAAAGTTCAGACGATGAGCTAACTAACAACTTGCTTGGGACAATTAGTAAGACTAAACGGATTCACAGACTTTTGCCTACAAGACTACAAGGGGCTTATTACGGGAAAGGTCTTGAAATTGATATTAATATGTAGAAGTAAAAATCTGTTATAAACTTCAACGGGTGTATAGTTATTCACAAGTAGTTCCTATTCATTCCGACGTGTATGAACAATTGAAAAGCTGGGATTTGCTCTATTTAGCTGTATATGAGTATATCAATAGTTAGTTCAACATATAACACGCATTGTAATATAAAGTAGGTCTTGTATTTTAGGAGTATAAAAGTCCTTTTCCTAAGCATTAGAATACAACTCGGAATAAGGATTTACAAAGTTAAGAAGAAACATAAAGTTTGCTCCGGCATGTGAGCTTGATTCCTGCTTGTGAAAAATCACTAATAACAAATATTCAAACCATAGTAAATAATACAGACAAGAGCTCTACATCGCTCCTCATAGATCTCGAGATCATTAAAGATATTACCTAAGTGGATATGAGGTTAGGTAGAGCGGGGTGGACAAGAGTCACAGATTCATTTCGTCAGATTGTCGATCCTAAGCGAGGCTATCCCTACATAATATCCTACTGAAGAGATACTATGATTCATGAATTTCCAAATGATATTTCCTGGCATTTTGTTAGTCTTGCAGCGTTAGCTTTGATTCTAAAGTTTAAGCAAGCAAAGCAGCGCTCTCGCTGGAGGTTTCATAGAGGAAAAGTCAGTCGGTCTTCCTTCTTAGCTCTAGATCTCCCCTCGGTCTATTGTCGTCCATTGTCAGCATCTGCTACCCGGACCTGCAACCCTTGATAAATAAGGTCCAAGGCAATCAAAGTTAGGGCTCGAGTATGATTACTAGGCTGCTCCTATAGAAAACATGATACTAAAGAGACAGAATGATGCGGGGAACGTCTTAGGCTTGGAAACGTCACTTACCTTCTTTTCATTCCCAGTCTATTTAAAGAAAGAGCCGAATGACTCGGGCATGAATACGAGGATTAGATGGTTGATCGACTTGAGACTTCCAGTTTCACCTTTATGATATAAGGACGAATGGGTGTACTCCGTACTTTAGGCCACATGGCTAGCTGTATTACTATAACTTTGCCACTTCGAGCATGGACTTCCCCCACCCCCTCTCACCCCCCGCACGATTTAAAGGGTAATCGTTTGCGTGAGTGGCCACACAGGAATTAACCTTTTAACTAGGGAGAGGAGTAGAGACTCGAGGCTAGACCTTGGGCCGCGGGTGGCTGTCGTTCCCTGCAATATCTGCCGTGGAAACTTGCCACCCACTCGGATGTCTGAAGAGCCCGTCGCCGTGGATAGGCTCTGTTAAATATCCTTTAAACATCTCTCAAACTTCTTATGAGAACTTCTGAGGGTATAACACATCTATGACTACACTAGCTAGTGCACAATGTAGAACCACCAAAGCCGGGAATCTTTCCAGACATAGATGGATCGACGTCGGGTCCAATCAGAGAAAGCTCCTCGATACCTCCGGACCTAAATATTTAAGCTTAAAGCCACGCTTGTCTCTACCGTACTGTATGGAGGGAGTATCGCGACGCCAGCAGCATGGCACGGCATGAGCACCGAGCGCCGCCGGGAAGTTTCTACCAGCGTAGTCAGCATTTGAGAACTCGAACTCAGGTTCTCGCCTTCGCAGACCTTCACTTGCTGAGTCAGTCACTGCAAGCCTACGCCCGTAGGGATCAATGTGGACTTTCACCTCATTTTCACAGCACCACTCGTCGTGTTGCACATGCATGACCACCACCGTGAACAACGCCTCTCAAGGCGCAACGCTGATTTATATAATCTGATGTTTATCGTAAAAGCACTAGCAGGAACAATTGCCTAAAGGAGACATTGATTTGTATAATACGGCGGGTAACACCTGGTCACCGTATTATGGGGTGCCTCAGTCCTATATTATAGTAATGCAATGCATGCATAAATATTCGGCCATCGAGGACCGTCCTCGCGCCGAGTAGCTCTTTTGTCCGAGCGAGCCCCGGCAAATGAGTAAGCCAGGTACAGTAAGTATTGTATGGTACTACCTACCGTGCTCAGCGTGCGTTACGCACGGAACGGAAGCTTATGGTATCTGCCTGAGAACCTAAGATGATGCCAAGTCCGCGGTCGCGGGGTTTGCGTTAAAACACTTCTGTGTCTGGCTGACTCTGCAGTGGAGGGATGCGCCATAATCTCTCGGCGTCGTGGCTGAATATCAAAGAGTCGCGGTCCTTGGTCGTCCTTGTCTATCGCTTAGCGAAAGGGGTGCGACTGTGAATGCGAATGCAGCTTTCAGCTGAAAGTCAGATATGCAATTTCTTCTGATCTGATGCTTCAGAGGGGTAGAGACTGTAGGCGGCTTCATAGAAGGGTCCGGAGCATAAGAACCAACACGGAACCCCGAGGTGGATGTATCCCGAGCTGTCAGGCATGGGTAGGTACGGTACGGTATCGAGATTAGATGGCGGGGTTTGTACAGTACCTCGTAGAGCATTCGCAGTCGCTGCGGGAGCCGTAAATCACCAATTGTGGCTTCCACGTTCTGTACAGGATGCAGGGCATAGGCTGCAAGTCTGGGCTGTGAACGAAGTTTAGTTGACATGGGCGCCACGTTTGGAATTCTACCTACGCATTGGAAATCAAAGCTGGACCGGTGAAAGGTTACCGAGACTGAGACACCAAATTTGACAAGACGCAGCTCAAACCGAAAGTGGAGCACTAGTGTGTAATCATCTTTTTAGGCGTTGTAATCAATGACCAGCCTCTGAAGAGGAATTATGCTGCCGATTATTGAGCTTATTGAGCATCATTTGTGGGAATGTTCTAGACTTTAGTTGGTTACTGTACTGTTAGTACAAGTCGGGGTGAGAATAAAGTCCGACCGACTAGGGGTTCTATTAGTAGTGATGATGCAGGATTAAAGTTTTGACTTATGGGAACGGTTGAACAGGTGACAGAAAGTGGATACTGTACATCTTAAATTCTTCTAAATTCGCTATGTATCGAGCAATGCAAATGATACCGTAGTGGTAGAATAATGTAGTGAGAGATTTACCCCTATTCATTCCTTGCCACTCTTAGGCGGTTCGCCAGGCACCAAACGCCATGATCCAGATTCCCAATCCTTGATATGTCGCTATATACATGAAGACATCATTTTCAACAACGCGAATGGGAATCCTGTATGCCAAAGAAAATCGTAATGCCCCAACCTCCAAACTCCATGGTGTTCTCCCAAATAGAGAGCCTTTTCCTGTAAGCCGTCATCGCATGATTTATTGATTGAAACCTTTTGGTCGTACTGAACTATGCCAAGCCCATTTGATTCTCATAATCACCTGCATACATAGCATCCATCTGGTCAGAGAGATCGAACCCAGTATGACAATCCAACATGTTGGGCCTGATCGTTCCATCCGCAAAGTTCAATCCGTCATTTAGTTGCATCGATTTGAGCACATCCGCATCTAGCCCGAGAGCAATCGAGTTGTTCAAAGGTGATGATCCGTGCATATGCTGCGTTTGTTGCTTCATGTAATTTGCGGTGAGGTCCAATGCATGTGGGGGACCAAGAGAATCGTCGCCTGCTGACCAAGGTGAAAATGGTGAAGTGGTGCGAAACATGGGTGATTCAGTCTGGAAATCTGTGTAGATGGGGGACGGTATTGAGCGCGATGTGTCAATGGATGTGCGCGGCCGGTATGAAGCTTCTGGCTCAGGTATAGGCCTTTGGGAGATATTGAGAGGACTTGGCTTTGAAACAGGTGTGGACACCCTGGCGGAAATATTTCGCTCTGCGGCTTGCCTTTGTTGAGACAACATCATCTGGTTGTAGTGCTTGGAAATATTTGAGTGGTCACTCTCACTACTGCTCGCTCGATCTGTCCGCTCCAGTGCTGCTGGCGAATATGAAGAATCCTCTGAAGGCATCCGACACCCTGTATCATCCAACGCCATTTCCGAGCGAGCTGCTTGAAGTTGAGCTTGCAGTTCGGCGAAGTCTTCTGCACCTTCAGGGAATGCATATGGAAGATCGGGGGACGGTCGAATGCAGCCAAGCTTGGAAGCTATGTCGTGAATTACTGGCTGCCCTCTGTCATTCAATTCTGGCTCCCCCAGTTCCCACGACTCATTATTGCGGACCATAGTGTATAGCTTCTGAACCGTTGCAATGAGAGCATACTGTGTGTTCTCTAGTACTTCCGCGTATCTGTTAAAGTCATTAGTACTAACTCGAGCACACAGTTGGGAGACGGGCAAGACATACCCTCGAGGTAATTGTTTGAATTCAGTCTTTTTCCTGCTCCCAGCTGTGCATACCAGGCCGTCATCTTTGCAACGCTTACAAGGCGATTCCCCGTCACACTTAACACTAGATCAGCAATGACCAAACAAAAGTGTGTAATACAATATATACCTTCGTCTTCTTCATCCTACATCGTTCACATGCTTTCCAAACTCGCTTGTGTCGACCATCCATAGACATAGGATTGTTTTCATGAACTGTATTACTTCTTTTTGAAGATCGACTTGATTGCTTGGACGCTTTGGAGGATTGTCTTCTCATGGGTTGGGATTTGTGGTCCTCCATGGGAGGTGTAGGTAAACCAGACATGTTGTTTGAATGCCCAAATTTGGAAGATAGCGGGGAGCGCAAAATACACGAGGGGAGTCAAAGATAATATATTAAAATGCTGGACGTGGACTGGATGTGCGCTGATTATATGTTATGCCGGTCACGGCAGGGGTAACCGGGATATTACTTAAGTCCGAGTGCCTTTATGGTGACGGAAGTAATCGGGCGCCGTCTTTAGTACTTTTGATTCTCAAACTTTAACAATGAATAATCCCCGAAAAGCTTATGCGAATAGATAGAAATTAGGTTGGGAGGATGTAGGTTGATGAGGTGCCGGTGCAATCGTTGTACCGATTATAGTTTTGACGAACGGTGAAACGATAGGGAACTTTATATCTATCTACATCACATGAAATCATGGGGGGGACGTGACGTTATCATGTATTGAAAAGGCCATCGCCCATGGGAGCTCCCTGGGCTGGTTCCTTATTAGCTTCGGACCCGCACTGGAAGCTTACTCCGACTTTACGGGGGCCGGCAACTCTAGAAACTTCGTAAAATTCATAAATTGAAAAATTTAAGAAGATTAGCTGGGTAGTGCGTGGAACTAGGATCGAAAAGGTGTAAGCTTTACGCGAAAGGAAGAAAGGAAAACCATGCTAGGAGCGGCTTGGTTAACAAGTGTGGAGTAAAAAATAGAATGTCAATTAGCCCTATGCTTTTGATGCAGCGGAGTACAGTAATGATAAAAATCAGTGCCGTCTATGCGTGTTATCTATGGTGAACCCTTATAAGCTTCGTCGTATGAGGATTGCATGGAAACAAATCCCGCTCGGCTCTTGATGGATTTGAGGATTTTGAGGTTGTACTATAGATAGAACATGCTTTTCCTTGGATTCAAGGGCAAAACAAATTACATTGAATAACTCCTCAGATACGATCGTTTATGCCTTATTCAAATATCAAACGATCAAAAAAGTTAAGTTGTCGCATTTTGCCTAATACCTTTTCAATAGCTTGAATTGTTATAACCTTCTTACGACGGTGTGATTTGCAGACTTTTCTTCCTAGGCCTTGCAAAGTTTTACTTACTATCTTTGATGCCAGACTCATATGCAAGAAAGAGGGTTTGTCGATCAGCGAGAAACAAATCGATGCTATATAGCACCTGCTGAAATGCGGATAGTAAGCAGCGGGTTCTGCTTAATGTATAGATATTACAGCGCATACCTGTATTACATTTCCGTATCGTGGTATTCTATTGAACCAAAACTAGCCGGAAGATTTTATCTTCTATCAAATTATTAGTAGTGCGCTGCTGGTATTCATTTGGTAGTACAGTAATATAAGGAATCCAAAACATTAGTTCGATCTCGTAGGATGAGGCTGACTTGCATAACAAAGATTTCCATGCACTGTCCACCACAACAACGATCTTGCAGCAGCTAGTTAATTCATCTCCGGCCTTTGTAGAAGTAGCTACGGGGACGGCTGCCTGGGCTGAAAGTTGACCGGCTATTCGGGTTATACTCACGGTGTCAAACCTTCTCCGTACTCCAAGCTTTCAGTCCCAGAGAAAGGACACCAGCAGCAAGGCGCATCTGTACAATGATGTAATTTGGCATTGACAGAATACCTGTCTTAACTTTAAACTTTAGTATAGTTTCAACGGCTCCAGGGTTCTTGAAGTAAGTTTGTCCCGCAAGCTCCCACGTGTTCTGGTACTGTCAGCGGTAGGTCGAAGAGGTAGTTGGCTCTGAGACATTTCGGGGACTCTGATTCGTTGTGTATGCCTATCATTGGGAACTCAAACATCCCGCTGGGAAAACCTCTTACTCATTACTCAAGTAGTCAAGACTTATTACTGTGAAGGCTGCTGAAGAGAGCTTGCTCGGAACTGTTTCGGTTTCTCGAGCGATTCACGACTCGCGACTCGCGGGACATTATCCCGGAAAGTGATCCCTACCCGCGCGCGCTTCTATGATCTTTCTAGAAAGCTACTACATCGGGCGCTACCGGTACTGTATTGTAGATCACCTATTCGGGACGATAAGATGTGCCCCAAGCTTCTTAGGGTGGGTTGCATATGGAAGCAACCCTAACCGGCATAGCATGCAAGCCTGACAGGGCTACCAATGTGCCTGAACGCGAATCGTAATCTGTGCCTCAGCCTGTATTATTACTTACTCCGTATTTGCACAGCAATGCAGGCTCCACCGCATGATCGTGGCGGTTTTTTTCTCCCATGTCCATGGCATTGTACCGTAACTTCGGATGCATGATCAACACTGGTCCGCCGTACTTATGCAGGGTTAATGCGTAAACAAATCTTGGCTTGATTTCCTTGCGCTGAATCTTCCTGAATACTGCACATTTGCACTCCTACACATTGTGAGATGAACGAGTTCTTGGATACCCAGGTACTCTCTTGAGTAAAAATTACCTTGGACGAAAGAAAACATCTTTCTCGATAATCATAACAGCCCGGCATCTCCCGTCTGTATATCTTATCAAATGCCTCATATAATTTCGTGGCCCTTGATCATCGTCACACAGTTCCCATTGTAGGCATCAGCTGTCCTGGAACAGCTGGAACAGGGCTCCAAAAGGATATAACGGCACGAATTTTCTGCCGTAACACCCTGAATTGTGAATTCTTCTACCGAAAGTCGGTGTCGGGGCTCTGAGGTCTCCGAGCGAATCCGAGGACCCGCCCCGCTGCGACGGCATGCTCCCTGGCGCCCGGCACACGGGAGGAAGCACGTTTTGCATAAAAGTTCGATATATTCAACCATCTCAATTTTTGAGTATCAGGAGACATGTCCGTTTGAAAAAGCCATGGGATGATTTGATGTTAGAGAATGCCATACTCCGTGTTCGCGTTTTGAACTCTGTTTGTGAGTAGAAAACTTCTCGACTTAGTGAAGATCTTCTCGTGCACATTCCGCATCGGCAGTTCACTCAACTACCGACTTCATCGACAAGGCTGTGGAAAGCTTCACGACTTTCTATTCTAACAAGGCTGCCAACGGGATCTCCGCCGGGCATAGCTCCTGTGACCTGACGAGTTCGAAGCCTCGAGTGATGGCTTGATCCACAACCCGGAAAACCCTCCTTCGAATTCGTGGGTAACATAGAATCGAGGATCGGACCATATCTGTTCAGTCCGCCGTCCACAAAGAAAACTGCATATCCAACCAAAGAAACTCTGCGCAGGATCTTCCAACATAGGCGGGTACAAAAAATGAAATCCAACCTTAAAACAAAACAATTCTGGCATACATCATAGCTAACATACGAGACTTTAGAGGTTCAAGGCCTAGCTTGGCAAATCTAATATGAAAATGTAGGAAACCTAATATGCAGAATAGGACAAAAAGCGCCAGAGTCGTTTCAGGATACCCTAGGTAGAAGCGCCTGCACTGGTAATTCGACTACAATTGCGAGCTAGTCGCTCTCCAAATCCCTAACTTACTTCGTACTAGGCTGGGGGAAACGCACTAGTTAGCCTATTCCTGCCAATTATCTACACTTGCTACAAGCTGCTTCTTTCCAACTATCACTTCTAACTATCACTACCAACTATTATTTCCAACTGTTACTTCCAACTATTTGGTCTCGCAATATGCAGCAGATGATTGCTTCAAAAACTCTTATTGCTTCGATCTTGAATGGACTCGTCGGCCATCACTTGTACCAAAATATTCAAAAGCTCGTCATGTAGCAAACCTTCAGACTCTTTTACTACTCGTTATATTTGTACTAAGTGAGGTCAACACCAGTCTCACATCACTGAGCTGCTTCGAATACTCTACACATTACTGTACGATGCTAAAGTATATGAAAATCCTTCGATCTTTCCGTGCCTGATTCGCGCGTCATGTCTCTCAAGAGTTTCATGGGCATTTCCCGTGTTCCTTCGACGGCCCCGGATTAGAGACTCGTCTGCAGAAAGCTGTGTCTAGGACGTTTGAAAATAAGAGAATGCTCGGAGTCCAAAGCTTCTTGGAGAAGTCTCCAATTCGATCCGCTTTCAACCAGAGGATACCTTAACCAGATCACTTCCTACCAGATCTTCGACACTATCTCAAGATGCCCCTAGGTGACCATTGAATTTTCGAATAACAGTACTTGCTAGTACAGATTTCCTGGTTTCATATATGTTTCACTTGTGAGAGCAGTAACAGAAATTATATGCTCAAATAAAAATACCCAAACTCGCTAGTGCAGAAAGCTCTCAAAATAAAAACCAGAAGTTACAGTTCAAATGGAACTGGGGTTGGTTATAAGCTTCTTGTACTAGTACAGTATATCTCCGATTCTAAAAATACACATTGCTGTCACCTAATTTTGAACAAATTTGTAGCACGTATTGATTGAATTGAACCACGAATCTTGGCACGGGGCGATGCTTGCAGCAGTTTCCACGCTACTATAAGTGTCTGTAAATGATGATAACTATGTATTAGTGCCGCCTTTCCTTGCGTGCCGTACATTTGTCGTTCTTGTCAGGTTCGAGCTGGTTGATCTATATTTGGACGACACGCTAATCTTGGGCAAAACTCAAAGGGCATTAGAGAGGCACACGCCAAGTCGAGTCAAACTGAATTCGAGGGGAAGGAATTTTCCGTTAAACTTTAACAATAAGCGCGTGCTTGGCGAATTATCAAGTCTCACTCCTTCGAGGTAATCTCGTTGAGTTTGATGTCCACAGAAGGTTTCCTGACATATGGTTTCTTTATTTGCCGCGATATCTCCAATCCACTATTCCGCAACATGCCCGTAAGAGAATACACCTTGTTAAAGCAACTCAGTGCCTGCAATTCATTGACCTGTTGTTCCGTCTCACGCCAAAGGGTTGATTTGCCAATCCATGAACTTATCTGCAAGCAGTTCAAGAACTTCACTACCTCGACTTCTCGACCCACCAGTTGCATATCCTGCTTCCCACTGAGAAGTTCAATCCCGAACTCATTTTAGTTAAGGTTGGAAGAGGCGAAGAGAGTTTCAATAGATTAGACAAACCCCAATCAAAGATTCTTTGCAAACATGGAGTATGGCAATGCTAATCAGATGCTCAGCCAGGTAAATCCAAATCTCTTGAGCTTTTCATCAGACTGTACTCTTTCATGTAGAAGGTAGAGCATCCTTGATCTATAACGCTTGTGTATTAGGCATGACAAAGATTATATATAATGTCATGTGTATGGAAAATGTTCTTTCTTACATTACCTTTAGTCGACCTTATGAGGAGGAGTGATATGCAAAAGCGACGTTCTCTTAGATCTCAGAATTATCCTGGCCTTTCTCCGCTGTTTTTGAAAAGATGGTGGATGTGTGATGAGTAGAAAAGATGTGATGAGACCTAAAGGTGTCCTGAAATGTGACTTGACACTTGTGAAACGAAAACAATCTTTTGATGATAATAAAATTCGACTCCGAGAATTTTGAATGGAACTTCTAGGTGCAGAAAAAAAATACTCGACCCTAGAATTTCAAGTGTTCCAGGCTAAAAGAAAACATTAATAGGTTCTATAAATTAGGTGTTGTGATACAGGAACCTGGTATACTCTCTTTCCTAGATGAGAAGCTATACTCCTGACATAGATTGAACCTGGCGCATATTTTTCAATTCATGAATACTTAGTGGAAATACGGGGCACAAATTCCCCTCACAGTCTCCCACCCCTCATCCAAGGCTTTCACCACATCTTCAGGAAGTGGACCTTTTTCAAGGTTTATAAGATTTTCCTCCAGCTGTTCCGCTTTACTAGCTCCAATGATAATCGCATCACCAAACTCCCTCTTGAGTTGCGAATGGTTGGCCATCCATCTAAGTGCACACTCCGCTTCACTGAGACCCTGCTTCTTCGCTACCTATAGGCGCAAGTCAGTTGCCACCTACTCAATCAGAATGTCAGACTGGAAGTATTTCGATACACATACCGGTCTTAAGATCTCCAGAGCATCAAAATACTCCTCATTCCAATACCGACTCCTGTAACTTTGACCCTGCTTCCTCTTTGGATCGAATCTAGACCCCTCTTCTAGTTCCACGTCCGCACCCAGCATATCCCTCGTATACCTCGACGTCAAATAGCCTCCAGCCAGTGGGTTAAACGCAAAGAATGCGACCCCGTACCTTCTCAAGCACGGGAACAATTCAGGCTCCACCCCACGATGAAGGGCGTTATACACACCCTGATACACGACTGGTTTAATCCAACCATTCCTTTCGCAAATCTCACAGATCTGAGCTACTTCCCAGGAAGCGTAATTACTAATGCCGAATCTTCTAAAATACCCTTCCTTGTGAAGATCATTGACTTCACGGAGCGTGGTCTCGTATGCCGTGGTCCGGTCTGGTGCATGTAAGTACCACATGTCAACCTTATCAGTCTTCAGACTCTCCAAGGACTTCTTCAATGCAAGACGCAGATGTTCCGGAGAATGAGTAGATTTGACATCTGGTCCAAGACCTATGTTAGCGCGGGGCGAGAACTTAGTGTCCATTACGAGTCCACGGTCTTGCCAGTGTAGCTGGCCCAGATACTGCTCTGAGCTTCCGCCGCCGTAGACAATGGCGGTGTCGATCTCGGAGTGTCCGTATTTTTGAAAGACGTCGAGAAGGGATGCACATTCTTCCAAGCTGTGTACGCGAGCTTGTTCGGCACCTGTCTGGTCTTTAGTACTGGGAGAAGGGGTGGTAGAGGGAAGATAAATACCTTGTTTGCCAACCGTCATGGCTCCGAACACAATGTCCACTAAAGTTTTAGGGGGTTGTGCCATATTGAGGATTAGTTTTATTGAACCACTTCAGGTGTAGAGAGAAAATCGAGAATCTAAAGAAGAAAGATGAAATATATAGACTTAGTGGTGTACGGCATTAGCGGCGTTAATTGTAAATAGGGTCTGGTCACAAATGACTGGTCAATTAGTTAAACCCCATTTATGAATCTTATATTGCGTATTTAGCCTCCGTTTTACGCAATTGAGAAAATTGATTCAGGTGCAGCTGGATAGAATAGCAGCACTTATTGTCATGGATATATAATGCCCCTCTCCGGCGAATATCTAATTTTTGATACATGAATGTAAGTAATACCCCACCTGGATCAAAACGCCAACTCCTAAAGGGCGACAAAACCATTCTAACCAAACCTAGGTTCTTGCAAACACCTGTATTTTATATAACAATACCACCCACAAATATAAATAATTTCAACCTTCCCATTTCGCCTCAACGCACCATTTGGAGACAAATCTTCCTAGATACCCACCGTCTTTCCTGAAACTGTTCACTATTTTAGATCACGGAATCTAGTCATTTGTGACATTTGGACCGCATGTTCCGTTTGCGCAACAGCCTGCATCCGATCCGGGAGGATCAGCAGTGCAGCTATCCTCGTTACAGTGGCACGCTGTAGGTGATGGTGCTGGCCCAGACGTAGACGAAGGAGCTGAGCTTGTCGTAGGAGTTGCGGAAGTAGTAGTGAATTCATCTTCATACTCATCATCTCCTTCGAAACCAGCAGCTCCCGAGGTCACTGCTGTGTCCGGTACTGTAGTTGCCGCAGCTGTGTTGATTTCTGCGGCGCGGGTGAGTATGTACGCTTCTACTTGCTAGCATGGAGCGTGATCTGTACTTACCTGTTAGAGTTGCGGTCAACCCCGCCGTGTCAATAATGTTATCGTTCGCCGCTGTATCGTTGGTGTCCGTGACATTTGTATCTACGCTTCCGTCTGAAACCTCAAGCTTCTTCAGCTTCAGCTCATCGTGAGGAATGCCAGCGTAGGGATCTTTGCTTGTCGCTTTGCTAATTCCATTGTTCAGGAATGCATTTACAGTCTGTTTACCGGAACCTGTGGGGAAGCCGGTGATAATTCCGTTGAGCTGGTTCGATTGCAGGCGTTTCCAGACTTTTTGTACATCGCTGTCGATTCCTTCGTAGCTGACGAAGTTTGCCATCACCCCAGCTACCTAAATTTGATGAACGGAGTCAGTATTAGTCGATACAGTGCAACAATAGATCAAGAATTGTCCAAGTTTTAAAACACTCCTCAAAGACACAAACTAGGAGTATTTTTCTGAAAAATATACTTACAAATGGAGAAGCCATGCTTGTTCCTGACTTTGTTACTAGATAGTTGTCTTTCTCGTTTGAAGCTGCAGTAATGTTCTCACCGGGCGCGATCATAAAAACGTTAGGCCCGTAATTCGAAAACCAAGCCTTTTCGTAGTTCTTGTTAGAAGCAGCAACGCAGACTGTAGAGCCAGTGTAACTTTTTAGCTTGTTAGTCAAACAGCCAACAAGCAGATGAGCCCGAGAATTCCTTACGTGCAAGGGGCTTGGTCTGTCAGAATATTTGCGTTTCCAGCTGATACAGCTATCGGAATACCGGCCTGGAAAGCAGCTACACAAGCATCCCTCAACCTGTCAGATTTAGGAGTCTTGAGCGACATGTTTATCACAGAACCGCGCCATCCGTTAGGCTTGGGGTTAGGTTAGTGTGAGATCTCGAAATTTGTACCAGAGCACTTACCTTGGAATTTCGGTTTGACATGTGCTCTTGAGTGACATCACTTAAAGCTACCCAACGTGTCAGCAATGTTATCAGATCAGATAAATTTGCAGACTAACCCTGTGCTAGACCGCCATTGGTTGCACTCTTCCCGGGCCCCTTCTTCGCTGGATCTGGAGCAATCACTTTCACGTTGACCAAGTTTGCCTTGTGTGCAGCACCACCCCACTCTCCACCGGCAATACCTGCAACCTAAAATATATGTTAGAGGTGTTGGCCGCGGAATGTCAAATAGGTCTTCATACATGTGTACCGTGTCCGTGCAAGTCATCCTATGAAAGTTAGTTTCTGACTGTCTATATGTGAACCGGAGATTTACCATTGTGTCGTTGACATACTTAGAGAATGTCATACCCTGGAAATTAGACGCTCGGCTCGTGCGGTCTGATAGAGCCTGAGATTTCCAAAAGTTGATGTGACTGAGCCTTATGCCACTATCAAGGATATAAATATTTACACCTTCTCCAGCGTCACCAAGACTCCACTAGAATTTTGTGTGAGTAACAGATTGGCCATCATCTCAGGGGGCGATGGATTATCCTTACGTAGTCGCCTTGATATGGAACGGGAAGGCTGAGTTTGTTTGCCGCAGATATCATTACACTCCACCAGCTCGCACCTGAGTGGACGGTTTTCTCCCATCTTCGCTGAAGAGCACCAGAGGCGGGTGGTGTCGATTCAAATGATTCTCCGGACTCGTATTCAATAATGGGCTCGCCATAGGTATCGTGTTCGACGATTTTTACGCCTGGATCGAAACGTACGAGTTCATGGATGGTATGGGAACTTAGTCGTGCACGATAGCCACCTAAAGTATGAATGGGATAAAACATGCTCGCGCTCTCTTCCAAGTTCATCCCGATGCGGATGAAATGATCTTGGATTGTATGGCCTTCATGTAAGATCACAATGTATTCATCTTCCTATTTGACGAATTAACTCGGCTTTCCTTGCAGGTTTGGAAAGGGGTTGGGTTATTGGATTGAACGATGGTTGAGGGTGAGAAGAGCACAGAGAATACGAACCACTATATCACCATCTGGACGAATATATGGTGCTGGATCTTGGGATCTCGGTGTCACTAATCCGGCGACGGCACGGGCTAACAGCAATGCAGCGAGAAGCTTCATTTTGAACAACAAACAAGAAATGGAATGGTAAGTTTCGTGACTGAAGAAAAGGAGCTAGACAGCAATCGACTTTCTAAAGTCTCTCCCTAGACGTACAACTTTCAAATAAGGCTTGGAAAATAAGGCTCAACTTATTGAGTGTTCAAGATCCAAAGAAAAATTGGGGAAAATAAGATGCTCTTAAATTATTTCAAAGAACTTGCCATGAGGCACTGCATGTCGGTAAGAATAACTCGATAAGTTTGAAACAATGACCGCACCAATTTCCAATGACAAGGCTCCACACGTCGTTCCATCCTTCAGGAATCAGGAAGCTGGGGATTTCAGCAGCAAAAGGTTTTGATACCATGCCACGAAAGACTTTAGTGACCGCAGGCACACCCATGTATCCCCTGATTGACGAGTTAAAGGTGAATTAATTTTATGGGGTAAGGAAGACGGCTGAACGGAAAGAGTGCTTGCTCATTGGTGGCGCGTACCTTTAGCTCCAAAAACCTGGTAATATTCCGTGGTTCAAAGTCTCCCTGGTGCTGAAGTCATAAAACTGTTAGACATTTCACTGATTGCCACAGTCCAGAAGCAGACGCTGTACAGTAGCGAGAGAGACTATGCAGCGCTTTGAAGGGAATATAGCTTTTAGTCCGCCGATGTCCTGTATTGTCAAGACCATACATATGCCGCAACCTCTGATTCATTCTCCACGTCGCAATTTGACATACAGTACTGTACTGTACGAAGTACGATGGAATGCCTCCCGAAATATTACCCTTTTTTAAAGCGGTGGAGATAGACATATCACTGATTTTAGTGGGGTAGTCGTATGTTCCTGCCTGTCCATACCCCTGGTAACGATCCTTCAAGGCTGCGTTGACCAAGTCAAGCCATGATCGATCCATCAAGCTTATCTCTCAAGGCGGGGCTTAGGAATAGGATGGATTCCTGCGAGCGGATGCCTCAAACAAATACTAGTGAGATGACGTGTCCCAAGACAAAGCAAACGTGGGGAAAAAGAGATTAAAATGATGTTGCGAGGATGAGAAGGATGGAAGCTGAGCCGCATTCCTTCCTTTTCGGAGGTTATCCTCGAGCTTATTTCATGCTTTATTCCGTACCTAGGTAACAAGGGGGGCAGTCGTTATTTTTTAGGATTAACGGAATAGAATTGTCGAATTATTCAAGGGATCGATGAAATATACCTTGTGTAAAACAAAATTTAAAGCTAAAAGCCACAAGTATTATCTATAAAAAGAAGTCGTTGTCTGGTAGGGCGTGTTAGACTTGCAGGTGGAGGTGGAGTTATTTAAGTCTGGTAGCGAGACTTTAGCGCCTTGGTAAGTTGTATACCCAAAGCTCCCCCCCCTTCTCCCATCTCCCCTCCGGTCTCTCAAAACCCATCAACACTCTTCTACATCCGAAAATCACCATGCTCTGTCAACTCTTCCTCTTAATTCTCGTTTCCATCCTCTCCAATTCTAAAATGAGCACGGCAACACAAGTCCCCTCAGGGACATACCGCGCACCCCTCCATAACTGTGATTACGAATCCCTAGTGCCGAACTCCTACGTTATATATTTGACACCAGGGCACTCACTCGAGCAGCACTCTGAGGCCGTAGGAAAGGATATGAAGCCGCTTGTGCACCACGTGTTTGACATGTATACGGAGAAGGTGGTTTATGTTGGGAGACCGGTGGATGGGAGTTTGTTGGAGGCTATCAGGGCGGATGAAGGGGTTGAGCTTGTGGAGTGTGAGGATGAGCCGCAGTTGGATGATGAGTTGGAGAAGGAGTTGTAGGTCAGATGGGATGGGGAGTTGGCTGGTGGTTGGTTATTTCATCTCCGCATAAAAGAAAGTATTTAGCGATTTTGACTGACTTTGTCTTAGGCGTTAAGAGTCTATAAATGTCGAACAACCAAAAAGGATTTTGGTGCAAAGCTATCATGCTAACTTGGCTGTCTCGCTCGTCAGTAGTGGCAAGTTGGGATGCAGGACGCCTTTCACCTCACTAAAATCCTGCGTCCCAGAATCCGAAGCAGGAGCTTGGCGCCAAGGGAAGAAACCGAAAATGTATATTACGTTTTTCTCAATGAGGCTTTCACTGTACTGTGCTCGCGGTTGTGTTGACGCATTGCGACCTCCACAGAACTAACACTATTATGTCCCCTTCATATTGCGGGAATCGTCGAACTAGGGTTAATCTATGTGTTATCCAGAGCTATATATACTTTGGAGCTGAATGACTGGTGGAAAGCATGGATTCTAAAGGTTTTCGCCAGGAGAGACAAATAGACATGTCTACTTAGGTACGTTTGTCATGTGGATTAGTACGATATATTCTCTAGCATTTCAACACATAGCACTCTAAGTCTAGGACCTGGGATTAAATCTGACATCCCTAACTTGTTTCGGCTTTTTGTTAGGCGTCTACGCTAAGAGGCCCTTCCCCCTTTTATAGGCGAGGTACATCACCTATTTGAGCAAGAGTACCTAAACAGAAACAGAAACAGTAGTATCGAGGATCGTAATTTGTATTTCTGGAACTCTCACAGAGGCTGCCACAGTATTCACAATTCGACTATCTCAACGGGATTGCCCACGTCCGTCGTGCTTTGATACACAACCGCAGCGTTGACAAGCAGCGCACCATTTGCGCCGGCGGGACCCACCATCAATCGCTGCCACAAAATACCCTTGATTCCATACCAGACCACTTTTATTGCATCTAACCAAGCATAACTAGGAAGAAGGTCCAATACGACGCCTCCCTTCTTCCGGCTCTGAAGCCTCTCATAAGCAAGTTGTCCCTCATCCCAGAATACAGCCTCTCGACCGTGTCCAGAATGTATGTGCCCGAAAACATGAAGCTTGGGCTTCACTTGCCATATTTCGTCCAGTAGACCAGCGCATCCCAAGTCGAGGTCAAGATGGTATCGTGGAGGGCAATGGGTGATTAGTACGTCGGTGTTTTGTGGAATTCGATTCTCCCATGGTGGAAGGTGTCTTTGATATTGAAATCTTCAGGTCACAAATTAATTACTAACTGCTAGACTGTCTTGGAAGCAGAACCTACGCAAAATCGGATCCACCACATTGCGGAATATCGGGGCTTCCATAGAAATTAAGCTTCCTTCCGCCCTTAAACTTCAATGTGATGGCTTTGTTCTCCAAATAATGGATAGACCTGAAGTTCAACTTCTTTCCCTTGTCTTCTGCCTTTCTCGATTTGGGATCGAAATAGCTGTCGTGGTTCCCCGCAATGACAATCTTCTCTCTGTGGGGCAACGAAGCTAGCCAGTCCAGCTGGGCCTGTATCTGCTCCACCGTCCCCGCATTCGTCAAATCGCCAGCGTGGATCAGAAGGTCTCCATTAGGTACAGGAAGGGTGTTTGTATGTGTATCTGATATGCAGACGACTCGAATTGTGGGCTTGTTTCGATGTGGCTTAAAGGGCGCGCCTCGGAATAGGAGTAAGATGTGGTAGATCAGATTGATCAATGCCCGCAGAGGGGACACGAGGATTATGTCGAGAGGCGTTGGAGGGTCGAACATGTTCTTTCTCCTTGACCAAGGCCATTGTGCATTTCGTCTTGCGCGGACTCCTCCTGCCATCCCTTCGATGTGTTGCTCTTCAGTATTTTCCGTGGATAGTAATTACGTTGGGAAGACTACCGATAGCGACCAGTCATTTGAATTCGTTGCTATTCGTAGTTGGACTCGTGGTATTGATTATTATTATGCAGAGCAATGGAAGCTCAGAGGGAGTTCAAAGACATTAATGGACACGGTGTCAACCAACGGCGAGGCTCTCATGTAGTGTCACAAGGTTGGAGCGATCATTTGGCGGGGGACTTCGCTAATCTTACAGGGATAAGCTCCCTTGTAACCAACCCAACGTCAAACGTCATAGGTACTGAAGACTGCCACTGCCCTGTTAAGGAAAACAACACCAAGCAGCCACCATCTTGTTTGTGGCAGCGCGCCAACTTTCCCTCTTCCCTCCTCCCACCTCTCCGCCTTTCTTCTTTCATACAGTCTGCTACAACAAAACGCAGATATGGCTTCTCTCAAGACTCTCTACGAGCCAAGCATGAACCTAGGCAATGCGTTGAATACAAATTTCGAGTAAGCCAGACAGACAGTCTCTTCTACGCCGAGGAATATCCTAATCAGCTACAGCGTCGACTACGTGATCGATTACCGCTTTGCAACAACTAGTAAGCTTGCCACCACTCCCTCCTATTTTACAGATACTGATTCTCCACCAGGCAAAACAGCAGCAGGAACGCAATTCACAAAGCTCATAGAAGCCCTCAATAACGTGGGGCTAGCCACCGAAGTACGAAATGGAGACAATTGCGCAGTCCTTATCTTCGTCAAGGTCGCATCCGAACGACACCTCAAAGCGGAAGTATATCGAAGCAGGGTGCAAGACTGGCTATATGGCGTTCGAACTGCAGCCCCCAAGAAGGAGATACAACAGAACCTGAAGGACGAACCCATCACGGAAGCAGAGCGTCTGCGATTGGTATACCTGTTAATAACAAAGCCGAAGAATGAAGGTGGTGCTGGTATCACGCCCAAGAGTGGAGAGTGGACTTGCGTTGAATCTATTTTCGCGCTCCACGACCACCAGTTCAACAAGGCTTGGATCAAGCAATTGACCTCGAAATATTTCCTCAACTCGGAAGACTTGGCCGAAATCAAGGACCGGTTTGGCGAAAAGATTGCATTTTACTTTGCTTTTTTGCAATCATACTTCCTATTTTTGACATTCCCGGCTGGTTTTGGGTTCTGTTCTTGGGTCCTTCTGGGCAAATTCTCCCCTATATACGCAATTATCAACGGGCTCTGGTGTGTTGTTTTTGTTGAATACTGGAAGAAGCAAGAGACTGATTTGGCGGTTCAATGGGGCGTTCGAGGGGTATCGAAAATTCAACTCAAGCGACCTCAATTCAAGCATGAAAGTACGGCGACTGACCCGGTCACGGGCGAGGAAATTAAAGTATACTCGCCGTTCAAAAGATTGGCAAGGCAACTTCTTCAAGTCCCATTTGCTCTTACCGCCGCCATTGTACTCGGTAGTTTGATTGCCGTATGCTTCGGTATCGAAGTCTTCATATCAGAGGTCTATCCAGGCCCTTTCAAGGCGTATTTGGTCAGTAACTTGGTCTGAGCCGATTGAGTTTTCCTAACATTCTCAGGTCTTCCTACCAACAGTCATCCTAACCGTCTTCATGCCTGCCCTTTTGTCAGTTCTCACTGGATTTGCCACTAGATTAACAAACCTTGAGAACTATGAAACGACCGATTGTAAGTTTGATATCCATATACCTAATACTTACTAATCCCTCCCAGCACATGAAGCTGCCCTGGTGTCCAAGATCTTTATTCTAAACTTCATCACATCATATCTTCCCATCTTCCTGACCGCATTCGTCTACATACCATTCGGCCAAATTATCGTCCCTCACCTGGACATTTTTAGTCTGACTGTGCGGCCGTTCGCCGAAAATGAGAAGCAACTGACCGCTCCAAAAGCTGGATTTCAGATCAATCCTAACAGATTGAAGGGGCAAGTTATCTACTTTACCGTTACTGCGCAGATCGTCAACTTCCTCCTAGAGATCATCGTTCCATATGTTTCTCGCCATTTCTTCCGCAAGGTCAAGGAAGTTAAGACCAATCGGGCAATGAAGAAGAGCGGTACAGCTAGTCCAACAGCAGATGACCATCCCGAGGAAGCCGCATTCTTAACTAGGGTCAGAAATGAAGCTGAGTTGAGTGTTTATGATGTTACAACTGATTTCAGGGAGATGATCGTACAATTTGGTACGTATTCTCAAAAAGACTTGGTTGTCACGTGCTAATATTCTCCAGGATATCTTTCCCTCTTCTCAGTCGTTTGGCCATTGACCGCAGTATCCTTCCTGGTCAACAACTTCATTGAGCTTCGCGGCGACGCCTTGAAAATCGCAATCGAAACGCAGCGTCCCGTTCCATGGAGAGCGGATTCCATTGGCCCTTGGCTCGAATCTCTTGGCTTCCTATCCTGGATGGGCAGTCTGACGACCGCAGCACTTGTATACCTATTCCGTGGCGATGGTCTCGGACCCGATGGAACACCGTGGAACATCAATACTGCCGGTCTTCTCTTGACTATGTTCTTCTCGGAGCATATTTACCTTGGCGTCCAACTAGGTGTTAGGAAAGCGCTTAGCAAAATTGATAGCCCTGGGTTGCAAAAGGAGCGCGCGGAGCGGTGGACTGTTAGGAAGTAGGCGACCCTTCAATTTTGCCATGACACAGCTTGCTAATGATTTTCAGACAATATCTCCAAGAATCCATTGGACAAGAAGCAGCCGATAATGCAGCATCGGGCGGTATTGCTGGGGGAGAAAAGATCAGCAGAAGTACGCTTGAGGACGCTGCGAGGATGTCTACACTGAAAGATCACGGGACTCCTGAAGAGAGGTTCTGGCAGCGCCAGCAGGGGCAGGCTGAGACTATTGCTATAGGAAAGAATTATATTGACAAGGTTTGTGCTTCTTTTGGAGATTTCTGGGATACAGCTGCTAATGTGAAGAAGGCGGCACCAAAGGATAAAGCTGAGAGCAAAAAGGAGCTATGATTATTCATGACTTATGAGTGGGGTTAGAAACGATCGCTGGAGTGAAGGCAAAAGGTGTATAAGGGCATGGAGTGAACGGGGCATATGTTAAAGTAGGAAAGAACATGATCCAATTTTTTGCAGTCTATATTACAAATCAACTTTATCTCCCTTTTCATAGCTCGTTGTAACGTTGCTTAGTGAACAAAATGTGCGTATTCATTTGCATACGCTTATATGAAGTCTATACAATATATGTTTTTATGGAGCAATACAAATTACAGACCTTCGGCTAAGTACAAAAAACAGGAATAAAGACGACGCCACTTCTTCCGGACTCAACCCCAAGCCCCCTAAAAACAATGATCATTACTCACTCAACCTCTTTCGGATCCTCATTAATGCCTCTCCTAGTTTATTCTTCCCCCATTCATTTTCTTTGCCAGCAGCGTGCTCAGCGTCGAACCCGATACCCCAGATTCGGTCACTTGGATTCGCCTCAACAATGATCTTATGGCCAGTATCAAGAAGAATTGCTTTGAGCTTTGGCTATGACTGAACTTCAGAAAGTTTCCCTGTTCAAAATTATATCGCAAGAGCTGTTTCAACAAGTAGAATAGTGGCTAAACAAAAAATTGCAAAATAGAACATACAACAGCAGGTATTCGCTGGTGGTCACCCACCCAACTACTAATCTGCCGATCTGAGGCTTATGTATGGCAGAGCGGACGGGATGCCCAGTGCTCCTCAGTCTATGGTCGTATGTGATGTGAATATAGTTGTTTAAGTATATATACCCAATGTCTATTGAGCGTGACGAAGCTGTAAGGAACTATCTTGTATTGGAGATGGAAGGGTGGGACAGATGAATAGCAAGTACCGTACTACGTGCTGACAAGCGAATCATGAAGAAGTACAGATGTTGTCAGGAATTCTTCCTGTGCAACTTCGCACCACTTAAGGCTGACTGCCTGCCCAGTATTTTTGGCTTTGCGTAGCACAAATAATTAGCAGTAACCTCAAAAGCATATACCAACTGATCGAGCAAGCCTCTAGCGCCCTAATTCTTAATGTGACAGCTCAGGCTGGAATCTAATACTAGAGAGCTCTGTAAGCTAAACTCGTATTAAGCTTCATAGTATTAATTATAGAACTTAATACCTAAAATAGAGCAATATACGATTATTCAAAATCTGGAGAACGTAGAATCAGCAGAAAAATAACTATCTAGTTACCGGTAGTACTAAACCCCTGAGCTAGGCCGAGTAGGTAGGTACTCGCACTCTCCGTGGAGGAAAAAAGTTTCCTAATAATTAAGGCATTAAAACTCGCTTGCCTTATTAGGACACTTTTTTCTTCCACGGAGAGCTCGCAGTTACTAGGTAGCTCTAGGGTATTATTACTAGACTATGGGTTTAAATTAGACTCCGGGTTTAAACAGAGTAGAAGCTGGAGAAAATTCCTGTTAGTGGAAAGCGAGCGTGATGTACGGGCTACGGATTTGTCTCCGTTTCATGGGTATTTTGCCGGTCTGAAATATGCGCCGGCACTCCTTGCACACACGGGGAAGGTCCCTGCGCGCTCTCCGTGGGTAAATAAGTGTCCTAATAAGGCAAGCGAGTTTTAGTGCCTTATTAGGAAACTTATTTCCTCCAATAATATGACTGAATAGAACACTTAAAAATCGAGAATTTTAAGGGTTTTATTAAGGGAGTTTAGAGTGGGTTGGAAGATTCACCGTAGTTAGGGAGAGGGCGGGGCTAAATATGCCTTGTAGAAGCTAGAGGCTATCTAAGTCACTATGGAGTATTTCAAGTAGATTGAGTTTCATTTGGGAACAGGCTTAATCATTCATTTTATAGCACTTCGTTCGGCCTCTGTTGGAGTAGATACGATCTACAAAGTGCCCAGTCCAAATCTAATATGCTTTTTATTCCAATATTGGCTACTAGAATTCGAATATCTGAATTCGATATTTGTGTAGATGATTATTCCAATAATTCCGGCTACCTAAGCGAACGCCTTGCCTGCTATACCAAAACTCCGGGAAACGTCAGGGAAACGCCAAGTAAACTCCAATTCAAGTGAGATCCACCGTAATCAGGACATTTTCTCCACAACACATTTCCCTTCAAACCATCTCGCAAATTTGACTGTCGGCGCATCGACCAGCCGCCAGAACAAATCCGCGACGCAGATGATGATAGGTAGATAAACTGCCAAACCCACAGCCCAACTCAAATGCCGTTCCCAAAGCGTAGCTCTCCCAATATGCATGTTGATAGCAGGTCCGATCCGAGGCTCGAGTATTGTCAAACACAAGTTATGCGTAAGATACAAGGCGTAGGAAATAGTGCCTAGATAGAGTGCCACGGGCGTAGTGAACAACCGCTGCAGAAATTTCAGTTGCGTACATGCTAGCACAATCTGAAAGGCGCCGAGACAGAACCAGACTCGTTGGCCTTCGTAGGGCTGCGGGGTGTGGGCGTCTAAAAAGGCGATGCCCCAGACTTCTTCGGGGTGGCTGTTCGTCCAGGATCCAATGAAAAGGCCACTCAGCAGGTTGGCGATCCAGAAAGCTTGTAATAGTCTTTCTTTGATGGTAGGGCTGCACTCGGCTTTCTCCTGTTTCCCCAGCTTCTCTTCAATGATATACTTCGGTAGGGTCGTGGGGCTGGATATTGGTGTGAATAATGTTGCGTCGTTTAGGAGTGTTATTTCTGCAATGAACATGCCGCCGAGAAACTCGACAGAGTAGAGGTGTCCGCCGTAGAAACAGAATGCCATGATTCCTGCCAGGAGAATAAGTCGAATTTGTGAGACGCAGTGGGATAAACCGAGAAGGACTGTAAAGAGAAGAAGCGACTGTGCAAACTCGATAGGTATAGTCCAAAGTGCTGGATTGTAAAGTAATTCAGGAGATGATAGAAAGTTGATATCCCATGAAGCACTGAGCAGAGCCCAGCACATAGACAGCCAATCTCTCATTTGTGAGGAGAACTGGACAAATTGATAGGCGTATCTGTCGTCCGAAAGACCGAAATGTACGTTGAGGGCCATGATAAATGAGACAATAATGGATGGGAGGAAGAGTCGAAGAGCACGACGGAAGACTGAGGATGAGAGTGTGCCTGCCATTGCCGAAAATTGTTGCGTGTGAATCTGCTTGAGGGGCTTGTAGGCAAGAACGTAGCCAGAAATGATGAAGAAGATGTGTACCATTGGTCGGGCGGAGTATAGAACTCGAATTCCAGGTAGTTGTAACGGAGAAGATGGTGCTCCGTCTTCATATAATCCGTACGGTTCTGCGAACCAACCAATGTTCTCTTCGGTGTAATGTCCCATAAAGACTATGAATGATGCCACTCCACGCAAACCATCTAAATATGAAGTCGGATGTAATCTTTGTTGTTTCGCGGCCAACGGGCGTATTCGCCGTTGAATGAAGCTGGGCAGAAGCCCAAACATTAACTTTTGTAGAAATCGCATGGCTGATGAGGTAAAGACTGTGTGATGAGGATGTTTAGATATGTCGTCTTTGACGGCAGCTAGGAGGGCCTGGGGATCATAGGTGTGGCCCATTTTGTGGGATCGGTCTCCAGTAACTTGTACTTCGTAAAAGGGAAGACGTGAATGTGGTACGGTATTAAGTGAAGCGCTGTTGGACATCCCGGCTAAGGAAGGTGTGGATTCCGCTGCTCGTGGTTCTCGTAGGAAGTATACAAAATAGGCTATTTGGGGAGAATTAATAACAAGTGGATCTCGACAGCCAGCGTCGACAACTCATAAGCACTAAACGCCAGTTTACAGGGCAATTCGAAAGATAGACAGAGAATAACAATACAGAGACAATAATAACAATAAGAACAAAGTAGGTACAGACTTAAAGTACTACAGAAGATTGAAGTCTGAAGACGGGAACAAGGAAATCGATAGTGAGAAGGAACTAGACCCCAGACGTTGAACTGTTGGGTTGGCATCAGCCGCGGGCTTTGACAAGGGTACCGCGGTGCAAGCTTTTTAGGCCTGCAAGCAATACCAAGCATAGATGTGCCGTGAAGATCAATAAGCCCTAGCTCAGTGTCAGCGACTGGCTGGTTGGACGCAGATACGACAACATCTTTTTACGACCGAGTAGCCTAATGTGGTAACGAATTGCTTCCAAGCGTGAAACTGTACGCGTATGCTCTTTCCATCCTTACAAAGTACAGTAGACGCAGCAGGGTCTTAGATTCTGTATATAAAATGTAAAGGTGCTCCTCCACCTTCTTTCCCTCAAATAATCTTATCAACCACAGGGTCTTTTACGGATATCAGCGCGTAATCCTGCCACAGTACAGTAACTTCCTGTACAGTTTTTGAAACATGATTAGTGTCATGACCCGTGTGAGGAGGAAAGGGGTCTTTGAAATTTATTGAAACGAGGCTTCATGAGGGAGTTTGTGATTTCACTCGGGCTTTTTTGTTTCACTCAATTGAAAATGCCAAGCGCTAAGGCGGAAGGACCCGTTCCGTTTGCCCCGCTGTAGTCCACCAGTCCTGTTGAGTCTGACTTGGTGGCTTATGTCAGCGCTACATATAAGCTCACTCTTTACTCTCGCTTCACTTACCTCCCCGCCGTACGAAGTACTCTGCTCAACACTTTGATATGTCTACGGTGTATCCATATATGTTATGCTAGCATCAAGCTATAACTGGTGTATCTTATCTGCCGATTTTGCTGATACTTGCGTATTCCGAAAATATTGCTCAGGAGTCCTAGTCACGTGCTCACCGGCTATTGACATGCGGCCCTTGAATTTTCATCGACCTCATCATACCATTATGATCCGGACCTCAGCCCCTATGATGACCATACTCCGTAGAAATACTGGACCTAACTAAGCACTACCAAAGCAAGCTATATGCCTGTATTGCATACTACAGGGTGTTCTCATAAACACTGCAACTTTCCACTTAAAACCAGGATGTAACTAGGATAATAGAGGGTTTCTATTGCCTGAAAACCCGAGGTGATCAAACTGCTACAATCCCCCACTTTCTACTAGAAAAGGGGTGTTTCTGGCAGCTGGACTCCATACAAGCCTTGTAAAAGCATATCTTGTAGAAAGTTGCAGTTTTCATGACAATACCCTGTACTATCAAACCAACCATTATTCCTTCCACAGCTTAACATAGTAGGAAATTAAACGGAATACTTTTCAAATCAAAATCCATATCAGACGACAGCAATCATGGCAAGCAACGATACTCCGTACAAACAAAGTGTTGTTGTAATTTTAAGCTTATTACTTGGAGCTCTGATGTTTCACGTATTCGCACGAGCCTCTGACCCCTGAATGTCAGAGTCCATGTCTCACCCTGATCGCCGCTAGTTATCAAATGCCGACCCTTCGCTTGCAAATCCTCATACAAAATCATGTTCATCAAACCCACCCTTGACAGCAACCTCAGCCATCGTCGCCGCCATCTCCTTTACCTTTAAATCTGAACAAATGGCATCTGTAGCTACACCGACTTGTGGCATGAAAATACCGTTGTCCTGGGACGTGGTAAGTATGCTTTTGAAACGTCTTGCGTGCAAAGAAGTAACTTGAGTTCGAGCAGTTTGGGTTTCGATTACCCCCTTTCCATTTATTGTTAGCAGTAGCGCAAAAAAAAAAAAAAAACCGAAAGGAAATAGTACTTCCTTGATATATCTCGCGTCGTCGAACCAGCGGTGCTGGTGCTATTCCTCGAGATCTCGATCTGCAGCTTGCTTTCCCGCTCACGTACACGAATCTGAATTTTGCATCCTTTCTTGCTCCGTAGTTCGGGGCCGAAGAGCGAGATGATCGGGGTCTTTCGCTGCGGCGTGGGGGTATTCAATGTTTATATTTTGTGCAGTGGCGAGATCAGGGAAGATACTATTAGCTGATGTCACCCAGTGCCCTATTCCTCTTCAGAGAGTAAGTAGTTCTTGCGCGGAACGGTGCGGTGATGGAGATAGTCTAGGTTAGTTCTGGGAGAGGGGGTGTGGTACCATACATATGCACGCTTAAGCACTAGAGACAAGAGAGAGAAGATTGGAATAGAAGAACGTCAAACAGAGATCACCCAAACTCTGCATATTTATGCTCTTGTGAAGGCTGAATATTATCTATACACCGGTAAGCACGCCGATGGATCTCTTCAGCACATTGATGTCATTTTAAATCCAAACATACCCGATATCATACGTAGGCAAAACTAACTATCATTGGGCTACTTGCTACCGCGAAACTGTCCATGAACCAAACTATCGATTCGCCATCGCACTTGATCGCCACGCGTGGTCGATCCGAACAAGCAACCTATATTTGCATACCCTTGAAAATTACCTTCCTACAATTAGATTAGGAGACTCAGTGCGGGTTTTACACTCCGTATATTCCGTAAACATATAAGCTACTTTACCTAGGGTGTGAAAGGAAATAGAGTGCGCAAGCCGAGGCCGAAAGGATTCCCGATACCCTGTCAAGATCAAAAGCTTATGAGCCCCGGGAAGTCTAATTCAACGACAAGACATGGCAACCATAGCAGCACTTGGCAGGTAAAAGCCTAGGTACTTAATGATTATTGAGAACTAAAAGCTCTACTACTCTACCTAGATGCATATCTATTCTGTTAACTAGAATATTTATATAGACTTTAGAAAATAATATAATTTATAGAAAAAGGTTTTAACTTTATTTAATAATATATAAAGTATTTATTAATAGAAACCTGAAAAGATTTGAGAATATAAATCTCTTGAGACTCTTAATATAGTATATGGAATTTAAAAGTTAAATATTCTATCGTTGGCTAGTTATGAAAAGTATAATTTCTTACTAGTCTGACTAAAACCGCGTCCGAGTAGGGGCAATAAGCGAGCCGATAGTAAAGACGTAGATGGTAGAGGAATATTTGGATTTGAGGTATGCAATTCATTGTTCGATCTCGAATTATGTACTTATACTTTAATACATCCTCCACCCCTCTTTTCATTACCCGCCCACTCGTAATCTAAACCTATATTCTCAATACCACACCACACCACGACGCACCCCACCTAACCTCATCCCAACAACCACCCAAAGTCAACCCACTAATTTACAGTAAGTATCTACTTACTTAAGCAGGACTCGCCGTAAACACAGCAACCCCATACGCGGGAATATCGAACGTCCACCCCGCCGTCGCACTCCCCGTCAACGTACTATTAGCCGGCTGAACGTTGACAGCATCCGGTCCATTACTCGTCCCCGCACTCCCGCTCAGTAACTGCAGCGCGGCCGTGCCGCTCAGCCCACTCGCAGTGGGAATCTTCACCGTCACATTCTGACTATCTGTTCCGTAATTCGCAACCTTCACATACCATATCCCGCCAGTGGTAGAGCTAGCAACCCAATACAGCGGGCCGAAATCTACGTCGGCGCTTACGGCTCTAATGGTATCGCCTCGCGCGTTGGAGAAGAGTTTTTGTACGTAGTAGGACACAGAGCCAGTGAGGGAGTCGGGCGCGGAGGAGAGACCGACGAGGTCGGGGGACCATTCGGCTAGGCCGAAGTGTTCGAGGAGGGGGGCGTAGGAGGCTAGTTTTACGAGGTCGGAGTTGCGTTCTAGGCCGATCATGTAGACTGCTTCGGAGACGGCGCCTTGGACCTGTTTTTGGGGATGCCTTCATTAGACGGAGGAAAAGGGGTGGGATGGGATAGGATGGATGGGTTGGGTGGAAAGGGCGACTTACGTTTGACCAGGATAGTTGAGTACCGGAATCAGTTTCGGTGTTTGCGTACTCGCCGACGAAGATCCCGTACCCGGTGGTGCGGGGGTAGTTGTCGAACTCATCGAACATTGAAACAAAGCCAGACGGTGATAAATAATGATGGATATCGGTCCAAACACCCGACGGTAACGGATCTGGTAAGCACGAGTCCTCGCTTGTGGAAGCGATGATTTGGATAGAAGGATAGGCGGCGTGGATGGCGTCGTAGAAAGCTGTGAAGCGGGACGCGTAGGTGGAGCAGCCCGAGGAGAGGTTATCTTCGTTGCCAATCTCAATGTAGGGGATGTCATATGCTGCTGCGTGGCCATAGGAGGCGCGGAGAGCGCCGTAGGTGGTTGAGGTGGATCCGAGCAGGAATTCGAGCTCGTTAAGCGCGTCGTCTACGTAGGGGTCTAGAGCTGTGCCGGATATTATGCCACCGCCGAGTGAGAGGCCAGACCAAATTGCCAGGACTGGGGTTAGGGACATATCGTCGCACCATTGAAGGTATTCCATGAGACCTGAAGATGGTTGGTTAGCTGATATTGGGGAAAGGGGTTAGGTAGTTTACCGAGAGCATCGGTGTTTGGATAACTCCAATCGCCTTGTTCCAGTCAGTCAGCGTTGCTATCAAGAACTTTATAGAGAACATACCTTGACGACCAGGTCTATTTTCTAGCGGTCCAATCGTCTCATTCCACTTCCAGCGAGCACCAGGTGACCCGCCTTCCCTACACACACTTAGCAAACTCCCCTAAGACCAGAAAGAAAAGATCCTACAAATTATTCCCACCAGGAAACCGCAAGAAACTTCCCCCAATCGCCTCAAGAAACTCTCCCACATCATTACGTATCCCATTAAACCTCCCATGGTAAGTTTCTGGAAACAACTGCACGAGATCGAACCACAACGCCGATCCCGCAACTTTACTCCCATCGAAAAGCAGCTGCCACACATTACTCCCGTCCGGGCTCTGGCTCGCCGTGAAACTAGTCTCGACATACGTCCACGCAGCACTACTACTCGTAACCGTGACATCATGAGTAGCAAACACAGTACCAGAAGTAGAGCCAACGAGCTTTAGCGTAACGGTGCCGGAATAGTTTCCTTTGATGTAAAAATAGTTGGCGTATGTGCCAGCGTTGACGGGTACGCCACCGTAGCCTGAATTAGAGAACCCGACGGAAGCGGTGGTGCCAGATGGGACGGATACCTTTAGGGAGGATTGTATGGCGGTTGTGAGGTTGACAGTGGTGTCTTGGGAAAGGCTGGTGCCGCCTACGGATGCGTAGCCTGTTAGGCCTGGGGAGTCGCCTTGGAATCCGTTGTTTTTAAGGAGTTGGCCATGAATACCGCCGTCGCCTAGTATGTGTCAATAAAACTTCATAAACAGGGATTTGGGTCAAGGACCAGAATTATTGATGTCCTAGAAATTTGTTAGTAGGTGTCAAATAAGGAACGTGTTGTAGGGTGTGTACCTCGAACATCAGACCGTAGAGCAAAGGACTGGATGCATTGCCGCCTGTGGTTGAGATATTGAAAGTTGCGCTGTAGGCGTAAGTTACGAGGGAGGCCAAGAGGAGAAGGGGGCCGGTTGAGAGCATGTTGAGAGGATTAAGTAGAGAATAGTGTCTTCTTTGTGAACTTGATCAATATGAAGTTGGGGATATCACAGTTCTTATAGTCATCTTGAAGGAACAGTACGAGCCTACGAGGGGTAGCACGGCAGATCATTGTACAAGATGCGATGAACTGCAAGGCTCGAAAAGAGTTCTTCCTCCTAGATAGACCACAGCCCGAGAGATCTTCACCATAAAGAACAAGGCACCTTTGATCCGCAGCAATAGAAAGGTAAAGTTTGAAATGATACTCGGACATACAACTCTGTATTAGAAGGTTGGGACCACTAAATGTGCTTGTGATGATTTCAAAAAGGCAATTGAGGAGAACTGTGGATATGTAACTTAGTTGCCCTTGCAAAAAAAATGGAAATACAATGTTTGCTAGACCACGGATTGGGGCGGGTGAAATCTTTTCTCAGGATGTGAGTGGGCCTGCCTGCTTGCTAACTCGTAATGCTTACCTACTACAGTACCAAGAAACTATAATGCTCGTGTTGCCTGTATAACATGCTTTGTAGAAAAAACTTACACTTCTCCCGAGGAAGGATTTCTAGCATGAGCTTCTGAGATGAGGTTTTCTCCGGATGCTCCACACTACGGAGAAATTCATGAGAGAGGTCCGGCCGCGAGAGAACTCGATACAAAGTTTGCGGAGTCTGGGGTAATGCCGGACCTTGAAGCGCCCCTTGCTTGTACATACAGGTTCGCGATACTATTGGAGCGCGTACGAAGTAAATTCTGGGAATTCAGGGCAAGCGATCGTGGACCTGAATCTGACTCGCATATTCATCTGATGGCGATACTGCATTTGCACGATTCATCATAGCCCGATCAACCCAGCCGATGGAAGGAACACGGGGGAACAGAACAACGAGAATGGCACAACTGACAAAGGGTGGAGGGACTACTGCATTAAAATTTGTATAATCGAAGTATACTTTCTACAATAATATTACAAACAACATAATGCATGCTAAGATGCGATCTAACCTGCTATTAAAACCCAAAGTCTATTGATTCATTAGCTAAGTACTCAAGATAGTAAAACCGAATACTCACAAAAAGAAGATCATGAGAACACCAAACATCTTCGCAATCAGCCAGCGATTGCTAGATACTCGCGACCAGTACTTGAGCAGCTCTCTTTGAGCACCTTGTACATTGTCTACCACATCCTCGGTATTAGCATCGATCCGCTGGATCATCTCACTCTGCTCCGAGACCATGGATGCTAACTGCCCAAAAATCCCACCGAGTTCGCTGATTGTTCGTTCGATGGCCTCGATAGCCTCGCCTCTTTGGTGGATATACGTATTTTGAGGCTGTGCTTCTTCCATCATCAGAAGTTGCTGATCACCCACCGGATTTAGCGATAATAGATCTTGACCCGGTCCAGGGGAGCCTCGGTTTGGTGTGCTATATAATGGGGAGGCGGATTGTGATATTTGCGGCGCGGTGTTTGCTGATACTGAGGATACGAAATTTTCTGTTCGTGACCGCGAGGCCTGTATATTCTGTGTTCGGACTTCTAATACATCTTTAAAATTCACGGATACATCTGTGAGTTTGCCTTGCAGCATGAAGACTACATTCTTGTTGTGCTCTCCTTCTTGGTCGGCTTTAGGATGTTGAGCGCGGGATAGGGTCTGTAGGGAGGAAATTTGCTGATTGAGGGATGAAAGGTCTTGTTTGATGATAAATGTCAATTCGTTGATTTCCACCGGGCGATCATCGAAGAGTGTTTTCCGCTTGGCCACTGTATGTTGTTAATAAGAGACAATTCACAATAGCAAAGTCCAAAGGCCTACATTGTGCCAGTTTTTCTAACTTGCTCATGGTCCCTCCAATCCCCCTTCCTATCTCAGCGGCTCTCCTTGCGAACTCGGATCTTCTTGGCTTTCCATCTCCATTCGCGCTGCCGTTGGCAGCAGCCTTCTGCGAATCTGTAAGGAGTGATTGTCTCTGCGCTCCAACCTTGGATGATGCCTGTCGCTTTTGAAACTGGGTGAGGACCGACCTGAACTCGTTTGTTCGGTCTTGAATCGAAGATACTGCCATCTTGAGGGAGATGCGCAATACTCAGAAAGTAGAATAGTAGGCGCTCGTAGATACGCTATTGTAATCGTTCGGCGCGTTCAGGGCGCAATTATAGCGGGGAGGTATTTGCGCTCAACAGGGTTTCGGAGACTCGGATATACGATGTCGGATGTGTGATATTATGTACAGTCGATGTCGATGTCGAGGTCGATGGCGAAGGCGAAGGAGCGTGTGAGATGGAACTCTAATTAATAGGATTTAAAGTGTCGCAAGGTATCGTGGCAGGGGGGAAGGGGAAGAGAAGTTCAATGGAAAGTCGCAGGTGTTTCGATGTTGGTCCGAGTTGACTGATTTTGGCGTGTCGAACAAAGGATACCTACTCTACCCTACTTCGTAGATATCTCAGAATACTTCGTAAGGCCACGAGGCAGGAAGAAAGGCCAATGCAGGTGCAGTACAGACAGTCAGCTAAATTTGGCGGCGGCGGCGGATTCAGACGTGGCAGTGGAGAATTTAGGTGATCCTGATTGGATGCTCGTGCTCTGGAAATTGGGAATAATAATCATGTGGATGTGATGTGGCTGAGCCGCGGGGAGAAAGAGAAAGAGAAAGAGAAAGTACAGTGAGTGAATCCAAGACTGGACTCAGTCATTTGGGGCCATGATAAGAAAGTGAATCAATCCATTGCCATAAATACTCTTACAGTACATATACCAAATCTTGCCTCTCCTCTTACCAATACCAATACCAAATCCTCTTCCTTCCTCCATCCCACACCTTCGTGGCGCAAACAACAATACCGGCTTTTTCTGCCTCTCTTAGAGTCCGTAGTGACGGCGACAGCAATCCAAACACGTTAATGAAAGCTGACGATCCTTTGTGAACACGCGCAATACCGCATCCCACCAGCACCATTTGCCTTCTATTTTACCATTCTATCCTGCTCGAGACGCCTCCCTTCCACTTCCACCTCCATCAACATCCATGTGGTTTCAATAGCTCGACCGAGAGAGAGTTAGGGCTTCGGAGTCAACAGCCTAAATGTCGCGCCCGTTTCCAAATACCTTCGACCAGGACTCTGCCATGTACGCGCGCACAATCTCATACTTCCTATCATCGCGCCCAGATTGATATCTTCTATTGCACAGGCAATACACATACTAATGATTTCAATAGGAGCCCCCAGTCAATATCCTACAAAGCCAATGTAAATCGACAAAAGACGAAGAAATGGCAACAGGCACAGCCTGTAGATTATGGAGGAGACGATTGGGGCGACGAAGATGATGAATATGACCTCCCGCCACCCCCGGTCTCCAAGCCTACGGGATTTCGACAGCAAGGCCAAGGGCTGACCAACTCCCCTCCACCTGTTGACAATGGCAAGAAGGCATATGGCGGGTTACCAGCACTACCTAGCGCAAGCGCCCCACGAGAACGATCAAATTCATTCGATGCAGATGAGGAGAGGAATTTCTCAAATGCCACTGCCCGTCAGCCATCACCTCCGATAGCAGCCGCTCCTTCATCTGGTCCCGCCAGAAGCTTTTCCCAGATAACTGGTGTACAAACCCCACGCGACCCCAGTGGCCCTCCGCCGCTCTCCATATCAACGCAGCAACCGTCTTTTGCGACTGGTCTCCGGAAGCCAATCAATAAGATCATTTCTCCTATCGCTGAATCCCCTCAACCTGAGCTGCAGAGACTCGAGAGGAAGAATACTGGCGAGGCTCCTTCTCTTGCGTCGAGTTCTGTCTACTCTCCTACCCCAACCTCCGACACTCGAACCCCAAGCGATTACCAAGCCCGACGAGACTATTCTCCCTCCGCAGCTCCTCCTCCATTGGAAACGCGTGGTTCACCGGCACCACAGGGATTAGACCCGGCTGGCACGAATTTTCCTGCAAGAAAGAGCAGTTTGAGCCAAGTCCCCCGTCCGGATGTATCTACGATTATGCAACGGCCTCGAGAGGTCTCTAACCCTAAGCCATGGGCCGGTGGTAGAACGCCATCGCCTGGCCCTGCAGCACAGTCGCCTACCTCACCTTCCAAAGCTCTCCCGTTCATTCGACCTGCGGATATTTACCGTCGCGCAGAAGAGGAGCGGCAGTCAATGGAATCTAGCAGACCTAGTATGGACTCGATTTTGGGTACCCGAAACACTGATAGTTCAGAGTCTACAGGAAAGCTTAGAGAAAGGTCAAGTTCCGATAGTCTGGGCACCGGTTCTCGACGGAGAGCGAGCTCCGGGGTGGAAGATAGCTCAGATGCCGGACGTCGTCTAATGCCAATGCTTGAACCAGTTAGGGAAAGGAAAAGCGAATATGGGTTTGATGGATTCAATGTCAGCGACCAAGGACCACAGGGACAAGCAAAAGGGTTCAACGCGTCACAAGGACCAGAAGTATCCGACGCTACTAAGCTCGATGTTGAAGAGGCGCGGAGGCAATCCGTCAGCCCCAAGCTTCCCGACTTGAATCGGTTGTCTGGGTTTGGGATGGATATGTTCTCCGGATCGAAGTCGGAGGAAGCGGTAGCTACGGTGTTCAAAGGCAACGAAAATACTTCGCAAACGTCGACAGCTGTTCCTACTACATCGGCACTAGAAGACGAACCCGCACTTCGTAATCAACCTTCTGTTGGCTTTAGGTCGGTCGTGCATCAAGCCTTTGATCGGACGGACGACTCTTCAGTTCCAGCGACTCCAGCTTCAAGAAGTGATAGCGGAGTAAGAAGGACTGATAGTGAGAGTACTGGAACAACTGGTATAAGCCCAATCATGAGCCGTGTTACAAGCTCGGCTGCTCCTGACAATGGCAATCGAGACTTCTCGACTCCTTCGATTCCGGAAGTCCTAAACGAGCATTACTCACCCGAGCCAGCTATACACCAGCCGCAGCCTGCCATCTCAGGGTTCAAGCCAGGACATCGACGTGACATTAGCACGCCGAGTCCCGGAAATAGCCCTGCAAGGACCCCTGATGTAGCAAGACTCGATGCGCCACCCCACGGCCAGGAAGCAGTCATTACTGATCCAAGCCCTACGTCAACGGTTGATGATGAGCCTCTACACCCCCAACGTCCTACTTTAGAAAGCGAAGCCACTTTCCGTCCATCGCTTCCAGGTGGTTGGACTTCTTATGCTACGACGGAGAGCGCAAGCACCCCCACGCAAGCTGACCAGCAGATTATCGATGGCATTACCCCAACCCCCTCAGGAGAGGTTCCTGCCAGTGGAAACAACACCCAGGGTGATTATGATATGACTCCGACCACTACTAAGCATTCGTTACCACAGTCAGCTCTTGAAGCTACTCTTGTCGGTGCGACTGTGGGGGGCGGGGCTCGTGGAAAGCACGACAGGGCGAGCCCATCAGGAACTCCACGTTCCGAGAGCCCAAAGGTTAATTTGGGTAACGATGATCTTCCCACGCCGGATCCTGCAATGGCCCCAGGTGGCAATGTCTATTCCACGTCTACTTTGGATTCCAGGCTTTTGCCGGCGCTCGAGAAAGCTCCGCAAGAGACACAACTACGGCCAGATGTTGTTAACAGGCCAGTATCAGCGGAGCCAAGAGATGCACCACTTCCTCCCGCAAAAGATACACCACGGCTGGATTCCGCGCGCGAGAACTCTGGTTACTTTCCTTCTCATCCTGCGAAAACTTTTGATCAAGTCGCTGCTGAGGGATATTCCCAGTCAATTTCTCAACCACATATTTTACCTCGCATAAGCACAGACGACGACTCTCATGATGATGTAAATGAGAAACTCGAGAATGATATTGTCAGGAGTTTGAGCCCGAGACCTTCGGATGCTGATCGGCTGTCCAACCAATTCGATGACAGTGCATCATATGGTCAAGGCAGGGAAAGCTCCTATTTGCCAAGAGAATATGACAATTATTGGGCATCTTCAAACGAGGACCATGAGCCTATTCCTCCGATTGCACCAATATCGATCAGAAGTGCCTCAACACCTGGTGAGGCGCCTACTGCGGAGCTAGAACAGAGAAAATTCGACAATCAATCGATACAACCCTTGAGTCCGCAAAAAGTAGACCAGAGGAGCTTTGAGCCGGACAGAGCCGCCATGCAGCATCGATACTCTTGGGAAAATAGTAAGGAAACCGTTCCTCTTGGGCCATCTGGAGACACTAGCGCAAACGTCTCTGCTACAGCTGAACCAGCAACACTGATGTCTGAGCCATTGGGAGCTGCTGAGCCCTCGGTTGGAATTGAAAGCCAACCTACCTTAGATCATGCTGGTAGAGATGCTGCATTGTTGCCAGGTGCCCGTAGCTCACTCGAGCCCAAGAGCCGTCGGCTTTCTCTAGCGGAAGAGAAAGACCTCCTGGTTTCTTCATACCCTATCTCGCAAACCTCACCAGAAGAACAACACCCAGCAATATATTCTCAGACCCATGCCCCGTTGCCGGCTAATCAGCACCCCCCTATTAATTCTCCCTTGTCCCACCATGAACCAATATTGAGTTTCTCTCATATTGTCTCCATCAATTCAATACCTCAACGAATACAAACGTTCGATCAGACCAGAGATAGAATTGCAGCCATTGATACTGGTCTGAACGATTGGATAACGGCCCTCAAAGCGCAGGAACCTGAGCATGCCGATGTTACTGGATCCTGGGGTGGATCGAGGACTAATATGCCTAGTGGATCGGTAAGATCTAAGTTTGCAAAGGTCACCGGTACTGGAGCACAGCCAACACAACAACCCTATTACCAGCAGTATTTGAATGCCACTTCGCCAAATACTCCATCCGCCCCAATCTCGAAGCCCGGCTCAAGTATGGGCCCGAACGCTTCTCAGCAAGGATTTTCCCCTGTTGGCGGGAAGATAACAAGTCATCAGGTTCAGGCGAAAGGAAAGGAGTTTCTACACACTGCGGGCATTTTTGGTGGAAAGGCAGGCAAAGCAGGGAAAGGTTTACTTGCCAAAGGCAAGAGCAGACTTCGGGCGGCTGGCGGCGGAGACAAGGTAGAATAACATCTCCTTT